TTAACATCCATTTGACCAGGCAGACGGAGCCTCAGGTTTACGACTCACCCGAAGACATCCGCACCTCTGATAATGCGAAACGTTCCCCATCCAACCCTACATTAGAGTCATCTTAGACAATGTGATTTCAAGTACTGATGTGGCAACGTGAACCCTCAACCATCTGACTTGAAGCCAAGAGTTCCACCAACTGAGGTTGGCTTCCACCGCCATAGATGCAGATTGATTGAGATGTTTAATGGATAAATATTTACAAAGTAAGAACATTAAGGGATGAGAAGAAAAGGCAGGGAAATTGGATTTAAAAGTCTATTGTGATCAAATAAAATGGTGAACAGGTTCCATGGACTGAATGGTCACATTGACTTTTGCTCAGAATTTCCCTTACTTCCTTATGGCCTCTTGTTTTACCCCGTGCAGTGTTTAGATGTTTGTGATTTATTGCAGAATTTGCCCTTCCATAGAATGTCTGAAACATCTACATTAATCAAAAAATAAGTCTTTCAACAGTCTACAAATAAAAGAATTTTCGTAGAAACCTCTGGTGAAGCATATTTACATTTAGCATAATATTTATCTTTTTAAAAAAATAATTACAATAACATTTCCATGTATGCATCTGCTTCATACTAAAGGCATTTTGACCGCAATCTGTAACTTTCTCTCTTTGAACACCTTTAGTGAGGTGGGCCCTTGCTGACATCTTTAATAAATTTCTTGCAGTTACTGTTAAATCTGATGGACTATAAAGTGGAATTGGGACTGATGTCATGACTATTTCAGACAACAGGACACTGCCAAAGCTGCTGAAGAGAATACTTTGTCACCCTTTCCTCACTTTATAACTCATTTTGAGCTGTGCATCACTCACAAATGTGTTCACAATCCAGTGATTCCCTAAGGTAAAAATAGGAAGCTAAGCAACAAAGTAAAACTGACCCACACCCATCTATTGTCTTTAATAATGATCATACCATGTTAGTTCTGGAGCCAAAAATAAACTATATCCGCCTTATTTTATTGCTAACTGTTCTTTTAACCCTTACCAGGTTCCCCAATGTTTTCATTGATAAAGGCATTTCCCAATGCAGCGTTGAAGCAAGTACACAAAGATGCAGGTTCAAATTCCTAGTGTCATCAGTAGGGGAGGTACAATTACTCTCAGCAATACTGAGTCAGAGAAAGAGGAGATCAGCCAGGTTACATATTCTTATCACTGTCGAGTCTTGAAGAGATGACTCAGCGAGGTGTATAACATTTAAATGGAATTGAAAAAGTAAACACGAAACAATAATTTAGAGTTCACAACTGCAATGGAACAAGAAGGGGCAGTTTTAGTGTTACAAAGTGCAATTCTAGGAAACAAACCAGTAAATATTTCTTTACCCAGAGTGTAATTAATGACTGGAACAGGTTTTCAGGAAGCATGGTTGAGGCTGGTAGTCTTTTTTTAACAAAAAGCTTAATACTTGAAATAGACGCATCACAATGATTGGTTGAAGTAGACACATCTAAAGGGTGGATGGGTGTTCTGGAAGAATGAGTTCAAATAGCCGAAAGACCTTATTCAGCCAAACTAATCCTTGTGATAATTGTCTACTTCAAGTGAGGACAGAATTAAAACTCAGTGTAGTGACTGTATTTTGTAGGCAAACCCAGCAGTCAGTGTGTGCAGAGCAGTGTCCTACAAACAGCCATGAAGTGGCTCAAAAGCGAATATGTGAGATTGGGGAAAATTGTATTTGAAAATGAGCCTGATCAGACCAATTTTATTGTCTTATGTACACTCAATGTCCTGTTTACTGCATAAATAACGTAAGCTTACCTGTGGATAAATGTAATTTTGTATATTTTGAAATTTCCAAAAGAAACTCTGTATTAAAGAAAGTTACTTGAGTGGTGGTACTGTTCTAAACACTGATTTCAGTTTTTCTCTAGCAATCTACAGAATGTTATTGACATTCTGTAACAACCAAACAGCCTCTAGTCCTTGAGGCTTTGATTGCTTAAGCAGATCCCAGCATTGGTCTGACATGAGGTTTACCAGGGTATGGCTGAATGGAAACAAGAAGTAATACTGAGAGACAATTAATAAACATGAGATAACATTAATTCGAGGCTTTCAAAGGTGATTGACAGTAACATAACATAACATGTAGGAGCAGGAGTAGGCCATTCGGCCCTTCGAGCCTGCCCCACCATTCAATCATGGCTGATCTTCTAATCTAATTCCAGCTAATAACCTGACCCTGCCTTATCCCCATATCCCTTAATCCCTTTTGCAATAAGAAATCTATCTCAGTCTTGAATATGTTCAAGGACTGAGGGTCAACAGCCCTTTGGGGTAGTGAGTTCCATACATTCACCACCCTTTGAGTGAAGACGTTCTTCCTCAACTCAGTGCGAAAGGGCTGGCCTCTGATTTTAAGGTTGTGACCCCTGGTTTTAGTTTCTCCAACCAGGGAAACAATCTCCCACTATCTACTCTATCATGCCCTTTGATGATCTTATAGGTTTCTATAAGATCCCCTCTAATTCTTCTATATTCTAGAGAATATAGGCCCAAATTGGTCAGCCTATCCTCGTAACTCATCCCCTTCATCCCTGGCACTAACCTAGTAAATCTACGCTGCACCCCCTCCAAGGCAAGTACATCCTTCCTTAAATGAGGAGACCAAAACTGGACACAGTATTCCAGGTGTGGTCTCACCAGGGCCCTATACAGTTGCAGCAAGACTTCCCTATTCTTATACTCTAATCCTTTCATAATGAATGCTAACATACCGTTCGCCTTCCTAATTGTTGCTGCACCTGCAGACTAACTTTCTGTGATTGGTGTACAAGGACACCCAAGTCCCTCTGGACGCTAACACATTCCAATCTCTCCCCTTCTAAAAAATAACCCGCTCTACTGTTTTTGCTACCTAGGTGGATGACTTCGCACTTCCCTACATTATACTTCATCTGCCACCTACCTGCCCAATCACCTAACCTATCTATGTCTCGCTGCATTTTTTTAATGTCGTCCTCTGTGTTGACACTTCCTCCTAGTTTTGTGTCATCCGTGAATTTAGATATATTAACTTCGATGTCCTCATCTAGATCGTTGATGTAGATGGTAAATAGCTGAGGCCCAAGGACTGATCCTTGTGGCACTCCACTAGTCACATCCCGCCAATCTGAAAAGGACCCGTTTATCCCTACTCTTTGTTTCCTACCCGTTAACCATTCCCCAATCCACGTTAATATGCTCCCCCCAATTCCATGGGCCCTTATCTTTTGGACTAACCTTTTATGCGGCACCTTATCGAATGCCTTCTGGAAGTCCAAATAGACCACATCCACTGATTCACCCTTATCTAGTTTACTGGAAATATCCTCAAAAAACTCTATGAGATTTGTCAAACATGACTTCCCTTTTGTAAAGCCATGTTGACTTGGCCTAATTATATTGTGCTCCCTAAATACCGCACTACCACATCCTTAATCAACGATTCTAAAATTTTTCCTATCACTGATGTGAGACTAACTGGCCTATAGTTCCCCATCTTTTCCTTTCCACCTTTTTTAAATAGTGGTGTGACATTTGCGATCTTCCAATCCATGGGGACTGTTCCAGAATCCAAGGAATTTTGGAAGATCAGACATAAGGCCTCCACTATCTCATAAGCTACCTCTTTTAAAACCCTGGGATGCAAGCCATCCGGACCAGGGGATTTGTCACTTTTTAGTGCTAACAGTTTCCCTAGCACCAATTCTCTACTAATGAAAATTTCCCTAAGTTGCTCCCTGTCCTTATCCCTTGGTGCATCTCTATTGTTGGCAGACTTGTTGTGTCTTCTAGGGTGAAGACAGATGCAAAGTACCCATTTAGGGACTCTGCCATGTCCTTATCCCCCATTACAACTTCTCCCATCTCTGACTGAAGTGGACCTACATTTACCCTCACTGGCCTATTCCTCTTAATATATTTGTAAAAACTTTTACAATCAGACTTAATGTTCCTAGCTAGCTTACCCTCAAACTCCTTTTTCTCGCTTTTAATGAGTTTTTTTAGTTTTATTTTGCTTGTTTCTAAAACTCTCCCAATCTTCAGATTTGCTGCTTTTCTTGGCAGTTTTATAAGCCTTTTCTTTTAATTTGATGCTTTCCCTAACTGCTCTAGTTAGCCACGGATGAATTGCTTTGTATTTGTTTGCCAAAGCCTGCACTAAAATTGGTTGGAACTTATTTAGATTTTTCTTCCTTATGTTTTCCAAAATCAAAAATCTTTTGTGGTTTGTAAACTTGAATAATTGAAAAGAAATGTACGATGGTTTGATTCTCATGGGTTAAAGCACTTTTGACTGCCTAAGTTTTCATATCCCAGTTAAACAACAGGTTGCCAAGTAATGGAGCTGTATGTCAAGTGTACATGATTGTATGTTGCAAGATCACAAGAATTTTTTTTTAGAATGACATTGTTACCCTTAATGGGAATCCAGCTCGCCTCACTTTTAAGATCTCCATGTTTATTTTTTTGAAATCTGACTGGTGCAGTTGGTGTTGTTGCAGTACTGTGCACAGCTTCTGAAACGGAATTAAGTTGTGAATGAGCTAACAAACCAGGCAGTGATCAAAACGCTGGCCTGGTTGAATCGGTATTGCTCCTCTCCTTCAAGGAGGTGAGCGTTCAGCTGCCAGTAGCTATGTCCTCTGGAATACTTTTCCAACTTTTGAAAAACACATTCTCTTCGACTTTGCTTTTGGTTAACATTCTTAAATCTCCTTTTCCCTGCTCAGTGGCCTCCCCTTGTTTTTGAGACATTCGCCCTATGTGAAAGGTGCACAAGTTGTTGAAAACTTGACTGTGTAAATAATTCTGCCACTGTTGTCTGATGAAACATTGTAGCTCCTTTGACTCCCTCTCCATTCATATTTAAAGCAATATTTTGGACGCATGATACTCTATGCTTAAACATTATAACAATAGCAATAACTTATCTCCATTTTGTTTGCAGGCTAGACCGAAGGATATTGAACCAATAGACTACGAGAATGTCCTTTTACAGAAGAAGACACAGATCATCAGTGATCCTTTGCGGGACATGCTACTTTTTCCTCCTGAAGATTTCCAAGTGAGTAATGTTGGATATTTCAAATTTATGGTAGGCTATAAAATGTAAGGTTTGCTAAATTGTATTTAAACTGAAAAACAACTGTTTGAATGTTATGCTTCAAGTGTGTTGTGTAGTTCAATAAATGTTCAACATCATTACACTTTTATAACAATCCTTGAACTTTTGCATGATTGGGCCGTCCCCAATTTTTGACCAAGTTCAGATAATTTATCACAGATTATTAGGAAAGCAAATATGGCTCCTACACCCCTCCCTCTCTCTCCCCACCTCATGTCTTAGTGGTTAAGTACACTGTGTGATATGGCAATGATGCACACAGACTAAGAAGATTGAGGTTCAATCTCTGGTCCACTCTGTATTAATGTATCAGCCAGGACATTGGAGACACAACAGCTAGCCGAAGTATCTCAAGGATTACATCCAGGGGAGGATAACATTTTCTGGGTTTCATTTTTTTCAACAAACTTGCTGTAAATGCACATCTGAAGATCTTGGAGGAGGACGGGTTTGGATTTGGCTAAGCTAACTTTTATGATCAAATTACTAGTGAATACAAACTGTGTGGACTCTCATGTTAGGTAAGGCCTCTCGGTCAAAGTAGTGGAGAACTATCAATCTTAAGAAGTGGTTGGGCAGAGGGGGCTAAGAGCAAAAATAAAGGTTGGCGATGACGAGCATTTTAAAAAGATACAGGATGCCATACACATTGTGTATAATAAATGCCTAGAATTATTTAAGATTCTGATTCATTTGGCTGGCATTTATACATCCATCAAACTTTGCACGCTCTTATTTAAAATGTGCTCTGAATTACCAGATTGAATTACAGCTTTGTAAATTACTCTTATGCATCTATTCTAATACAATCCTTGAAAGATGGGTGGGACGGAGGAACAGATTTGATGAAGGATTTACTGAGCATGTCCTTTCTTGACTGCAGTATAATAGATTGTTGTTTTGGAAAGGGTAGATTATACAGAAATACCTTTTGATCTGATTGTGTATGCTGCAGGATAGAAATCTGAATCTTCCAGGCTAATTTAAAAATTTCCTTGAAGTTCTAAGAAAATGAGGAGAAACAAATAAAATGTTCAGCCAGTACGCACTTGGCATTTGTTCAGAAAAAAAGCGAAAACAGTCTAGATAAGTAAATTTACAAATCTTATTTTTCTCTCTCCAGTGTGAAGCAAAGCTGCTTGTTGCTAGCTTTCATAGCCTGCATGATCACTTGAAAATTGCAAAAATTGCATTAGTAAGTGAGTGAAGCCATGGCTTTGGTCTGGACCCAAACAGCTGTTTGTTTTATACCTTGAAAGAAATACCAAGAACAAGGCTTGGCAGCATCATTTACCAACCCACCCCCAACTTTGCATTAAACTCTGCATCCGCTCATTGACCAAGACCATATTCTACCTCTGGAATTTTGTCTGCTTACATGTCTGCAAAAGCTTAATGTGTGCTTGCTTTTGTCACCTCAATGCTGTTCTTTCCCAGCACACTCCTCGCCACTTCCATAATTTCAATTCATCCACAATTATGCAGTCTGCATTTTCAACTGCACCATCACCCCATCCTTGCAAGGATCTATTGCTCTTTGGTCTCTGGAGGATCAATTTCATCATGAAGTGATCTTGCATTAACTCTGATCTAAATGTGCATTTGAAGATCACTGCTTGTATATAAATCAGTTGTCAGATGACGCTGCATCAACATTTATTTAGCCAGGATCATACACTGCCATAGAATCCTGTTAAACATGGGTTCACCTGTAGTAGATTTTGAAATGCTGATGGAATTGCCTGGCTTTTGCACACATGTGCCTTGTTGAACGTGCGGATCTGGTGGCTGATCATTGTGTTGGGGGGGTGGGGCGGGAGGAATTCTCTGTTGAGGGGGGAGGAAATCAACTCTGATTTCCTCTCTTCCCCCCCACCCCCGGGTGGAAAAGCTTCCTCTTATATTCTAGTAATAGCACCCTCCTATACTTCAAAAGCTTCTCTCAGAACTTTATTTCAGGGTCTATACACGTGATTCACTTAAGCAACTTGTTTCCTAAGAACTAGCAACAACAAGTTGCAGTTGCATATTGCCTTTCATGTCAGAGGATATCCCAAGGCACTGACATTGTGATTATGCCCATAAATTCCTTTGAGGGAATTAAAAGTAAACTCCTGGTAACTCAACCCTCTTAACTATTCACTATCACTTAAGTCATCATTGCTGTCAATATCCTGGCCTCATTTATTTATGTATTTATACACATGCCTCACTTGCCACTCAAGATAACTTGTCACTGAGCCCTTTTCCCTTGAGTGACGAGTTATCAGTTTACTGCAGTAAGGTGCTTGAACCAGAGTATTAAAGGCAGCGAGAATGAGATTATACTACATGATTCATGGAAACAAAATACACATCCAGTACAATAAAAGTTTACATTTATATAGTGTTCTTCACGTCCCAATCCTGGCTTGGCAACTGAGCTGAGGGTGGCAGCTAAGGTGGATGGGGAAGGGAAAGATGACCAAAAGTGTTGTCAAAATGGTCTGAATGGCCTGTTTCTGTGGTGTGTCAGTCTATGATTCTATGTAGCACTTTCCTGTTAACCGGAACTCGACTTTCAAGACTTAACGACATGCTCTTTAATGATTCATATGTTATCACATAGTGTTTGGCAATGCACCCAATCTCTGTCGGGAGACCAAAGTTTTATTATCTGTCCTCAGAGGTGAAAAATATTCTTATCTTTAGAATTGCTTTATTTAAAGATGCATTGTGCTATACAGAATTTCAAATCTGCCATGCATTTAAGGATCCTTTCTTTGATCTCAAACCATAATGTGAGGTACAAACTAACTTCCACCTAAGATGGAGAACTATTGTTTTTGTATTTTGCTTCGTTTAAAACAATGTTTATACCCTGAATCTTAGCTGCCCAAGATGTGAAACGTGATCAATATCAAGGGCAACCTGACAACACAAATACATCACTTCATATTTCTGAATGCAGTTTTCATATTTGTGTGTATCTCTCTCCTTCACAAGTACACCAGGTACACTCACAGAAATGTTTACACAACTGCTGTTCTGGACTGATATTTTTCTTATATTCAGTTGACTGGATCGTGTCAATTTTAAACCATCATGTTTGACTGGCGTAGTCCCAACAAAGTGAAAAATAACCCTTGGAATTAAGAGCTCTTGAACCATGAACTGATCCTTTGTAATTTGAATTTTGATGCGTTTTTACTAGTGTGAGCCAGTCATTCTTGCACTACTGCAGAAGAGTTGGGTTTTTTATTTGTGCTAGGTAAACTGCATATTCATGGAGCTGGCTGCTCAGTGTTCCTGTTATGGCTTAGATACTGATTGTCAAGAAGAACTTTTAACAATTAAATCAAGGTGTGGCAATAAATCCCAACAGAAAACCATCTTAAAGGTATTTAAGATTACATTGACTCTTGAATGCAATGGTGCTGTGGTCTTTGGAATATAGCATTTACTTTACTGCAGGCTTGGAGAATCCAGTCAAGCCGCATAGTTACAGAATCAAGTCATTCCTACTGGGTGGTTTTGGTAGTCTGGTTTCTGAGCCAGGGAGATCTGCAGTACTCCATGCTCTGTTGACAAACTGACTAGCCTGGCTTGTTGGCAGGACTCACAGACCCGGTGAGTACAGGGATTCTTCCTACTTGAATCCTGTTAACCCTGCAAACCAGAGTGCTATTAGGTAAGGTGGTCCCACCTGGAGAAGCAGCAGGAAACTTACGAGACCGGATCGGATGATTTTAGCTGGTTGTTAAATTCTAGCAGTACCCCAACACACATACTAGGATTCATAAGCCCTGGTTATTGCCAACCTGCAACTAACACTCTCTAAGAATAGCTAAGTATCCCTGATCCCTGAGGGGGTGTGGAGGGGGGTATGTGAAGAGAATTTTTTTTAATGACAAATGTCTGTTTTGTATCGGTTGACGTCAAATACATTTAAAAAAAAGATTTTCATGAAATAATTTTTAAAAAAATTTTGCGAAAGAAAACTGTTTATAATGACGCATAGATATGTTGAAGTCCCAATACTTCCATCATCAATGGCTGTGCCTTCAGCCACTACGCCCTGAAACTCTGGAATTCTCTCCCTCAATCCCTCCGCCTTGGCCCTCCCTCACCACCTTCAAATCCTGCCTAAAGACCTTCCTTTTTGTTCGTGCTTAGGGTCACTTCTCCCCCTGGCTCGTGGTCAGACTCTGCCCCTGTGAAGCGCTTGGGGACGCTACCCCATGTGAAGGGCGCTAGATAAATTCAAGTTGTTACCTTTGGTTTGGATACTCTTCAGATTGTCAATGGGTTCCCACGTGTGTCAGCTGACCTAAAAAATATTCTTAATGTGACATTTCAAAATCCCTTCAGATTTCAAACATACATATATCATGTCAACTGGGTCAAAATATAAGTGTAGAGCAGTGCTTTGTGCTAGTTTTTGTGGGAGAAGTGAGAAAAACAGGAGAGTTATATCTGCGTTCTAGTCTTGAATCAACAATAAACAACAAATTACATTTGTAAAGCACATTGCACATCAGGAGGACATCTCAAAGTGCTGAACAGTCAGGGATTTGGATCTGAGCAGGGGATTGGGATCAGGAGGGGGGTAGGAGGGTGGCCGAAGAGGAGGGTCTTTACATGTGCTTTGAAGGAGGCAAGGGAGGGAGAAAGGCGAATAGACTGTGGGAAGGAGTTCCAAAGGGTGGGGACAGACACTGAAGGCCCAACTGCCGATGTTGGGTGGGCTGGGCGGGGAATGTGAACCAGGCTGGAGTCTGCTGAGCGGAGGGACTGGACAGGTTGATAGGTAATGCCTGCATGTAACAACTAAAGGACAAGTAAGGATTCTTGGTTGTAGGTAACTCCTGCTTGCGGTGAGGAGTGTTTAGAACCTCTTTCATTCATTCATTGAAGTAACACAAAAATAGTATGTGACCTAATAGTGACTAAATGGAGCAGTTTCTGTTGAGAGATTAGACATAAATGTGAACAAACCTCAGTAATCCCTAATGGTTTATACCTCTACGGGTCCCCTCTTTCACGTGCATTTGTTGTTACTGGAATTCTGTTAGGAACATTTGTCAAGAACAGCATGGTTCTTTGGACAAATGGAACATGTGCTAAATCGATAGCAATTGCCACAGTAATGCTATTTTACAGCTGTTGTCTGCTCTATATGCAAAGGATTGAGCTGTTACTGTTTTTTTTAGCATGGGACATTTGCATGCAATAACCTATGTTATACATCTTGCAAAGTCATTCATTGTGTTCCGTTTCAGTGACTGTGAAGAAACCAGTTCTTTGGCTTCCATCTTTGTCATGCTTTGTGCTCTGGATTTCTTTATTTGCTTGGCACAGACTGGCATTTTTGTTGGTTTGTTCTCTCCTGGTGGAACCGACTCACCTGGGGTATGGTTGTTTGGTGCCAGCTGCTCACTGGTGTCTTAACCAACTGGCTATCCTTCATGTTTGAACACAGTTAATTCAGCTTTGTGGGTGGCACAACCAAACCTGATCTTATTTGAATTACCAGCAAACCCATCATCATGCTTAAGAGTATTCAAACCAAGCTGAGATTTCCATGCATCCCACCTACACATGGAAATCCCAGAGATAGATTGTTGGAATAGAATGTACATTCTCTCCCTGGAGGGACGCATCCTGTTTGCCTAATTCCGTAAAGTATTAGGCGCAGGTTGGCAAGAGCCAAGGTTTAGGGACCCTAATTGGGATACTGCTGGGGTCTAACTGCATAACTTGCCATTGATATTGCTGCCTGACAAGGTTTCCTGCTGCTTGTTCAGCTAGGACCACCCTACCCGTTGGAACTTTGGTTTGCAGGGTTAATAGGAGCTGAGTGGGTGACTCCCTGTCCCCAATGACTGGTCTGCCCTTCCAGGTCCTGCCGATGAGCCCGGCAGGCTGTGCTGTCATCAGCAGTGCCCTAGAATACTGCAGACCCACCTGGCTCAGGAACCGGACTATCAAGACTATAATATGGGGCTGGCTCGATTCTGACATTCAGATATGTCACCTTGGAGCCAGTTCAGCTCCAAGGAGATTCCACTTACCTCCCCTCCCAAGGAGTTTAGTTGAGTTGAGTAATTCAGCACAGACCACAAATTGAGCATGGACCACACAAGGGAGAACTTCACAACTGAGCCAGGGGAAGAAGCTGTTCAACGTTTTAATTTGTTTTAAAATGCATAAACAACATCAGTCCATAACTGCTGATCAGCAAACCTGAATGTTTGGATTATGCTAGACCAGCTAGTAATTCCATGGTAAGTAAAGAAAATTAGATCATTTTCCTGGTAGAGTATTTTTACATTCACTGTCAGGATAACCAACACCTTTGAAGTTTCCAGAAGCTGTGGTGCAGCACAAACCCATGTCTTCCCTCGATCCAAGTTTTGCAGATCATGGCACACTGTGGTCTAGTTATTCAGCAGTTAGTGACTTGCTTCGTTGCAGTTTGGAGCATTTGTCAGCTCTGAAGCAGAGGATTTCCTGCTACATAACAGTTTCCACACTTGAGCATGTGCGACTAGAACAATATCTTTATTGAAGATTGTATAAGGTAGCAATGTTTAAATGGAGGTCTGTCCAAACTGTAGATCAAAGTGTGAGAATTGCCAATGGTGATATCAAGAAATAATTTTGCTGGAGTAGGATGTCCTTCCGACATGAAAAGTGTTATACAAATGCAATTTGTTATTTCTTTGAACACAGTTTGTATTTACTTTGTGAAATTCTGTGCATCCTTGTATGCTGAAAACATGGTGCAATCAGCACAACACAATGTCTTTATCAACTAACTTTTGCAATTTATTTCTCAAAGTAAGTGCATGTAACTTTCTGTATGAAATCCAACCAAGCACAACCTACCTTTGACCCGAGATAAACCTAACAACTATGGTCAGCGAAGTGACTGATGCTCGCCGAAACCCACTGCCAATCTTAAGAGTATCCATACCAAACTGAGAGTTCCATGCACATATGCTACTTATACATGGAAATTTCCCTGCACCTGGATTGGAATGTGGACCTTCTTCCTGGAGGGACACATCTTGCTTACCTAATTCTGGGGAATATTGGGTGCAGATTGGCAAGAGCCAAGGCTTGGGGACCCCAGACTGTGTGTTACAGTACTGCTGGAGTTTAATTAGTTAAAACCGCATACATAGTTTGCCATTGAAATCACTATCTGGCAAGCTTCCTGTTATTTGTCCAGCTAGAACCACCCTAGATTAATGGGCTGAGCAGGAAGAATCCTTCACAAATTTTAACCCCCCTATGTATTTTAAAATAATGGATCCACAAGAGTGATCTCAAGCCTGTAACCTGCTTGGTGCAAAGGTGGTGCTTGTAAATCCTTAGCTTTCCATTTTGAGGTTTGGTGGAATGGTTACCATCCAACTTAAGTATTGTTCTCTTTTTAATATCTGTTCGTTCATTGACAAAACGTTCTACTGACAGCATATTCCTGCTCACTCCCATGAAGCCATGACATTTAGAGCAATACTACAGGAAGCAGCTAATGCACATGAATTAATGTGAAGCCGAGAACAGTACTGTAAGAATCAGCTAAATTATTTGGTCAGCTTGACTGAAAGGAACAACTACCTTTCATGCATTCTGCAGCAGTTTCTCATGAGAATAATTGGGCAAAGAGGAGTTTCCACTCTATTGATTCCCATTTTACTATATGATCTGAAGCATACCAGGACTTTAATTGTAAAATGAACAGAAACTACTTTAAAACAACAACAGCAAATTACATTTGTATAGCGCCTTTCACGTGGGGAGGATGTGAAAATGCCACCTTTACTGTATTGAAATGTAGCTGATCACATTACGGTGCTTTTCTTTCTTGAATAACAAAATTACATTTATAGAGCGCCTTTCACTTCGGGAGGATGTCCTAAGGCGCTGGACAGTCAGGAGTCAGGACTCGAGCATGGAAGAGGAGTGGGGTAAGGGTGAGGGAAGGCAGAGAGGTGGGAGGGCGACTGAAAGCATGATCGAAGAGAAGCGTCTTGAGACCGGCCTTGAAGGAGGTAAGGGAGGAAGCAATGCGAAGGGACTTTAGGATGGAGTTCCAGAGTGTGGGGGCAGAGAGGCTGAAAGAGCGAGTCGGGCAGGAGACACGGAGCAGGCTGGAGCCCTCTGAACGAGGGAGCAAAACAAAATGTTACATGGTAATTTAGACGTTCTCAACCACACTGCTTATGCAAATCATCTCAACTTGAAATTAGGTTATTTGCTCAAAATATTTCCCCGTGTATCTGTTTTTTTTATAATGTATACAGTTCTTACTCTCACAAAGCAATTTACAATTCCTATGTTTTTGGCAGAAATCCTGCCTCTGCAAGCTGCAGAGGATGTTTGTGGACAAGTTTCATGTCAGCAATTTTTTTTCCCAAGAAAAAAAGGTGCTTGCAGTTTTCCTTTTGGTTGACTGTTTATATACAGTGCTTATCAGTGAAAATAAATGAGCAACTTTTTTGTTAGAAAGAACAGTTTCATTTCGAAGTTCAGTATTCCTCCTTTCAGGGTTTAAAGGACAACTGAAAGTAGTGATGAGTTTCTTTGTGACAAACATGCAGCACTGGTAGGCAAATTGATAATGAATATGCACAGAGTCCTTGACTTAATGTCCTGGGCAATAGAGTATAAAAATAATATAATAATCCATGCATTTGGGATAGCACCTTACCACGTCGGAAGGACGTCTCAAAAGTGCATCATAGGATTTACTGTGAAATGGAGTGACTGTGTGTTTGTAGGTGAACGCGGCAGCCCAATTGCACACAGCAATGTCCCACAAACAACAATGAAATAAATGACCAATTTTATTTGGGGGATTGTTGGCCAGGGCACCAGGAAGAACTTCCTTCTCTTTTCGAATAGTGCCATGGGAGCTTTAACATCCACCTGAATAGGCAGAGGGGCTCTCGGTTTAACGTCTCATCTGAAGGACAACGTCTTTGACCATACTCCACACCCAGCATTCATTGGAGTGTCGGCTTAGACTACGTGATTATGGAACTTTGCAGCTTATTACTGAATGTTTCAGGAATGCAAATGCTCAGTTTCTGTTTCCACCAAAGGTACCAAAAAACAAAAACTATTTGACAAATGACCAATTTTGTGTATACAGTCTGAGAATATTTTTAGTAACTATTTAAAGTAAAATCCTGAATGGCTAGGATTTGTTGATAACTTTGCCTAAATCGTGTAAATGTTTTCATGTTTTATTAGACTGCCATACTGAAGCGCAAGGGAAGAACGATCGGTTCAACAGTGCCTGAAAATGCAAAAAAAGAGGCTCACAGCTTGTTGGTTACTGAGGTGAGTCTTTAAAGCACTGCTGTGGGGAAATGAATACAATTTAAGCCAGGAAACTTTCTGCATTTTGTTGGAAATGTTTTGGTCTGTAGATTTTATTTTAAATAGCTGTTTGAAAACCACATCCTTTTTTTGGTAGCTTGGTTACTTGACCCATGAGGAAACCCATCACTATGCCTAAAAGTATCCAAAACAGATTGAGAATTCAATATGTAGGCCATTTACACATGGCTATTTTCCTGTGTCTGAAATGAAATGCGCACACTCCCTGGAAGAAGGCCACCCTGCTTACCTAATTCCACAGAGAATTAGGAGCACGTTAGCAAGAGCTAAGGCTCTGGAGTCTCAGAGTATGTTGGGGGACTGCTGGATGTACTCAAGGTGTTCATAATGGAAGACCTTGAATGGTCAAAATGCAGTCAACTGCAGCTACAGCTATTGATACAACAGTGGTTTTTTGAGAGATGTATAATGGACCATTATTTTCCTTTGAGGCATTGGAGTTGAACAATCGAGTTTGCATTTACTGGTATGGTTGCTAAGTTTACATACTGAATCTAATAATAATCCTTACATTTGATATAGTGCCTTATCACGTCCTTGAGACATCTCAAAGTGCTTAACAGGATATACTGTAAAGTGGCTTAACTGTGTATTTTGTGGCCGAATAAATTAGTACTTTTCAACATTGATATAAATCAGTTAGTTTGCAGACAACAGACAGGAAGAGAGCTTAGAATTATCTATCCTTTCAGATAAGGATAGATCCAATAAATAAGAGTACAATGCAGATCATGATTAAACGATTATAGGTCTGATGGTAGTATTGACAGAATAATCTGCAATGATTATATGAACTATTCCAGTTGAGAGAGTTGAGAGCCATCTACTCTACAAAACAGTACATTCAGTAGTGTCTAACAGCTTTACTGGTCAATCCACATTTAGCTTTAAAAGGGCATTTGTACAAGTACTTAATGCATGCTTTTGACTTTGCATTCAAATGATAGTATTATAACAACCAAATTAGTGAGTTCAGAATTCAGCTCCAATGTGAGATGGTCTCGAAGACTTAGCTTCACATGTAACAATGAAACCGCACCCGATTACAAGTAACCTGGCCCTTTTGATTTTGAGATTTTCTGATTATCAAAAATGTTACCAGCATTCCAAGCTCAGTGAGTGGAGCTTTACTGACTGGAGAGAGTTGCACAGAGTTGAATCTCAAAGTAGGTAAAGCTGGACGAAATAATTGATATTTTTACAGCACCTATCATGTCACGGTGTTTCAAAGCTCTTCTATAATTACAGTCACTTGTGATTTTTTTTGTGAGCAAAAATATCCAGGGATACTTGAGGCTAATTATGACATTCCTACCAACAGCTTATTTGAGATTGGCAAACTCAGATATTGGCTGACCAGACAGTGACATTGAGACCAGGACCTATGTGATCCTAAATATACCTATATACCATGCCAACTTGCTTTGTTAACAGTAAGTTCACAGTCACTTCCTAAAGGCAAATATTCAACAGCAGCTGCAAAAAGTGTTGTATGACGCTGGTTAGGTTAGGTACTTCATTCCCATTTCTAACATGAAATCCCAGGATTCATTGTGACCTTCAAACACATTAATGTCACCACTTCAAGGTTAGTAAAAAGAGTTTTGAATGCTTTCTGGTAATTCAGGCTATTCAGTAAGAGTGGCAATGTATGTGATTGCAGTGACCCATATTTATCAGGAAATGCAAGTAATTTGTCTTCATTGTACTGGGGAAAGTCAATGACTGAGATCGGTTGCAACAGAACAGACAACTGTTTAAAGCTCAGACAGCTTGCTCGTGTGCCCTCTGTGTTGGATGTAGTTTCCCTCTTTTTACCATGTTTCTTTCTGATGTGAGACAATGCTCTGGGTGTGTGACTTGCTCTACACAGGAATAGTCACACCCAGGATGCCAGATATTGATTTTTCTGAGTAATTTCACACCAGATTCAAACTCAGAGAAATTATGTATTTGTGGTGATAATAACAAAAAGCACTATGAGATATTACCCCGCACTATAAATGAAGAGCGCTATATAAATGCAAGTTGTTATAGAAAGTAGCTTCATCGTATACTTCATCTTTAACTTTATAATAATAATCTTTGTATTTGATATAGCGCCTTATCACGTTTTCGAGACATCTCAAAGCGCTTCACAGAATATACTGTCAAGTGAATTGACTGTATATTTTGTGGGCGAAACGCGGCAGCCAATTGCGCACAACAGTGTCCCACAAACAGTTGTGGATTGAGTGACCAATANTTTTTTGAAGGAATTATTACCCCCGGAGCCACACTCTGGCTCCCGTCAGGGTCTTCACTCCTGCGGATCTAAACTCCTCAATCTCCCTGGGCTCTCCCTCAAACTCACTGAATCAGAGCACAATCTAGGCGTCCGGTTCGACCCCCAGCTGTCCTTCCTCCCCCACATCCGGTCCCTGACCAGGACCACCTTCCTCCACCTCCGCCACGTTGCCCGCCTCCGACCGTACCTTACCCCAATGCAGCCGAAACCCTCGTGCACACGTTTGTCACCACTCGCCTGGATTACTCAAAACGAACGCCTCACCGGTCTCCCCAGCTCCACTATTTAAAAAATCCAGCGCATTCAGAACTCTTCTGCCCACATACTTGCCCAGACCAAACTCCGTATCCACATCTCACCAGTTCTGGCCATGCTCCACTGGCTCCCTATCACCAAACGGATTGATAAGTCAAGGTCCTCACTCTCGTGTTCAAATCGCTTCACTCCCTGGCACCTCCCTACCTCTCCGACCTTCTCATTCCCCAATCCACCACCTGGGACATTTGCTCAACTGGCACCAGCCTCCTGCTCGTCCCTTGCCCCTTTCACCCCATCATTGGTTGTGCTTTCAACCACTAGACCCGAAAACTTTGGAACACGCTCCCTGAATCCCACCACCTTGCCGCCTCTCTCCCCCTTTTCAAGTCCTGCCTTTAAAACCTTCCTTTTTGACTGTGTTTACGGTTACCCCCATCCCTACCTCCTGGCTCGGAGTCAGGCTCCATCACTGTTAAGCATTCTGAGATGCAACCCTGCGTGGAGGACTCTATATAACTGCAAGTTGTTGTTGCGTGAACAATTTTTTTTAAGGAATTGTTACCCCCGGAAAAGCGATCCGCCAATCGACTAACAACCGGGTTCCTAGTTACTGCTAGGTAAGCAGAGGCGTGTGGACTTAGGAAACTTGCCCAATGTTTCCTTCTGCTGGTAATTAAACCCAGGTCTCTCACATGTGAGGCAAGTGCTCTAACCATTGAGCTAAAGGACTCCACAAGGAGGAACTTTGAAGGAGAGGAGGAACAAATTACAATATCTAACTATATTTCTTACTAGCTTGTCCTGTTCCAGAAGAGGTCATTGAATAGCTATCGGGAATGGGTATTCTGGCTGATTTCCTCTCCCTCTGCATCGGGAATGGCCAACTTGCAGCCCATGGGCCACATTACGCATGCGTAGTATAGGCTTGTGGGATCAAATGTGGCACACAGACATACAAATGCACTAATCCAGGGCACAGAGGCCAATTGTAGAATGTCAACTGTTTTTGAGTGAACATTCTCAGCACATACTGGGATCAAATCTTAACACTTGTCTGTGTGACTTATTGTTACTCCCAGTCTATCAAGTGCACAGTTGTCTTTCAGTAAGCCATTTCAGATTATTTATTGAACCAAAAGGTGAAAATTACTATTTATTTTAGTTTGAATTAATAGCCTTTCTAAATGAAAAAAACAAAGTTTAACGCTTTACACTAGTAAAGAAAACAACAGATTTTAAAAAGAAAAACCAGTGAGGTTTGACCGTAAACAAACAAACATGTGAAGAGAAGGGTTCGGGATATTAATCTATGTGAAAGGCACTATATAAATGCAAGTTAACAATGTGTGTGAGAATGACTGGAAAAGCTGACTGCTTACAGGGCATTGTATTGACATTTGCCATGTTTGCTTTAACTTTTCTTTGCCCAGTACTTTTTGTGGTACATTTACCTTTCCTGTGAACTAATCGCCAGCATCATAGTTCAAAGCTGAATCTCACACAAAGCTTTGCACTGTGTCTAGAATATTACAAACAACAAATGACATAGAAGGAAAGGTTAATTAAATTGAATTTTTAATCAAATTAATACATATAGATAAGCAGACAATTGTTTGGCACTGAGGATTTTGAGATCTATTGTATATTTTCCTCATTTTAGCTGTTCTATGATTTCACTTATCAGCGATCTTACTCTCTTCAGTTCACTTACTTTTGTATTGCATTGAACAGCCACGCTACAGAACAAAAGCAAGAGTGATCAAGCTCTCTGTTTGTCCTGGATCGATAATGGTTGCTTGAAACTTCAGTTTCAATGAGGTTAGGGATAAGCGAGTAGTAATACAAGATGATGTTTTGTTAAACTAGTTCACAATCGCTTCCTGAAGGCTGATACTCAACAGCAGCTGCAAAAAGTGTTGAATGCCATTGGTTAGGAAAGGTACAATTAAGTAAATAGATGCACGCTATCACCAGTTATAGTAATCTGTTTGTCGTTCTTTTGAGAAAATTGAGTAAAGTTTCTGCATTTATTCTCTTGCATGTCATGCATGCTGACTCACTAAGACAGTCAGGAACCTGAGTGTCTTGTTTGACCCTGAACTGTCCTTTCTCCCCCACATCCGTGCCATGACCGACACTGCGTACCACCACCTCCACAACATTGCCAGACTCTGCCACTGCCTCACCCCTCAGGCTGCCGAATACCTCACCTACGCATTTGTCATCTCAAGGCTCGATTACAGGAACTCCCTCCTCATCGGCCTTCCAAACTCTTCCCTTCACAAGCTGCAGATCATCCAAAACTCTGCAGCTCGTGCACTCTCACGCACCAGGCTCCGTGACCCCATCACTCCCACCCTCGCCCGACTCCACTGGCTCCCCATCCCCTAGAGGATCGAGTTCAAGATCCTTGTCCTCACCTTTAAGGCCATCCATGGCCTTGCCCCCTCATACCTCTCTGACCTGCTGATTCTCTACCACCCGGCCCGCTCCCTCCATTCATCGTGCTCCGGCCTGCTCCATGTCTCCCGCCCAAACCGCTCTACCATCGGTGGCCGGGCTTTCAGCCTCTCTACCCCCGCACTCTGGAATTCCATTCTACGATCCCTTTGCCTCGCTTCCTCCCTTGCCTCCTTCAAGGCCGGTCTCAAGACCCTTCTCTTCGTGCCTTTGATCTCCCTCCCACCTCTCTGCCTTCCCTCACCCCTATACCACCCCTCCCCCATGCTCGGGCCCCGACAGCTGACTGTTCAGCGCTTTGGGACGTCCTCCCAATGTGAAAGGCGCTCTATAAATGTAATTTTTTGTTGTTGTTGTAGCCAGGCTCCATATCGCCAAACGAATCGAGTTCAAGATCCTCACACTCGTTTTCAAATCCCTTCATGGCCTGGCAACTCACTACCTCCCCGACCTGCTCACTCCCCAACCCACAAGCCGCTGCCTCCGTTCGACTGGCTCCAGCCTTCCACATGTCGCTCGCGCCCTCCATTCCACAGCGGGAGGTCACAGCGTGGGGAGCTGCTGGGAGTTATGATGGGGGCTATTGAGAGGGTGATGTCTGGAGGCAGATGAAGATTTCAGGAGAGACAAGAAGTCGATGGGGGAGGGGCTGTGGCCAGTCCCACTCTGTGGCGGTGCCTTGCGGCCACACTGTTCCATTCTCCTCTCCTCATGTCCCAATCCCGGAACCTAACCTCCCGCCCCTACACACTGTGTGTGTGCTCCAGCCCAGTCCCCTCACTGTGTGTGTGCTCCAGCCCAGTCCCCTCACTGTGTGTGTGCGTGTGTGTGTGTGTGCTCTAGCCCAGTCATCGCTTGCTGAATTCACAATGATGGGAAGACCCAATATTAAATGAAGAACTCTGCAACCAATGCTAAGCTGTGACCAGCCAAATATCTCTGGTGACTATTCTGACACTTCCTGTATCATGCCCCAAAAGCTAGATGGACAAAGGTTTAATGTTGCAAAGGACAATTTCAGGACAGTCACCAGGATCGATTTCTTTACCCAGAATTGAGTAACAATGGGACATATTACCAGGAATGTTGGTTGAGGTCGGAACACTGGACTCATTTAAAAAATGGCTTCATGCTTTGAGAAAATAGTAAGGTGGTTTATTATGGAAGGCTGAGATCAAATGGAACAACCAAGCTTGTGATCGTGTATCTTATTACGTTTGTATATGCTAAGGTTGCTTTCTGATTGATCCGGTTTGGTTCTTGAGATCATTGTTTTCACAGCATTACTTTTTCTAGGTGTATGAATGTGTGTGTGGAAGAGGAGGGGAGGAATTTATGGAATAATTCTTCAATACACAGCAATTGATTACAATTTCAGGACTGAACCTTGGATTTACACTTCATTGTTCTAAACAATCATAGATTTTGCAAATAAATTTAACGATCATCAATAATAGTAATAATTCTTAATTTTCATGTTACACCTTTCACGTCGGGAGGACATCTCAAAGCATTTCACAAGTACACTGTAAAATGGAATATCTGTATTTTGTAGGCAATCACAGTCTGAATTGAACCAAGTACACTCCACTAATGAGATGTATTTTTATATTGAGTTGACGCAGATTCTTATGTAACTTTAATTTCAGGGGAATAATGGCAAGCTAAAACCAGTTGCATGGGACAAACTCGGGGAGTAAATCTTACACCATTCGGGTTTCACCTAGACTGTACTGCAACCAAAGCTAATTTTTTCTTAAAAAGAATGGAATAAGTTTTTCACCCACACTTTGTCTCCTTTAATTAGAATTTAATAATTCTCTCACTCCATGGCAAGTTGTGCGAAATTGCTGTACGCAAAATTGACTGCTGTGTTTCGCCCACAAAATACAGTCCACTTCACAGAATTCAAGATCTTCATCCTCACCTACAAGGTCATTCAAGGCCTTGCTCCCTCCTACCTCTCCGACCTACTATTCCCCTATCTACTTGCCCGTACCCTCCGTTCCTCTGGCTCCGGTCTGCTCCACATCCCCCGCCCCAACCGCCCTACCATCGGTGGCCGGGCCTTCAGCCTCTCAGCCCCCAGGCTCTGGAACTCTATCCCCAGTGCCTTCGCCGCCTCCTCCCTTTCCTCCTTCAAGGTCAGTCTCAAGACCTTTCTCTTCGACCGTGCCTTCAGCTCCCCTCTCGACTCTCTACCCCCTCCTCGCTCCCTCCCTTCCCTCCCCTCACCCTGACCATTTCCCCCCTGCTCGGGTCCTGAACTGTACAGCACCTTGGGACATCCTCCCGATGTGAAAGGCGCTCTATAAATGGAATCTTGTTGTTGTTATATAATTTGAAGCACTTTGAGACGTGTCGGTGACGTGATAAGGAGCTTTATCAATTCAAAGATTATTTTTACTTTAATTAATATATCATATCTGTAGTCTACATATACAAAGAGTCCCATTTTTCAGTAGAAATTAATTCAACAAAAGCTTTCTAATTTATTTTGCTATTTTAAATTGGTTCAAACCTGATAATAATAATTCTTGCATTTGATGTAGCACCTTAGAACGTCATCGAAATATCTCACAAGCGCTGCACAGCATATATTATAAATCGCAATGACTTGCATTTATATAGTGCTCCTCACGCAGGGTAGCGTTCCAGAACGCTTGACAGTGGTGGAGCATGACCCCAAGTCTGGGGTAGATGACCGTAGGCACGATCGAAGAGGAAGGTCTTCAGGTGCGACCTGAAGATGGGGAAGGAAGGGGCAAGAAGAAGAGTGTTCTTGAATTTTTGGACGTAGGGGCTGAAAATGGTGGAATGGAGGGCACGAGTGACATGTGGAAGGCTGGAGGCAGTCGAACGGAGGCAGCGGCTTGTGGGTTGGGGGGTGAGCAGGTCAGAGAGGTAGTGAGTTGCCAGGCCATGAAGGGATTTGAAAACGAGTGTGAGGATCTTGAACTCGATTCGTTTGTCGATATGGAGCCTGGCTACAACAACAACAAAAAATTACATTTATAGAGCGCCTTTCACATTGGGAGGACATCCCAAAGCGTTGAACAGTCAGTTGTCGGGGCCCAAGCATGGGGGAGGGGTGGTGTAGGGGTGAGGGAAGGCAGAGAGGTGGGAGGGAGACCAAAGGCACGGTCGAAGAGAAGGGTCTTGAGACCGACCTTGAAGGATGCGAGGGAGGAAGCGAGGCGAAGGAACCGTGGGATGGAGTTCCAGAGTGTGGGGGCAGAGAGGCTGAAAACCCGGCCACCAATGGTAGGGCGAGTTGAGCGGAAACATGGAGCAGGCTGGAGCTGGAGTGGAGCTGATGAACGGAGGGAGAGGGCAGGTTGGTAGGGAGTCAGCAGGTCAGACAGGTAGGAGGGGGCAAGGCCATGGATGGCCTTAAAGGTGAGGACAAGGATCTTGAACTCGATCCTCTGGGGGATGGGGAGCCAGTGGAATCGGGCGAGGGTGGGAGTGATGGGGTCACGGAGCCTGGTGCGTGAGAGTGCACGAGCTGCAGTTTTGGATGATCTGCAGCTTATGAAGGAAGAGTTGGGAAGGCTGATGAGGAGGGAGTTCCCGTAATCGAGCCTTGAAGAGACAAATGCGTGGGTGAGGGTTTCGGCAGCCTGAGGGGTGAGGCAGTGGCGGAATCTGGCAATGCTGCGGAGGTGGTGGTAGGCAGTGCGGGTCATGGCGCGGATGTGGGCTGGAGCTGGTGTGATGGTGGTATGGAGTTTAGTACAGGTGAGCATGTGGGCGGCGGACTTTTTGGATCATGTATATGGTGGAGTGAAAACCAGACTGGAGGGGCTTGAGGAGCGAGTGGAGGGAGAGGTGTGAGCAAAGCTGGTTAGCGACAACATGGGTCCAGAGTTTTGCCAAGGAAGGGCAGGTTGGAAATGGGGCGCTAATTTGTGAAGTTGGAGGCGGTCAAGGGTGCTTTTTTTTGAGGAGAGGAGTGATGACAGCAGTTTTAAAGGGCGGAGGAACAGAACTGTAGGAGAGCTGCTGGTTGACTGTGTCGGCCAGGAGTGGAGGGGGAGTTGGGTGAGCAGCAACTGGGGTGGTTGAGGCAGCAGGTGGTGGGCTTCATCTGGGATATAACGGTTGAGAGGGAGGGGGGAAGAATCGGGGCAAAGGAGTTCAGTGCGGGGGGAGTGGAGGTGCCATGGTGGAAGGAGGGATTGTGTAGACGGTCTGGGGGTTGAGGGAGGGGACGTAGGGAAAGAGGATGCAACCAAGCTGATATTTTAATAATATTAAACACTTCACGTACAGTATATTCTGTGAAGCGCTTTGAGACTTCTTGAAGACATGATAAGGCGCTATATCAAATGCAAGGATTATTATAATAATAATAATAATTTGGTCACTCAATCCACGACTGTTTATGAGTCACTACTATGCGAATTGGCTGCCACATTTCGCCTACAAAATGTACAAAAGTCAGTTTCACTTTACAGTATATGCTATGAAGCGCTTTGAGACACCTCAAAGATATAAAAAGGCACCATATAAAATATAAGGATTATTGTTATAGTACAACTGCTGTTCAAGATTTGGAACTGACCATATTCTTATGTTTTACTTTAATCTTCTTCACAGTGCATCAAGACCTACAACCTTGACTGGCATGTTGTTCAGTATAAATATGAAGATTATTCTGGAGATTTTAGACAGCTGCCAAAGTGAGTAAATGATTTTCTCTTTAAATGCATTGTCTCTACTGGCAAACTAGCACCAAATGTTCACCATCAGTGCTTGTTTTAACATGTGTGTGGTTGTTATAATTTAATATCTTTTACATGTATAGTATTAATTGCCTTGAATTTTTTTGTTTATGATGTTGCTCGTGGGAATTATTTTAGTGGAACTGAATTAATATAAGTAGAGTTACTGTGACTATCGCCAATTCAAATCTGTATGGCAATTTGGTTCCCAAACAAATGTAGGCAGTCATTCCCAATCAGTTTTCCTTCTGTTTTTCTGGTGACTTACTGAAATCTCACATATGCGCACACGTCAAGCACATTGTGCTCTGTATGCAGATTGTACATACCAACAACAAGAACGACTTCACTCAGAGTAGCGTCTTTGAGCGCACCGGGCGCAACAAGGACTGCTTGCAAGGTAGAAAGTCTTTGTTCGAGAGCTTACAGGTTATTTGATTAGCACAGACATTGATAAAAGATCAAAAAAACTAAATCCCGAACAAAACCTGCTTCTTTCTAGAGTCCTCTCTCAATGGATTAGCCAGTTTATCCATTGAGTAGCTCACCTTACAGACCTGGAAGCTCCCAGTGTTCATTTCCAATCTGTACTGAGATAATAATCCTTAGATTTGGTACGACACCTTTCAAAGTGCTTCACAGGATATACTATTAAGTATACTGTGTTTTGTGGTGTTTTGGTGGAGTGCTATAGCTCAGTGGTAAGAGCGTTTGTCTCGCAAGTGAGAGACCTGGGTTCGATTCCCAGCAGGGTGAAACGTTGGGCACGTTTCCTTGCTCCACATGCCTCTGTTTACCTAGCAGTAAATAGGAACCTGGTTGTTAGTCGATTGGTGGATCGCTTTTCCCGGCGTAATAATTCCTTGCAAAAAAAAATGTATTCACTCAATCCAGGATTATTTGTGGGACACTGCTGTGCGCAATTGTCTGCCACATCGTGCATCACAGAGACGCAGCACGCACTCGGGCGAAGCCTGGCCGTGCTGACATGGAAATTGCCTCAAGTGGTGTTGACGGCAGCCGTTCGGCTGCTTTTCCTGCCACTCCTGACAGCTCCAGGCTGAGCAGCGCCATGTTGGAGTCGGGCTGGTGGCGAGTGACTGTTGGCTTCATGGAGGGTGAAGCCTGAAGCTCGAGTTGGGGCTTCACCCGGGGCTGTGGTTAGCCCCTCCCCCTCTGGAGTTTAACCCCCCCCCCCACATGCCCATATGTATATAATTTATATAATAATAATCTATATACTAATAAAGACGAAATGTGTGTCTGTCTGTGTGTCAATCTACATTCCATAATGGATCCTTTGATTCTAAGTACAGCGAGACTTCCACATTGTTCAGAAATCCCGGAAGAAGTTTCAGAGCAAGTCTGCACACACTGTTCTGTGGACTGTGCGTAGCCTGGAATAATGTCCTTTTTTGCAAAACCAGCTGAATCATAACTTGGAATGCGTTAGTCTCCAGGAAGGTGGTATGATTGCCCATTAGCAGGGGGGTTTCAGTCCTAAGCAGCCATTTGTCTCACAGGTGGCCCCTTAAGTTATCCGACCTGATTTACTCAAACTCAGCAATGCAGTGCCAGTGTATTTGGCAAACTGATTTGCTGGAAAGTGATTTTTTTACTTTAATGGAGTTCTCTGTTGCCTGAAGAGAATGCGTCTTAGTATGTAATAAAACTGAAGGCCACAAAGCTTACCTTAAGCTAATAGTTTTTTTAAAATCTGTTATGTTTGCTGATTTATTGCAGGTGGTTTTAAATAGTGCAGTATGCAGCACACTGACACTCCCTGTAAAACTAATCCTCTCCGGTTGAGTTGTAATATCTTGTGAGCTTTCTTGCCAAAATGGACTATCCAAGCTGGACTTTATGGACTGCACACGGCTAAAATAGAAGAAAAAATCTTGTCAGATCTAACTTTGCCAATTATCAGGGAGGTTTGTTTTTTGATGTTATTGTTCATGTCTTCATGAAACTAATTCAATATTTTAAGATACATATTTTTCTTTTCACAGTAAAGTGGTCAGACCAGATAAGCTTCCAGTCCACGTCTTTGAAGTTGATGAAGATGTAGATAAAGATGAGGTAACTTCTGGTTCCCTTGTGATAATCTCTTGCCTTGTTTAGACTGGAAGGTCTGAACCCCATTATGTCTTCCCTGAACTTTTACATTTACCTCCAATTTGCATCAGTGAGTGCATGTGTTTGTTCTGTGTCATTACCAGTATATAGCTGTTTATGATATGCAGGATCTTTTAGCCTGCTCAATTGAAATAATAATAAATAATAATAATAATCCTTGCATTTGATATAGCGCCTTATCACGTCTTCAAGACGTCTCAAAGTGCTTCACAGAATATATTGTAAAGTGAATTGACTGTGTATTTTGTGAGCGAAATGCATTGCCTTCAGATGTTTTAACCAGGTTCAAACTTCCATTCTGATCTAACACTTGAATTTTTAGCAATAGAGTACAGTATTTTAATTTGCAATTTTGAATGCGTTTTTAAAATAGGGCATTAATTTGGAATCTGGATTTCAAGATGCAGTTTACATAGAACATCATCTGAAACAATGAAACTATTGTGAAGTATAACAAGGAACACTTGTTACATATACTAGCAGGCAGAAGTCAATAGGATCTGATGCTGGGTTTGTGTCGCTGTTTATGCAGCCCCAGCCTTCTCTTTTGAAAACCCCAATGTTTTCTGAGTTTTATTTCTACAAGGAAACTAAGACACGGTTGTTTTATACTCATGTTGACATGATGTGAAAAGACGCCATCGGAGTTTTCATATGAGAAAGTTGTGTGTAATATTGATGTTTTTCTGCCAGCTGGGCAAGAATTCCACCTGATATTGGGCAACTGTTCACCACAGCACTTCTCCAGTACGCACCTCAGTGTCAGCCTTTCTCAAAGTCCTGACAAGGAGCTTGTAACCACAACCTATGAAATGAGAGACAAGAATGGTTCCAATAACAATACAACACAAAATTACATTTGTATAGTGCCTTTCACATCAGGAGGACATCCCAAGCCACCGAACTGTTAGGAATTTGGTCCCAAGCAGTGGGGGAGGGGGTTGGGATCAGGGAGGGTAGGAGGGTGGTCAAAGGCAATTGAGCCAGGCTGTCAAGAAAGTAGTGTCTGGTGGCTAGAACTAGATTTTGCGTCCTTTGCATTGAGTGTCACCCAGCCTGGAGTGTAAACCCAGCACCAAGCATCCTGGCTGACCTTAACGCCAGCTTTTCAAGTGTTGAAAACACTGTTGGAATGTGTAGAATCTAAACATTTTAAATTCTGAAGAAGACATCTTTTTATAAACTTTGGACACTCAGGTGTAAACAGAACTTTTTTTGGTGACTTCTCACCTGTTGACAGTGTCAAGTTCTCCTGGGCCATGAACAGCTTGGCACATGTGAGCTATTTTCCTCACGTGTGCCTCAACCCACAGACACCACTGGTGCACTAGCAATCATTCCCCAACTTTCTGAGCCCATTGCTAAATTTGGGTTGTGTGCACAAAACTGTGTGTTTATTATTTTGAGTTTATTCTTTGGAATACATCTTGTAATTCATATACCCCTGACCTAATGGAAAGTGAGTTACAATCTGTCTACTTGAATTTGTGCGTAAATCCTTTTCCCACTGTTTTTATCTCACTGAGGAAGTAAAACCGACGATAAACATTATGCTGGTGATGGGGGGGCGGGCTGGGGAAGTAGAGTGCATTGTGGTGCAGTATGTGGTGGGAGCTGTAATGAGTCAAGTCATTGGTTTGGATGAAGAAGGCTCTCTGGCCCATGAGATCTCATCCTTCCATATTGTGCACCCTACCATCTTCCCATCGCAGATTTGAGCTGTTTTCTAAATGTATCCAGTGTCCTAGACAGATCTGTGTCCTCAGACCCTCTTCCTGGTTCCAGCCTTCTATTGTGCTAGCATGAAGGTCAATGTCCATAACTCCTCACCACAAGGAGTTACTGGTCTTAGCCATAAGTGGATGATGGCCATTACCTCACAAGGAGAACCTCTGGGGGATGCGTCACCCCCAATTTGTTCTCTTGTGCCTCTGGGCTACGAAAGAGCTCCAGTCTCTCTCCATGGCGGAAATACAAGAGATTTGAAGGCAAAGGATGCTAAATAAAGCCTACATGTTGGAAATGTATAGCCCAGAAGCCTTCCAATTTGATATTGAAAAGCTCCTGTGCACTCTTATCTTGATCCTGGTGCACCATTTGAATGTCTCATTGGGTGTTCTTTCTCAATACCCTTAAACAGCAATAGTTCAATCATTCCAAGCAGTTTGATTTGTGAATGGAACACAGGAATAGACCAGTTTGTTAGATCATGGCTGATCCTTTAATCCCACTTCCCTGCCTTTTTTCTATATCCTTTAATATTCTTATTACACTACCTGTCTCTTTTTAAACATCTCAATGAATGCTGCTCCTATAAGCCTTCTGGGGCAATGCGCTCTATATTCTCACAACCTACAATTACACAGTAACAACACTTTGCAGGAATACTGATGCACTTTGATATGTTTGGAGGAGGTGATAAAGCACAATATGAAATACAAGGTATTATAATCCTCTGTGTGAAGAAATATCTTTTAATCTTGGTTCTAAAGTTTTAAAATTGTTTCCTTGTTCTGTATTCTTCTACCAGAGTGAAGTCATTCCCTGTCCAGCTGTCAATTCTCGACATTACTTTAAACACCTCAATCAGATTGCTCCTTAACCTCCTCAGCTCTAGGGAAAATAACATGAGTTTATCCCTTTTCTCATCACCGCTAAGCTCCCTTTCCCAGGAGTGGAGATAAAGTGGTAAACTATACTCTCACCCATCTTTCACAAGAACTTCCCTTTTTTAGTTTAAGGAACCTCGTTGAATAGTACGAACATATGAAGCAAAAGTCCATTGTCAGCACTGTCTTACAGAAATAAGTCTTTTTCATATTGACAAAACTTTCCCAACCTAAAAACTATACTGATACTTGTGGAATAACAGATTGAGTAATGTGGCTCCAAACCATCCAGCTAACCATACCCCTTAGAGTTGAAAGTTCTCTTTGTTTTATTATTTGTGTTGCACTGTGTAAACTGAAATTTCTGTGCTTTTTCAGCTTTGTTGTTCTTGCCCTTTTCTCCACGTCATAGTGTTTTTCCACAATACGGTTTGTATCATGGGAGATACCTCATAGTCTGTGATGTGCATAGATGCGTATGAATGATAGAAGTGAGCTTGCAGACTGTGCAGTTTCACTATGCGTTTGATGCAGATGATAATGGGTAGGGGGAAATGACTACATTTTCCTGTTACTAACTGCGTGTCTGAGATTGATGAACGTTTAATTGGGTAGTAAAGGGGAACCCCTACACAGCATGATGTTGGCAAGATCTTTTTCTCCTTCTATTGTTTTGCTTTAAATGTATCCTGTCTACAACTTTGAGAACACAAACCTAAAGTGAATATAGTTATGATTAGAATCTTAACTGCTGCAATGATGGATGTTTCTAGCCATAATGTTCTGATAGTTCAGACGTCATGGAGCTTCCTTTAATTACTAGTGTTTTTAAATGGTTCTGGCATAGTTTCCCCCAGGTTGGGATAACTAAGGTTAAAAGTTGTGAAGAAAGGAGCGGAAAAAATCTACTGGAGTTCAAGTAGAGTAAAACTCGCATACGTTTTATCTTTGTGAATCGTATAATCGGCTACGTCATACGTCCACCCATGTCCCATTTAGTTTCCTGTCAAAACCACTTAGATTTCTTTGCACTAGTCATATTTATCATCTCTTAACTTGTAACACTGCTCCCCTATCCTCCATTACTCCTGCACTTACCAGCTGCATTGAATCGTGGGAAATGACGTCCTGAGCCGTCGACCACACACACTTACCGGATGGCTGCATTGTATTGCAGGAAATATAGTCTTGATCCATCAACACATGTGCAGAAGAACTTTATTTCCTGCGATTTAATGAGATTCCAATGCTTGCTGGTAAGTGCGCATGCAGCAATGGGTCAAGACGCTTTGAATCGCAGGAAACGTGGTCTTGACCCGTCACGCCATGCAGACTTACTGGCCGCAGTGACGAACTACTACATTCGCACTTACCGGCTGTATTGAATTGTGCATGTACAGTAAGGTAGGTTATTCATTAAATTGGATTTTATATGACTTGTACAGTTTGCCTGCAACTTAGACTTTGCTTAAGTCATATTACATGTTATTGTACTGACTGATACGACTTATGTAAGTTGTACTGTGCTTCACAAGCTATGTAAGTAGCTGCTTTCGTGGTTGGATTATATCTTGTTTATGTTTTGTATAGTTTTTGAATATTATATACTGAAATCTTCTCACCAATATTGCATATTAAGTTTACTAAAAGGTTTTGGAGATAGAATTGTTCAGGAGCAAATTCATGGGTAGAAATTCTATCTAAGTTAAGACTTACTTTATAATGTTGCATTTAAAACATCCAGAATTTGCCATGATCTTAAATGCAGTATAATTTTGAAACAATTTTCTGTAAATTCTTTCAGTCAGAAAAGGATGGGAGTAAAACTGATTTTGGTTTCTATTCCTCGCTATATGGTGAGGTGGAGAGCTGCTGTATCTGAGCAACTTTAACCCAGCATCAAATGCTGTTCTCAGTAGAGGTAGAAGATTGGAGGACGGGAAAGGTCAAGTCCATTGATTTACACTGACTGTACACCTTTTTGAAGTCTCTATGGGAACTTTATCACCTGTAGAGTAAATGAGTTTTGAAAGGATTCTGTGTCGAGTATTAATGTAAAGATTTTTTTCATAGGATACAGCTTCTCTCGGATCACAGAAGGGTGGCGTTTCAAAACAAGGATGGCTGTATAAGGGCAATATGAACAGTGCTATAAGTGTGACCATGAGGGTAAGTGGTTTAATGATGTCAGCTTGATAACATGCAATAATATTGAAACCAGAATTAATGGTGCCATTGGATTCTTCATTTAATCAATAGGCTAAAAGTAAGATGCTGGATATGTCGAGTACTTTACCAGATGAAAGATGATCAGGAGTGGGAAAACCTCTCTCTCTTCCCAGTCAGGTGAATTACGTCCAACTGTTGCCTTGGCTGAAATTAGCTAACTCATTGTAGACCTTGCATTCAACATGGGATCTTCTAGTTGTGCATGATTCTGTTTCATGTTCAGCAGCGCCTTTACCAACTGAGCTATCGGGGAAGTTCCAAATATTTCCCTGTAAATTTGGCTTGATGTTATCTGTTTTCAGTCGAATTATTTTCTGTTTTATTTCACTCCCAAGTACTTTTTATATTCAGGAACTTTGATTTGATTTCACCCTTAAATACCTTGGTCTTTGTTCCTGTATGATTCAATCTGAAAACATCAAAAGTAGCCCAATTTCCTGAAAAACAAATGTAAATAATGAAATGAAAATGTTGAATTGATAGTGGAGCATTGCTTTAACTCCATTCTGCACAGTAAATTCCTACTTATTTTCCAGATAATCTTTCAATCTGCTGTAATTACTTTTGTGCCATTGGATATTGTTTATTCTCGAGGCAGAAGTCAGAAAGGTCCTGAGCGCAGTTTGTTATGTAAAGGCACTGTTATGTAACTGATATCGAGGAAGATACAAAAAGGAAATTTTAAGGTACAAAATTTGACTTCTGCTTGATCTTAATCTCTGGGATTGAAACATGTTGAAATCTATTTAGTTTAGCACAGATTGCAGCATTGCTGAATTTCAGGTATTCGGAAAAGCTTTTTAAAGATTTTATGGACACTTTCATTACTCAAATGAAACAAAAATAGGGCATGTTTTAGCAAAACACTGGAAGAAAGCAATAGAACCACACCAAAGCTTTGAGAATTTTTTACTGAATAAATTCAGTACACTTCATTTAATCTCTGTTGCAAAGTGGTTCACAGGAACAGATGTAATATAACTTGATCCAAATCAAGGTAGCTTCTATATTTGTCAATGCAAACTATCACAAATCCACCACTCTAAACAACATCTTTGTCCAACTCTCCTTTTTATTGGCCCTTTTGTTAATTGTCAATTTACTCTTAAAGGAGTATCCAACAGCAGACAAAATCTTACAGAGCAATTTGAAACTTGGGAGTTTCGCAGATAGATTTCTTTTTAATATTCATGATATTTGCTCTATTGTTCATATCGATGTAATGTAAAATTATCACAAATGTAAACTCAAACATAAAATATGAGCAAAGAAACACAGAAATTGCAGCAGAACAGAATGCTTATTGGCTCATTGGATCTAAATTGGCGCTAGATCATTGAATAGGGGTAATGACTCAAATCCCAATTCCTGGCTCTTTCACCATAACATTTTCTGGTGCTGGTGCCTGCGAGGTGCTGCATTTGCCAACTGAGTTATCGTGGGAGCTGAATAAGAAATCTTAGTTATCAGAATTTAGAAGGGAGTTACAATTCCTTATTTCACGATGATTTCAATGTAATTCTAACTTCAGAAATGCACATTTTTCAAATAAAACTCATGATGTTTAATGGACTTCCTATTCCCAGTTGTGGGAATGTCAAAATCGGGGCCTGATATGTCTAATTATGGATTTTGCATTATCTGTGTAGAATAATCTCTACGCTCCTCTTCGTCAAAATTACATGTAGCTCAATCGGGCTGAACTTCTTTATTTTGTTCTTTATCAAGGCTCGAATACAGAAACTCCCTGCTTGTCAGCCTTCCCAACTCTTCCCTCCACAAGCTGCAGATCATCCAGAACTCTGCAGCCCATGTGCTCTCCCACACCAGGCTCCGTCACCGCATCACCCCCACTCTCGCCCAGCTCCACTGGCTCCCCATCCCTCAGAGGAAATCCTCGTCCTCACTTTAAAGATCCTCCACGGCCTTGTCCCCTCCTACCTCTATGACCTGCTGACCCCCGTCAACCTGTCTGCTCCCTCCGTTTAGCAGTCTCCGGCCTGCTCCCTGTTTCCTGCCTGACCTGCCCTACCGTCGGCGGCCAGACTTTCAGCCTCTCTGCCCCCTCTCTGTCCAGTTGTGGGAAACTTGTTTCTAAAATACTGTAGGTGTTTAGAAAATTGATAATAATGATAATAATCCTTGCATTTGATATAGCGCCTTATCATGTCATCGAGGCATCTCAAAGCGCTTCACAGAAAATACCGTAAAGTAAATTGCCTGTGTAATTTGCACACAAAATATTTTCAAAATGATAATAAGCATCATACTCTCAGAACTCAGCTTTTCCGTGACTCATTCATGTTTTGGAGATCAAGTGCCAAAGAAGTTGACCATTAGCAACCATCTTTATCCCACAGCTTGGAACAAATGGTGCTTTTTTTTCTTCACAGTCATTCAAGAGGCGTTTTTTTCACCTAACGCAGCTTGGGGATGGCTCGTGCATTCTCAACTTCTATAAAGATGAAAAAATCTCCAAGGAACCCAAAGGGTCCATATACCTGGACTCGTGTATGGGAGTGGTGCAGGTAGGACATTGAAGTTTTGCTTGATATAGGTATCACCTGATCTTTAATGTAGTCCACTTCTCAATAAGACCAAGAGCATTTAAACAAGTGGCTGGGTCACGGGCAGTGTGGTATTGCACCGTAGTTGTCTATAAGGTAGCCATTTGTCAAGTCAGTGAATAGTCTTCTACTTATTTAGATGATGATGCTTTCCTGTTTGTTGTGAAATATGATCATAAAGTATGAAAAACTATGCAAAAAAAATGCCAGAGTTTAAGTGGGAAATATCTTCTTGGCTAATCTAGAATTGAAAAGTTAAATGATAGTAATATTTACAGATGTCTAGTAATTTCATGCCAATCTTATTGTTGGCATAAACCTTACAAGCAGGTTGAATTACAATTCATTGAATGGGATAAAATGTAAATCCAGGTAGCACAGAAATAGGTTTCTTTTGAAATGGGCAATAAAGTGTGCAGATTACAGTACAAATAACAGCAATGCAATTGTTTTTAAAAAGAGAGAAATTGTAAAATAATAAAATCAAGACCAAGCAAGAACAAAACAAAGTAAGCTTTCATACACTTAGCAGCCAGAAACTCTGCCATTCAGCAAAATAATAGAATAAAATAGGCTTTTCTCTATGCCAAATGAATTGTCAAAGGGGATAAAGCTGCACTCAGATGTTCACTTTTCTCAGCTGGATTCTCATGCTGTCAGGGTATTTGAACTCAAAAATATAAGCTAGTGGGTCATTAAAACTTTTAGTGCCCACGTGGTCACTGTTTGCTGGACTGATTGACAGGAACGTGATTAAAGCCACCAGTTGTCTATGTGCATCATGGTCTCTTGTTCTTGGATATTTCCAAGAGTTAAGTCTGCATTTGCAAGCCCTTTGTACAAAAAAATTATAGTATGCATGTGACCGAAGTTTTGACTTTAGACTCTCTGGAAGCTAAGAGAATTTACTTTTGTGTCTTCCACTGCATCCACCTGCCCAAAAAAACACAAATGCACATTTGCAATATCATATATGCAATAATAATATTGTATATTGTTTAGAAAATGTATCTGTGTTGCTTGTCCACCTAGGAATACAACAACACAAGTTGCATTTAGAGAGCACCTTTCATGTCAGGAGGACGCCCCGACATCCTATCTTTTAGGGCTTTGGCTTGCAAGGTTGTTAACAGTGGGAAGTATCCCTCCCCACAGTGACCAGTCTCTCCCTCCAAGTTCAGTGTATTTTCCTAGTTAGTTTAGTGCAATCACCTAGCGAGAGACAATGCAGCATTCACAGGAAAAATAATAAATCAGCCTTATTGCAACATTTGTTGTGCCAGCTGTGTATAGACAACAGATGACTGGCATGAGTTTGACACTGTTAAGAAGCCCTATCTCTCATGGCAATGTTGATTATCATGAGTAGGTGTCTCAAATGAGAGGAATACAATTCTTCCTGTGCTAGTCATGCACTCATTCTCGGCTGTTTAGTAAAATGTTAATGAGTTCTAGCCAGTGGGCTTTGTGTTGGTCTGTATTTGGGCTCAGTCATTGAGTTCAGCTGAACAGCAGCGAAGGAATCATTTAGATTTTTATTACAAAACCAACTACTGTATTGCTGCAGCTGCTGATTTGTGCACACATAACTCAGTTTGTGCTCTGTTGTGGGTGTGAGCAGGGTTGTGCATTTTTGAATTGCAGAGTGACTGGTCACTTATACTTTGCTTAAGCTCTTTACAGCTGCCAAAGAGAAGCACATTCCCATCAGCAACACATTTACAGACATCAAATGCATATTCCCATGGGCACCACATAACCTAATTCCAGAGTCTGGTTGTACAATGTTCCTTTCACACCTTATGAAAAAGAAATCAAGCCAGCTGGAAGTGTCCTTCCTCACACCTTTGTAAGGCCTGGAACTGTAAAGGAGAGGTAATAATAATACTTGTATTTGATACAGGGCCTTTTATGCCAGCTGGACAACTCAAAGCGCCTCATAAGATTTAATGTAAAATGTAGTGAGTGCATTTGTAAGTAAACCCGGAAACCAATTTGCTCACAGCAAAATCCCGCAAACAGCCATGAAGAGAACAACCAATTTTATTTAGGAGATTATTGGCTCGGACAAGAACAACAACTTGCATTTATATAGTGCCCTTCACGCAGGTAGCGTCCCGGAGCGCTTAACTGGACAACCAGAGAAACTCTTTGAATAATGTTATGGGACCTTAAAAGCAAAGCACCAAAGCAAACAAAATTATATTTACCTATATGATGTGTTATTCAGGGCTGGACATTGCTGATAATGCACATCTTAATAGCTACAAGTGGATTCAGTGTTTTAATCCTAGAACTTTAACAGAATGAAGAACATCCCCTTTTAAGATAATTGTTGAGTTTTAAATTACTTTTTGGAAAAAAAAACAGTTGTGTTGTGCTGAGAATCTATTGGGTTTGTGTTATCTTCCATAGTACATGTTTTTGGAACTGTACCATTCAAATTATTTTGAAATGTTTCTTGCCAAGAACAGCTAGCTGGCTTCATTCAGGGTTTTTGTCTTATCGGTTATGTATAGTTCACTTCATAGTTTTTGTACCTTTTCTCCTTGGGCAGAAAAAGAAGTTTCTCTCTGAACAAGCTGTGTCCAAGGCTAGGAGATACTGGCAATGTTAAATTATTAAGCAACTCAAAGGCTACCGGTTAGATTGGTGTCAAATAGAACCTTGCATTCTATAGTGTCTTTGGGCAATTGGAACAACACATGAGCTCTTTTCAAATTATTTCCAAAGTAACCTAATCCATTAGGTATTGTGAGACTATTAACAGCTGTAGTGAGTTGGTAACTACTGTGAAACTTGTCCTACTTGAAACCCAGCTGTCTTTTTTAGGATCCACATCAGTTTTTATCCACGTTTAGATGTTTAGCTCTGACTTTAGTCATTTGTACAATGGCAACTGTCTTCTGAACCTACTGTCCTGTTTTATTAATGTTTATTTGAAGGGGGGGAATAAAACAGTTAACCGATATTATTAAGACCCCCAAAAATGTAGGAAAACAATTAGATTCCACTTGGGAATAAAAATAAGTTTTAATCAGTCGATCGTTTAGATATTTTTTAAAAAAGGTGCGCATGTAAAGTATGGGTTGAGGTAGATCACAAAACTGCGGATGTGCTTGTTAGGAATGGGATGGGGTAGAACTTTATTGTGTATGTGTTAGGAATGGGGTAGGGTTGAAGATTTTCCCAATCTTTGGAAAATTTGTCTGGTCATTTTTCATTGATTGACAACACAATTGCTTAATTCGAGATTAATAAAATTGAGCAAGTCTCACTCTGTTAAAGGGAAGATGCAACAACAACAACAAATTACATTTGTATAGTGCCTTTACTCTAGGGGATTGGCAATAATCTACTATCAAAGTAAAAATTCCTTCTTTGTCCCTGAAAAATACAGTCAATTCATCAATATATCCAGTGAAGCGCTTTGAGACGTCTCGTAGACATGATAAAGCACTATATCAAAACCAAGAATTGTTATTGAGAGCAAACTTTTGTTGTATTTAGCTTCTACCTCAGGAAGAGATTTCTACATTTTTATATGTTATTGCCAATCTTCCTTCTTACGTGAAGACACAGATCCTTTGCTTGATACCGTTCTACATGCTGTGCCAGTGGGTTTTTCCAAGTGTCCATTCTTCACCAGACCCCACACCAGTTAGTGAGTGGTAAAAGGTTGTATGTCTGTGGGGGTATCAGAGCCTCGCTAGTCCAGAAGTGTTGTCTATCTTCCTAGACTTTATTTCCTAGAAGAGTGGATATGTCTACTGGAAAGCAGCTTTGGGAAACTTCTTACAATGGTGAGTGGGAATCGGCATTCTATGCTTGGATGCCAGTCACAAATCTCACGCCTGAATTTAAGATTCTGTCCGATTCCTTATTAAATCCAGACATTTGGCAAGTGTGAGGCATCATTGTCCTCCTGAGAGCTGTCTGGTGGGGAGCATCAGTCACCCATTGGAATGTATGGTCAGATCACCAAAGGCTGTTCTATGACCAGGTTCATTTTAAACACCTTCTCTAAGGAGATTTTTTTTTAAAAATTCCAAATCATTATGTGTTGACTATTAAAAGTCCTCTTGTTGTGTAATCCTCCCCCTCAAGTCCCCTTTAAGAATAAATGGAAAATCACATTGCTGAAGGAGGGATTTTTTTCTTTTGCATTTGGACACATTATTGGAGTTTAGTAACTGGACACTTTAATCTGTACTCCCTCTGTGAACCTGCAGTGACATCTCTTGCTGGGCCACGTGAATTCTGAAATGCAGAGAAATAAAAGGAAATTATCCTCCAGATGAACTTTACTGCAGGTGGAAAAAAGCCCCATGATACACATGCTTTCCTGGAAAACCAAATACCACAATTACTTATTATACTTATTATGTTCATAATTCCAGAGTGCATGTGTGCAATGTGAAATTTCAGCCTGAATTTTGTACTTTAAATTATGGTAGTCAAGAGTCTGCAAGAATACTTTGTGTGAACACAGAACCTGATCTGATTTTAATAGCTCCTCAAACTGGGGCTCAGCGTAAATGTGTTGCCGGTGCGGAATTGAGCAGTTCAGTGACAAGAGCAGTGCTGTGTCAGGTTGGCTCAGATAGTATAAACCTTGCCTTTGGCTCAGAATGTTATGGGATTGCAGTTTACAGTCAAATTTAAGACTCCAGTTCAATACTGGAGGAATCCTGCTTTACTTTGTTTGAATGAGATATTAAACTTGTTTTATCTGCTCAGGCAGTGTTAAAGATCTTATAACATAATTCGAAAAGAAGGAGAGTTTGTCCCAGACTTCTGGACAATAAACTTCCAGTTGAATTGATCATTCACCTCATGGTTGTTTGTCGGTTCATGCTGGTGCAGAAGGCTATCACGATTGCCTGCAAAAACAGTCATTACACTTAACAGAAAATATGTGTAAAATGCTCAATGATTTGGCATAAAATGGTATAAAATTCCACTTTCTCTGCTTTCAAAACCAGCTTAAAATCTTATCTCCTTGACTGCACCTTTGACCATATCACTCACCCTTTTCTGGTTTGTTTCTGTAACTCATTCTCCAATGTGACTTGTAAATTGATGTTGTTTCCTATGGACGACAAAAGTATTAGGGGTTCTAAGTCAGGGCAGCAAGTAGGACATTTCAGTTGTCCTCATGGAGCTTGAGCTAGAGAGGGGGAATATCCAGCCATAGTTTGTGATTATTTGTTTTGCAGTGAACTGTGTGTGCATGGACAGTGGTGCGTGGATGTTGCACAACTGGTCTCTTTGATGCCTCTCACAGTTGATTATCCTGCTAACACTCGCTGGCTGGGCAAATGCTCGAGGAATTGACATTTGGGCAACTTCCTGGAGGCCCAGCATGAGCCAGTGCTTTCAGGAGAGGGGAAAAATATCCCAAATGAATGATTAAAACCGTCTGTTGACACATGTCCAATATTTGCTGCTCTAGCTGGAAACAGACCTAAATTTCAGTTTCTTTGTACTGTTCAGTTCTGGAAATTATTGGCCTCACTTTACAGGCATTACTAGGGCTGTGTTTAGGCAGCTATTTAGCTGTTGATATTTTAAATCATTTACTACCGATAGACAATGGGTTTTGTGAACTTGTTAACGATTGAGATATTTATATTATACCCTGCCTGTGTAAATAGTATGTACTAAATTGACAGATTTGAACATTTTAACTGGTACTGGCAGTCCAGAGCAGCCATTCTTCATGTCTGCGCCCAGACAGTGAGTGTCAACAGGTTATTCAACTATGAGGACTTTCCCTCACAGGTAAGATGGTCCTAGCTGGACAAATAGTGGGAAGCTTGCCAGACAATGCTCTCAATGGGTAATGCAGTTTTAGCTGGTTGAACTCCAGCAATATCCCAGCGCACACTCTGCAGACCCCAAACCTTGACTCTTGCCAACCTGCGACTAATGTTTTCCACAATGAGCAGAACGGGTCCATGCAAGGAGAGAGTGCACATTCCATTCAAGGTACAGGGACGTTTCCAAGTGTAGGTGGCATACATTTGTGAAAGAGAGGGAGGAGAGAGAAAGAGAAAAAAGGGAGAGTATTCTGCAGTGCTATACAAAAACTTCATTAAGATTCCTAGTTGATTGCTACCCATTAGAAAGCAAACGTGGTGTACATTCAAGGACATGATAGACTTGGCTGTGATGAGTGCTCATAGTTTATATTGTCAGCTGGGTGTCTGACACACGTGGAAACCTGTTACCGTGCTGAGTTTCACATATATAGGACACCTACATTTGGAAGTGTCCCCGTGACTATGCCAATTCTCTGGTTCCAGGTTTCTGAGTCTTCTGTGCCTGAACAGGCAGGATGGTTCCCATCACCTCTGTGATATAATTAGTGATAACCAATCCAAGGAAGAAATATTCACGTAGAGAATCAGGATATTAGAATGTTCAAGAATTTTTTATCTTGTGTTTTCAGGTGCATTTCCTCTAAAAATCTTGAAGCACTGTGAAATCTGTTGTAAACTGAATACCAGCCTTCTAAAGTTACTTTTTATTTCGAGATAGCATGCTCAGAGCCTGGAAACAGGTTGCTTACCTATCCTTTTAGTTAAGGATGTGGTGGAGTGTAGAGAAACAGCAGAAGAAGGAGGAAAAGTTTTATTACAAAAATACATAGATCATGTAGAAACTATGAAATGAAGAGGTTATTGTTAAATGGGTCTCTTTTTGTCTCTGGATCATTGTGCAATATCATACACTGGGAATTAGATTGTGTTGAATGATGTGTTTTTCTAATGTAGCTTTCATAACGTAAGTGTTTTCTTTGTAGAACAGCAAAGTACGGCGGTTTGCCTTTGAACTCAAGATGCAAGACAAGAGCAGTTATCTTTTGGCAGCAGATAGTGAGCAGGAAATGGAAGAGTGGATCGGATCTCTTAATAAAATCCTTCAGAGTACTTTTGAAGCTGCCATGCAAGAGAAAAGAAATGGCGAGTCACTAGAGGGTGAGTTTACATTTGATCCCAATTTCCTAGGGATCTAGGACTCTTTATCCAAAAGAAGACCCTTCGGTCCATTTATCTCTTTCCACAATACCTACCCTCCAATGATCTAACATGGGGATCAGTCTCTTGGCTAAAAAAAACACCTACTCTTAAACTATTGAATGAATCTCCTAACTACATAGCTGATGAAGAACGCAATTATGATTTGGACAAGAGACTTCACTGAAGGTTATTTATTAGTTTCAGTTCCGGAACATTTTTTTGTTGGTCTATTGAATTAATTACCTGGTGTAGATAGACAAGGCACAGTTTCATTGCAGGTCACGCATTTTTAAGATTGTTTTTTGTGGTAGATTTTAACCAAGATTGCGCTCAGTTGTCCTCTGTCTCACACGCCCCACCATTGGCGGGTGGGCCTGTTGCCACTCTGCCCCCACCCTCTGGAACTCCACCCTGAAGTCCCTCAGCCAAGCCCCCTCGCTTGCCTCCTTCACTCAGCCCTGCCCTGCTCACAACACAGGCCCCTGAGAGCCTCATACACATATTCATAATATCCAGGCTTGTCCTTGCAAAATCCTTGCTTGTCGGCCTCCCCAACTCCTCCCTCCATAGGCTGCAGATTATCCAGAACTCTGCAGCCTGTGTCCTCTCCTGCACCAGCTCCATGACCCTATCACCCCCAACCTCTCCTGACTCCACTGGCTTCCCATCACACAGAGGATACAGTTCAAAATCCTGATCCTCACCTTCAAAGCCCTCCCATGGCCTCACTCCCCACTACCTCTGCAACCTTCTAATCCCCTACCAACCTTCCTCCGCTCAGTGGGCTCCGGCCTCCTTCCCCCCCCCCCCCACCCTCCCCGATCCTGACCCCCAGCTCAGGTCCAAAACACTGATTGTCCAGCACCTACGGACGTCCTCCCGACGTGAAATATAATTTTGCTGTTAAATGAACCTAAAACCGCATCAGGTTGGTTGACACGCCCCTCCCAAAGAAACCCCAAGTTTGGAGTTTAGTGGTTTAGCGGCTCAAAGTGGCCATGAGGACTCAAGACCCAAATACCTTGTGAATTAGAAAACGGCTGCCTCCACCTCTCACTCCGTGCAGTTCTTTTTCTCATTTTGTGCTGGATGGGCAGATGGGTTAGCAAGGGTTTCCCTCTGTCATGAAGTGCTCCTACTGTCATATAATCTGCTGACACTTGTCATCAAGGCTGCACTTGAATAACCAATTGGGTAAGTATTGGGGAGTTGCCTTGATAAAATCATAGTAGGATTGTTTCTCAACACAAGTATTTGTGTTCAGGAGAGGAAGAGAGAGGGGGAATAAAGACAAATTGTAATAAATACTTAACATTCTCCACTCAGGTGCCTAAATATACACACATACATATATATAACAAATATATATACATTTGTATATGTTATGTGTGTATATTTAGGCATCTGAGTATAGTGAAGGAACAAAAGAAAAATAAACGAGCAATATTTTGCCACGTGTAACATTGAAAATCTCCCTTGTTGAAACACTGAAAATCTGTTTCCTTGAATCCAATTAGTGCAGGGCACCCTCAACTCTCTGAAGGATTCATGAATTCCCCCTTTCCGCAAGTCTTTTCTCACCCACCCTTTGCTGCAGAGAAGTGTTCAGCTGTTCACAGCAAACACTTGTCAGCAGCTTTCCCTAAACAGCTGTACTCAAAATGAGAAACAGTGCAAGGTTCAGAGCACAGATGTTTGATGTATTTTCTTTCTTACACAAGCACAAACATTGAATTTGCAAGAGTGTCACAAGGGTTACAATGCAATGATTTTTATCTAGATTTCTTAATGAGGAATTCGAACCTAGTATATACTTCCCAATACTGCTTCTGGTCACCCAAAATAGTTCTTGGCCGCTCACAAAAACTCTGCTTCAACGCATTATATATATGTAGCAATCCCCGAGGAATTCTAACTGGATTCATTGACACTTTAGGATTTACTTCATTTCCAACCACACTGTACAGCTATGACTTAGATTTATAATAATAATTCTTGCATTTGCTACCGCTGCACCAGGCTGACGTACATTATTCATTTGATATAGCACTTTTCACGTTGGGAGGACGTTTCAAAGAGCTTCACAATGTTTTTCTGTAAAAGTGTAATGATTGTGTATTTTGTAGGCGAACACGGCAACCAATTTGTGTACAGCAATGTCCCACAAACGGCAATGAAGTGAATGACCAATTTTATCTGGGGGATAGTTGGCCAAGACACCAGGAGATGTTCGCTCACTTTCTGAATAATGCAATGGGGTCTTTAACGTCCCTCTGAGCAGGCAGACTCTGTTTAACATCTTCTGGGCATAGCCAAATGTAGAAAATCTAGCTTTTTTTAAACATTCCTGTTTCTTGTCTCTTCTTTTCAGCGGGAAGCAGAGAACTGATTACACAATTCTGAAAAACAGCTTGGATAAACCAGTCCAAATAAAATGCACTAGAAATTCACAATTTTAATTGAAGTATAACATGTTTGATTACCAAACTAAGATGCGAATACTGAAAGAAACAAAGACCATATTTTAGCCTCAATCCCCATGGGTTTATTGGGTTTGTTTTAGGTGGGCCATTTAATGATTAGGTAACTGCATCTGAATTGTATTTTTGCCGTTCGACAACAAACTGGAATAGGAAGAAAAGAAAAGTTGAGTTTTGATAAATATTTTGTTTCTAGTTTCAGATGATGAACAGTCCAGTCAAGGAAAATTGGAAAGCGTAACCAGCTGGGAAAGTCTGCACTATGAACTTACAAAGGTATTGCTCTGTTCAGATTCTGTAGTTTAAAGAAAACCATTGCAAGCTTAAAAAGGTTTTTACTTTTAAAACTCTGAACTTTGCAGCCTCAAAAATGCACTTTCGTTTTGTCTTTGAATGGCTTCTGTCATGAGCCTTCAACTTCATTATTTAAAGTAGTTGTTTCAGTAGAAAATAAATACAGAGCAATGGATTAAACAAGTGTGCCTTGTATGTGTCAATGTACACTATTGTGTAACAATGATGAGCTTTCCACAAATGTATTGTGTGCTGTTTGTTTACAGGGTACCAGAGAAATAGAAAGTAAAAAGAATGAAGGCAGAATAAAGCTTTTTTTTCTGGATGCAGATACCCAGGTGAGATTTCTTAAGCTTAACTGACCCAAACTCATTTTATATTATCCTAGTTATATTATCCTAGTTTGTGGAGTCCTGTAGCTCAGTGGTTAGAGCACTCGCTTTGCAAGTGAGAGACCTGAGTTCAATTCCAGGCAGGACGAAACCTTGGGCAAGTTTCCTTACTCCACACGCCTAATAATCCCTCCAAAACTAAAAACAATAATTAAATTGGTCATTTTCAATCTACGACTGTTTGTGGGACATTGCTGTGCGCAATTGGCTGCCGCGTTCGCCCACAAATATACAGTCAATTCACTTTACAGTGTGTTCTGTGAAGCGCTTTGGGACGTCCTCCCGACGTGAAAAGCGCTATATCAAATGCAAGGATTATTATTATTATTATTATTATATGCTTGTTTGTACTAGTTATAACTAAAAATAGTTTGGAAATGCAGAACTTTGTGATAGAATTTTTTGAAAACTCAACATCTTCTAATTTTTTAAGAAGCTTGACTTTTTGGGGATTGAACCAGAAGTGAAGCCATTTGAAGAGAAATTTGGCAAGCGGTTCCTGGTGAAATGCAATGATTTGTCCTTCAATCTACAAAGCTGTGTGGCTGAAAATGAAGAAGGACCCACGACCAATGTAAGACATGATAGCGATACACGTATGTCTCTTTAAAATGATTATTCCATTCAAAACGTTAGCCTTTTTTTAAATACCATTTTGTAGAAAAAACAAGTCTTGTACTTCTTTTAAATCAAATATAACCTTGGTTCATAAAATGGAGTAAAGATACAAATATGAATTTAAAATTCAAAAGCAAATATAATAATAAGCAAATATCCAATTGTTGAGCAGATTACTGATTACAAATTACACAGGTGTTGCCCAAGTGTTTGGTTCCCCTTTGAAGTTCTTAGTTTCTCGTCTGAAAGTGTTATTTTATGCTAGGGTACACTTCCAAAGGCATCAGCCAGACTCTCTTTTGTCTGTAACTTAAATTATAATTCTTCATGACTGGGCTGTGACATTCAGTGCTGGCAGGATATTCACCTGTGGATAATATGAATTTTCCATTACCTGATGCACATAAAAACGAATCTCCAACAGAGGTCACTGAATAGTAAAAAGGAGGATTATTATTAATAACTATAACGCCTCAAATAAAAATATCCTGACAAACCAGGACTTGCAAGAAAGAGATTGTTTTTAAGTTCAGAAATACAGAATTTAACTTCTTGTCATTTTCTCTTTAAAAATGTTTTAGGTGGAACCATTCTTTGTGACTCTTGCACTTTTTGATATCAAGAACAGTCGCAAAATCTCAGCTGACTTCCATGTGGATCTGAACCATCAGTCTGTTCGTCAGATGTTATCAAATTTGTCGTCATCCATCATGAATGGTGGCGATTCTGTAGCCAATACCCAGAGAACAATAAATGGCATTCAGGAGAGCATGCTGCAGTATCCTAAACAGGTGAGAAAGATAACAACAACATACATTGTATAGCGGCCTTCGTCCGGGGTAGCATCCCAAATGCTTAAAGACCGTAATGATACTTTCTGTCTCTGCCATGGATAGTATATTTCATATTTAAATTGCATTCGTCACCTCAAGGCTTGATTACGGGAACTCTCCTCATCGGCCTTCCCAACTCTTCCCTTCACAAGCTGCAGATCATCCAAAACTCTGCAGCTTGTGTACTCTCACGCAACAGGCTCCGTGACCCCATCACTCCCACCCTCACCGACTCCACTGGCTCTCCATCCCTCAGAGGATCGAATTCAGGATCCTTGTCCTCACTTTCAAGGCCATCCATGGCCTTGCCCCCTCCTACCTCTGTGACCTGCTAACTCCCTACCAAACTGCCCGCTCCCTCCGTTCATCGGGCTCCGGCCTGTTCCATGTCTCCCGCCCGACCCGCCCTACCCATCGGTGGCCGGGCTTTCAGACTCTCTGCCCCCACACTCTGGAACTCCATCCCACGGTCCCTTCGCCTTGCTTCCTTCCTTGCCTCCTTCAAGGCCGGTCTCAAGACCCTTCTCTTCGACCGTGCCTTTGATCTTCCTCCCATCTCTCTGCCTTCCCTCATCCCTACACCGCCCCCCCCCCCCCCCCATGCTCGGGCCCGACACCTGATTGTTCAGCGCTTTGAGACGTCCTCCTGACGTGAAAGGCGCTCTATAAGTGTAATTTTGTTGTTGAATTGAATCTGAGATGTGCATGTCATAAGACTTTTTTAACAAACAACTTCAACTGTGTAGTGCAGAACTTTGGAAGCACCCTTAAGCAATTGTATACTGCTTTATAATCCTCCATGTAGAGAATTGAAGAATTAATGTTGAGTGAAGCAGATAAAGGTTCAAGTACTTCCATTACTATGAAGATGACTAAATGTCTTTCTGCTGCCATATTAAATGAATCCTCTCAGTCAACCAAAGTTACTGTAATAATAATCCTTAGGTCTTGATATTGTGCCTATATTGGCAAAATATCTCAGAGTGCTTTACAGGTGATTACTATAATAATAATAATTATTATTAACATTACTATAAGTGCTAATGACGTTTATTTGTAGACTATTGAGGCAGCCAATTTGAGATCAGCAATGTGCCATGAACAATTTTGAAGGCAGTGACCAATTAACCTTGAGGTCCTTCACAAGTTGGAAAGTATTTTTTAGTCAGTTGGAAGCCCATCACTGTACTTATCCAAACTTTGGCACAGATTGATGAGAGCCAAGGTCTTCGAAACCCAGAGTGTGCTTTGGAGCATTGCTGGAGTTTAACCAGCTATAAACATTTGCTATTGTGAGCACACTCTAGGCAAGTTCTCTGCTGCCTGTTAGGGCTTTGGCTTGGCTGAGTTAACGTGAGCTGAGTGGGAAGAATACTTTTCCCCAGTGACTGCCCTCCAAATGCTGCTAATGAGCTTCTCTGTCTTCAGCATACCTTGAAATACAGTTGATCTACGCGGCTGAGGAACTGGACTATCGAGACTGCCGCAGAGGATTGACTCATTTAGGACATTCCGTTGTTCAGCAAGTTAGTTTGAGGCAGCTCAGCCGCAAAGAGACCCTGCTTACCTCCCCTCCCCCTCTCATATTTCTTCTCTATTGTACTCAGCTTGTTTCCATGAAATAGTTAAGAGCATGTTATTGACAGCAAACGTAAATCTTTTAGTTGCAGTTCTAATATTGGCAATTATCAAGCAATAGAATAAACCATAGATTAGTGATTTGCTTGCTATGCAATGAATCGTGAATTAAACCAGGGTTTGTCTGTTGATTTGTCTTATGATTTTGTTCTTAGGGTGTTTTTTCCGTCACTTGCCCCCATCAAGATATATTTTTAGTAGCTCGAGTGGAGAAAGTTCTTCAAGGAGGCATCACTCAGTGTGCTGAACCCTACATGAAAAGCTCAGACTCAGCCAAGGTATGGCACAGTCAATAACCTATTGGCTAGTTTTACAGCAATTCATTTGCTTTGTGTCTTTCAGTACTTAAAATGCTTTCAAAATGCTGGGGTGGATTTTGTGTTCTCTTCCATTTCTTTTCTTTTCTCACATTGCTATTTTCACATGAGGATGGTCAGCACAGGGATCCTGAACGATGATTTATTCTCTCCTTTTTTCTTTCCTCCCACCATCTCTACATGGCGAGTATTGATTTACTGCCTCAACAGTCACTAACTCAACTAATATCAGCGTGGTTTGAACCCAGGTCCTTATAATCTGAATGGCTCAGTGCTGCACATTGCAGTGTTGTTATCCACTGAGCTGTCAGACCAACTCTGGACATTACATTCTTGATAAAAAGAATTTCAAGTAACGAAAGAGTATTGGAGATGTGAGCCGTAAATGAACTAGATGTTAAACTTTATTCACTGTTAGTTTTGAAATGCTTATTTTTTAAAAAACAAAAGTTTTGAATAAAATTCCAGCACGATTCATAAGGAATGGGAGTAAATTATCTGAATTCTTCTTGAAGAAGAATCTTCCAAAGAAAGATTTGTTGCATCTCCGACAGCTGAATTTCAGATGTCCTATTACAATTTTGATTTTTTGAGATACTATCTTATCTTTGTGGTGAAGAATTTATATCCTTCATGCACAAAGGGGGAAAAATCAAGCCTAAGTTATTAAAAGGCAGCAGCTCTACTTCATGTTCTGCATGGTTTTCTCCTCCAAATGCATTTGATAACTGAACTTCTACTCGCAGCGAGATCAGTAGTTACGTGTAGATTAAAGGAGCTTTTCATCATGCTCTATCAAATCACTTCATACAGTTTTGTCATTGACATTAAATGGGTTTTGTTTGAACAATACTTTTATATTTTACTACGGAGAGGTGCTTTATTGAACTGAACAATTTGTGTCTTGCAGGTCGCACAGAAAGTATTGAAAAATGCCAAGCAAGCCTGTGTCAGACTTGGACAATACCGTATGCCTTTTGCTTGGGCTGCAAGGTAGGAGGAACAAAACTTTCAGCAAAAAGCTTTAAAAGCAATGATAACAGTTGCTCTATCAGCTCAGTTGGTTGCAGCTAGCATAATATTTACCCAGATTCGATACTTGTTAAATGCGGAATCAGCTGCTCTCAGCCAAGAATGGTCTAAAAACTTTGGTCTTGACTTCCAAAGCTGAGAAGGGGAGGTGAGGATTAGCCAGATTTCCATATCTAATTACTATTTTGTGGTGTCAGCAAGCACTTTTTTTCTAAAGGGCTAATACTTCATTGTCTTTCTAGGTTGTTTGTTGCTTTCAGGCTAATGTTTCATTTCCATCCCTTAGAACGGTGTTCAAAGACACACAAGGAACTCTTGACAAGAATGCCCGCTTCTCCCCGCTCTACAGGCAAGATAGCAACAAGCTCTCCAATGAAGACTTGTTAAAGCTACTATTAGACTTCAGGAAGTGAGTTGTTCCTCAGGAGAGGATTTCTTCAAGCTGTTACTCTTAATTTTAACATTATTAGAAATATTTTTAGACCTTTGTGTATAGTTTTTTTTAGGTTCATTGTGCGTAAAATTGGCAAGTAATTCATACAAAATACAATCCATTACTGGAGAAACTTCCATCTGGGTCTAGATTTTGCTCCATATATTTTGTGTGATTCCTTGAAATTATTATAATTTTTTGATCGGCTGTATATGGAAACCCATTTGGAAACCCATCACCATGCTTAAGACTATACAAACCAGACTGAGAGTTCCATATGTACCCCCTGGACATGGAAATTTCCCTGTGTCTGGAATGAAATGAATACTCTTGGAGAGAAACACCCTGCTTACCTAATTCCAGAAAATATTAGGTGCAGGTTGGCCAGAATCAAGACTTAATATTATTGTTATTATTATTAAGGACCTCAAAGTGTGCTTTGGGAATACTGTTGGAATTCAGCCAGCAAAAGCTTGCCATTGTGAGCCCTGTGTGTAAACTTCCCACTGCTTGTCTAGCTAGGACCACCCTACCCTTTTGGGTTCTGGCTTGCAGGGAGAAATTATGATCGCTCCTTCGTACTTCCTTTATCATCCTTTGAAATAACTATGAAATGATTATTAAAATAGCTACTTAAATTATTTACTTGAAGCTTAACTCATATTGTCTTTAACCCACCCTATGTTTAATTAGACCAGAGAAGATGTCCAAACTTCCAGTTATTTTAGGGAACGTGGATATCAATATAGACAACATGGCTGTAGATTTTCTGAGTAAGTGTACAAAATTTACTGTTCACTCTTGAAATTTGTTTTGTTCATGTTGCATTTCTGAATTTAATGTGAGTCATTTTCCTTTTACTTATTTTTTAGATTGTGTAAGTTCTTCATATATTCCAGTGAAACATTTTGAAACCAGTAGCAAGATCACAGTTACTCACGAAGTGGAGGAATTTGTTCCTTGTATAGCAAAGCTTGCTCAGCCCTTCACCATCTACAACAATCATCTCTATGTTTACCCAAAGCACTTGAAATATGACAGTCAAAAAACTTTCGCAAAAGTGAGTGAAGCCTTAAATTCCTTTATGTTTGGCTGCTGCTCAGGTATGACTATAAGGTAGCCAGTAGTATATCTAAAAGGATGTTGAGGCGGAATCTGTTTAGCCATAGGGTGGTTAGAATATGAAACTCGTTGGGAATAGAGTCATAAAGGTGAGGTTCAAGCTGTAATCTCAAATTGAAATAGTGCAATATTTCAGCTTTTATTGTTTTAAGAATATTCAATTGCAATACATGGAAGATTATTAAAAATACATGCTCCATGGTTTTAGGTTTAATTTTTTTCTAATTGGAATTATGATTTCTTTGTTAGTTTTTCTAATCACTGTATACCGATGAGGTGAGAGGTGGCAATGTATCTTTTATTGATTTGTCTTCAATTTGTGAAAGTTAGACTTTTTAAAAAATATATATTTTCGCTCTGATAGGAAAATGAGCACAGTGGGAGAAGGTACTTGATGTGTCTAAGATTGTTTATTTATGTTTGCTTTCATCTTGGGATATGATGACCTATGAAGATGGCCTGTTTAAAATCCATCATGTTAGAGTTTAATGTAACAAATATACCTTGTATTTTTTTCTAGCAGAATTCACATGCATATCATGTTTTCACCCACAAATTACACAATCAATCTTTATAGTTGTTGTTATATGAATCTGTCAATTCAAATATTGGGGAAACCAAATATTTGAATGTACAACTCAGATATATATTGAGTTGCCCTACAGTGAATTATTTTGCAGTTCTTACTGGAGCTGTAGGAGAAATTGTGCTAATTTGTATGTGAAATTGTTGCATTAGTAGATTTTCAATATAGAAGTTGGTTTCCATGCGAATAACAATGGGGTTTATTATCTGAGTTGTACAAACGCATGTCTTCGAGTTATATAAATGTAACAATAAATGCAAATGTACAGAGGGAATTACAGATGCCCTTACTTGTATAATTAACACCCAATAATAATGATTCAGAATCTAGTCTTCTTCATTGGTTGTTAGGTCTTGTGAAACATATTCAGTTATAATCAGAATGGTTCCTGCTCCCACTGTCTTAACTCCATGACAATGAGCAATAACATGTTTCTTGATTACTCATGTTAGAATTGTGCTCCGAACCTGTACACAAATTAATGCTTTGGTATTTTCAGGTCACTAAATCTCAGCCCATGACAAACTGCAGACTATTGATATGTGGTAGTCTAGTTTAGCTTATTGATAGATATGTTATCTCTACTTAAGATGTCATCCTTTTTGTTAGGCAAGAAATATTGCAGTCTGCATAGAGTTCAGGGATTCTGATGAAGAAGATGCACAGCCTCTCAAGGTTAGTTGTGTTTCTGATATCTTGGGACTTTTTCTTTCAAAAAAAGGATATTGCAGCATTTGCAAGAAAACGAGTGCTTTTTAAAGTGCACAATAACGTTCTAATTAAGTGTAACAAACTGGGTAGCTTGTTCAGTTGACCTTGTACGAGAGGGTTTGGGGTTCAACTCATAGTGAGTCCATTTGAAGCCTTCATTAACCCGTTCGAGGACAATTAAATGAGAACCAGATCTTAAACTTTTTTTATTGCATATTTTAAAAATAGTATTTGCTTCTATTTTATAAGTTATATGGAACAGCTGTCCTAGAATTAGGGTTCTTGGTGTCATGCTAGCTGTTCTATAAATGATTGAGGGTTTGGAGGGACTGGACTACGAGGAGCGATTAGATAATGTTCCCACTGGAGAAGAGAAGGTTGAGGGGCGATATGATTATGGTCTTTAAGGTTCTGAAGGGAATAGGTAATGTAGACCATGATAAGATGTTTTACTTTGTACTAAACAATAGAAACAGAGGACATGGCCTGCCATTGAAGGGGGATAAGTTCAATACAAATCTGCAGAAATACTACTTCAGTGAGCGAGTAGTAAACTTATAGAACAGGGTCCCTAGAGAGACAGTGGAAGCAGAAAATATTGTTTGTTTCAAGAACAAATTAAATAGATTTCTGCTAGAAAATAATATCTCGGGATACAGTATATAATTTGAGCCACAAAATGTCAAGTGGCTGCCTGGATGGTGGAAGGCGAACTAGATGGACCTTGATGTTCTTTCCCATATAAATTCTTATGTTCTTATGCTCTTATATACAGTTTATAACATAAACTAACAATGGGCAGTGCAGCTATCAGCCGCATAAGACAAGCTTTGATTCTTGACATAAGCTGAATTGGCTTATTGCTTCAGAGGCAACAGTTGGGGAGCTACAAATGGCCTTCACTAATTATAATGTGAAGTGCATTGAAACGGTCTCCTGACTTAAAAGGTGCCATATCAAATGCAAGTTTTTTTAAATTATTTTTGTGAAGAAAGAAATGTGGAGTAAATGCTACTGTTTTTCAGTTTTATGATCGTTATATATCGGGAGAAGATGCATAGATTAATAATTATTTATTTACTTTTCTTTCTCTAACAAAATCAACACAATTCACAATCCCTACTCCCCTGTTTATTTTTCCCCATAGTGTATCTATGGCCGCCCAGGAGGGTCTGTGTTCACTAAGAATGCTTTTGCAGTGGTTTTACACCATCATCAAAACCCAGAGTTCTACGATGAGGTAAAGAGATGTGGTTCTTAGTGTTTCACAGGGTGTATTGTAAATGTACATTCAGATACTGCTGCATAATTAAAAGTCGAAACATTGAGATTGAGTTGTGGCTGAGAGTCGAGTCCTTTTGCTCATAATAATGAAATCTCCTTAATGTGTTTCAGATTAAAGTGGAACTGCCTACCCAGCTGCATGAAAAGCACCACTTGTTGTTCACATTCTACCACCTTAGTTGTGACAATTCAAGCAAAGGAACCACAAAGAAGAAGGAAACAATTGAATTTCAAGGTTTTGGTTACAATTCTGTCGAAAATAACTGCTGCTTTTTGGCTTTTGTGATCATTAAAAAATTGTAAATGTGAAGGGTTGCTTCTTAAAACATGTGTGTTATGGCACAATAGTGCCACTTTATATGGACATGGTTCATTAGTCCTGTGTTCCGAGTGGCCCAAATCAAATTTGGAACGTTGTTTATATCCTTTATATAGTTTTTTTTTCTTTCTCCATTTTCCCTTCCCCTCCTGAATGTTTTTTTGTTCTAGTAAGGTACAGATCCACATTTGTCCAAGTGGTTAATGCATGTGCCTTGACAATGAGTTTTGGACCACTGGGTCATCACAGCCGAGTCCAGTTCAGTGAGGCCAATTGTATCTCTCCAACACCAGTATCACCTGAAATTGGCTCGCTCACTATAGAGCAGAACATGAGGCTGCTACATTTGAGTTGTACGAACTGGGCTGGGTGAGGGGAGTGGGAGCTTTACCCATTCCCCATTCCCCCTGGTTCTGGGTGATGTAGTTTCTGACTAACCATTAGGGGAGCTTGGCATTGATTGTGGCTTGAACTTGCTATGTCCCAGTTTAACAGTTCAGATGTCAATACTCATTTTCTCTTCTGTTTGAATTGATAAACCATATTCTATCCATTTATAAACGATATTTCAGCTACTGTTTATAAGTGCAGATTCATGTGAAGACCTGTTTCAAGTTTTTTTTTCTCTAGAAGTCAGGTGTCTTCAAATTTCAGATCTAGTAGTTTTACTTTTTGTTCTGAAACAGCTGTATAATCAGCCTTAATTTCAGCCTGTATAGCGTGGCTCCTCGTCACCTGTCAAACTGCAGCTGAATCAACACTGAAGTCTAGGGATTTAATTCTAACACTAGCCATTCACAAAATTTGTACAGTGTGACCAAAAAGTCATGATACCATTTACAATGTTTAATAAGTCTTAAAGAAATGCTGACTTTGTTTTAGACTTGTATGCGTAAGTTACACCTCGCTATTGTAATGGAATGATCTAGCTTCCTTTGCTCTGCCCTGTAGTTGGATACGCTTGGCTTCCGCTACTGAAGGACGGTCGTGTTGTTACCAATGAAAATCAGATTTCAGTGTCTGCTAACCTTCCAGTTGGCTACCTAAACTACCAGGAGCTCGGAATGGGAAAGGTGAGCTTCTTGTTCTTGTTTTATTTGCTCCAATGCATTATTACAGCACAATAAAATTTGGACAGGGTGAATTAAAAGTCCTTACTCATAGGCTGGGCCAATAGAAAAGTGCGGACATCTTTGCCAAAAAATTGCAGATCTCTTTACAAATCTTGCAGGAAATTGTGGAGGGCTTTGCTAGATTTTGTGGGGAAATTGCGGGGTTGATTGGTGCTATTGAGGTACATTTTACTGCTACATTTTATTCACTTTATTGATTAAAAACTAAATATAAGGAAATAACACATATTGGATTGTTGCAAACAAAATTATTAATTGCTTCTTTAAAAACTGGGTAGTCATTTTTTTAAGGGGCCGTGGGGGACACATATCAGTAAGGCTACAGGAGCTCACCACCTCCTGCCTCTCAAAGCCGATACCACACAGAGACCCAGCGAGTGATACACACATACTCAGAGACACAGAGAGAGACACACATACTCAGAGACACAGAGAGAGGCACACACACTCAGACACAGAGAGAGAGACACACACTCACAGACACAGAGAGAGGCACACACACTCACAGACACAGAGAGGCACACACACTCACAGACACAGAGAGGCACACACACTCACAGACACAGAGAGGCACACACACTCTCAGACACAGAGAGGCACACACACTCTCAGACACAGAGAGAGGCACAGACACAGAGAGAGGCACACTCACACACACTCACAGATACAGAGAGAGGCACACACACAGACATAGAGAGAGGCACACACACACTCACAGACACAGAAAGAGGCACACACACACACTCACAGACACAGAGAGAGGCACACTCACAGTCACAGAGAGACACACACACAGAGGCACACACACACACTCAGACACAGAGAGAGGCACACACACACTCACAGACACAGAGAGAGACACACAGACACAGAGGCACACACACACACAGACACAGAGAGAGGCACACACTCACAGACACAGAGAGAGGCACACACACTCACAGACACAGAGAGAGGCACAAACACTCACAGACACAGAGAGAGGCACACACACACACACTCACAAGCACAGAGAGAGGCGCACACACACACACACACTCACAGACACAGAGAGAGACACACATAGAGAGAGAGAGACACACTCAGACACATATACACACACAGACAGAGACACACAGAGACACTCATAAACACACACAGATATAGAAGGGGCACAGACAGACTCACACAGAGACACACAGACAGACAATCACAGATGTGAGGCCTCTGAGTGTAGCCCATTAGCCGCTTGCGTCGCACTGCGCATGCGTGTCCGGAGCTGCTCTGCCCACAGTGACATCAGGTAAACAGCGTGAGTGGCCCGCGGGCCAGGAATAGCGTTTATGACGGGTTTGTAGCGGACAAGGGCTGTTGTAGCGGAAAAGGTGTGGCCGCACTTTTCTATTGGCCCAACTGATAAATCTATATGAGATGTTCAGGGGAGGGAGGTGGGTGGGAAGGATGACTGATAACACCATCGAAGAGGTACATTTAAAATCCTAATTGACCAATTAGAGGTAATGTTGATTGCTTGTAGGTTTTTCATTGCAAACTACAAATTGCATTTATATGGCACCTTTTACGTCAGTAGGACGTTCCAAAGACGACGACTACAACAACAACAACAAAATTACATTTATAGAGTGCCTTTCACGTCGGGAGGACGTCCCAAAGCAATACAAAGCTCACAAAGGGTTAAAAGAAAATACATCTGGGGAAAAAGGCTGATGTTATTACAAATTGAGTTGAGGGCACCTTGCCAGGGTGTTGTACAATATAAACAAAGTAGCTGTGGCAACAACGGTATATGTCAGTATAACCACATTTGGAGAGTTGCCACACGCAAGTATAATTTCTTACTCTTTATGAAAGTATGTTTGTGAAATAGTAATTATTTTGCACTTGTATTCTTTCAAGCAACTCCTTTGTCTGCTTCCCAATACAGTGCATTCAGTGCAACCGCATTATACAATGCTAATCAGTTTATACTACGAATGTAATATGAATTCCATTAACATGGCCTCTGTGCTTTCTGCACTAAAATGGCCAACTTCTGGGTCATTTGGTTGCAAGCGACGTGTCCTGGGCATATGTGGTCCGCAGGAAGTGATATTGGTGGTGACGTAATGACCTGGAAGTCAGCCACCTATTTTTAGGTCATCATGTTGCTGCTGATGTCACTTCTTGTGCATTGCACCTGATGACCTGAAATTCAGTCATTTTTTAAATGATACTGATGCTTCCATAAGCTGAGTTGCTTTTTTCATGACTGGTTCATAGTCGAATGGACAAGGTTCCTCTCTGACAGGATATTTAATGATTCTTATTTCAACAATGCTCCTTATGTTTATAGAATGCTCTGCATGCAGGATAGTGCCTTGGAGCCATTTCATAGGTGGCTGTGGGGCTGCACTCAGAAAATCGATTTGTACTTTTTTTCTCTCCACAAAAAGATGTATTTAACATTATTTTAAATAATTTCCGTGAATAAAAGCAGCAAACATTATGTGCAAAGCGTCCTGTTATGGATAATCTACAAACATAGGGAAATGCTTTAAGATATTATCCAAATATGATTTGTGAATTGTTTATTTTAATTTGGAAATGGGTTCACATGCTATAAGAAAGGAAGTGAGCGTCATTGTAGATGATGCAGCTCCATTAGAGTCAGGAAATGAGCCCTTATGTTAGCTGGTGATTAGGTGCAGTGCAGGAAAGAAATCAGGATTATTTTCACAGCTGAAAAACTGCTTTGCAAAGGCAGCATATCTTCTGCTGCTGTCTTCCTTCAGTAGGATTATGAAAAGCAAAGCTATCCACTTGTGTTTTGGACTCTTGCACTCCTTAGAAAGTTAATCAGTGTATAAATCCAGTAAAGAGGAGTGTGTTGCTTCTGCGTATAGATTATGGAGGAAAAAATAAATAATGCTAATGTTTCTTTATAACTCAAAAATGTGGTTGTACCTTATAGCACTCGGGACCTGAAATCAAATGGGTGGATGGAGCGAAACATATATTCAAAGTTGCAACACACCTAGTCTCCACAGTATATACTCAGGTGAGGTGTTTTTATTAAAGTAAAACATTGTCTTCCCTTCTGTCTTCCTTCCTGTGCTGCAATGTTTGATTTTTTTCCTTTTCCTGGGAGTATACTTCTACTGTGCAAATAGTTCTCTGATATCTCTCCAGAGTGACCACTATTAATGTAGGAGCCTTGACGGTGTGAGTATTTAACTAGAGAGAAGGCACAGGCATTATAATTAAGCATTGATGTGCAGTAGAGTTTTCTGGAAAGCAATTGGCAGAAGGGCCTTGTAGTGCGAATGCTAGCATAGCTCACTCTGGACAGACTGTTATTTGAAACTGCAGCCTTCAAATCTGTGTGGTCCCGCTAGATATGCGGAAACACTAAGGTGATTTGTAAGGAAACATCAGATGTACTTGTTGTTTCACTCCATTCATCGTTAGAGAAGTGTCCAATGTTAATTTAAAAGCGGATAATTGCCATCTCAATGTCTTCTTGTTGAAGGTTATTTGTCTTGTGTGGGCAGCACATTTTTGTTAAGAGTCTCTTTCATTCTTGGCCATTTATGGCCTATTCTGGTTGATGTTTGCGGTGTGTTTCAATATACGACACATATTTCGAAAGACTTAACATAGGCAGGTTTCTTTTCTTGGTATCTGCAGGACCAGCACTTGAACAACTTTTTCCAGTACTGTCAGAAGTGTGATTCGGGAGCTCAGGCCTCTGGAACTGACCTTGTCAAATTCCTCAAGGTACGTTTTTAACAATTGGGGGTCAATCTAGTTACTAGTTACTTTATATAAAAAACAGTAGCTGATCCAATAGTAGTGCAATTTGGATACTTCTCCATGTACCTTCAGTTTCTGATATGCGTTTTTTCACTTTATATCAAAGGTTTTAACTATCCCCTGAAGCATATCCTTAATGTTGTCATTGGAGAAAGTTTTGAAGTCAAATTCCTCAAGCAGTACCACTACTTCAACAAGAACTTAATTTATATAGTGCCCTTCACATGGGGTAGTATCTCGAAGAGCAAAACAGGGCCGGAGCCCAACGCCAAAGATGGTGTGAAGTGGTGGTACTGGATTTGGCATCAGGATTTGGTGATGAACTGAGGAATTGTATTTGATTTAAAATATTGATTTGACCATTGAGCAGCGGATGTTTTGCAATACATTGGCTGTAGTTTTTTTGGTCTTTCCAAACTGAACTAAGCCTGGAGACAAAATGTTCAGTCTTGTTCCTCAATTATACAGTTTTTCTTCAGTTTATATGTGCACTCGATATTCAATTACACACCAAGGTTTCCTTGAGACTGAAATATTACTCGACACCTCCACCCCAATCAACTCTGTTTTTTTCCGCGACCTTTGTCAGTGGGGTCTGGTGAAGAAGAGTAATATTTAGTTAAGTTCTGAAGGAATGTGAGCCGATCTTTCGGAGGTTATGAGGGATTGTATGAATGAGCCCTGACTGTGCAATCCTTCATCTTTTAGAGCTTGCATGCTATGGAGGGTCACGCGATGACTAATTTCCTGCCCACAATCCTGAACCAGTTGTTTCGGATTCTCTCAAGAGCCACCCAGGAGGATGTAGCAGTTAATGTTACAAGGTAAATTGCTAGAACAGAATGTAGATGTTTTATTTAAAAATGTGTATTGGAATGCTTCATTCTGAAATTCTAAATAAATACCTGAGTTTCCTGGCGTCTGGCAGAATAGGTTTGTCTCCCAAGAATAGAAAGGGCAACAGTAAAAATATACATGCCTCCAAGCTACTTAATACTTGGCACAAAATAGATAAGCACATCTAGCGCTTTCCTGCTGATTCATATGGTGAAGGTACTATTCAATGTGGAACTGGGCAGTAGAGACAGTGAAGGTTTGATTCCTGATTTATGCTTTGAGATAGGTGACACACACGGTCCTTTATCTAGACTCACAGGCAAAATGGGTGTAGTATCAGAGGGCAGCCATTGCTAACAGATGAATACATCAAACACGTATCCACTCTTTTGAGAGAGAGAGAAATGCAGAAAACTGAAGGGGAATTGGAGAAGTCTGTGGCGTAAGCCAAAGATGGCAGGGGACCTCATTTGCAGTTTCACTCGGGCCATAATTCTGCTTGTCCGGGAAGCAAAAAGGATAATTATATAGTACTCTTCACATAGTGTGTGGGAGAAGAAGAGAACTAAAATAGGATAGGAGCTTTACCCGACGCAAAATGTGTTGTATCTGACCTGAGAGGTCTTGATCTCTAGATTGGGCAAAAGGACTAAAAATATGTTCCATTCCACAGCAATAATGTTACCTTTCCTGGATGAACACATTTGTTTCCACCGTTTCCTGGGAGATAGAGTAGATGGAATTGAGTTCGCTGATGTTGAATGTATGTGGTCTCCGAAAGGAGTGAGCATGATAGACCAGATTACATCTGTCTGTGGTTAAGATGCCAAAAATTGGACCTATTTATGTTTGCCTCCCTCAGCAAAAAAAAGGTTCTTGATAAATCAAATAAGTTTGTGAAGTTTATAACTATTCTTTATTTAGTTCTATCAAAGAAGAAGGAGAAATAGAGCATTGTTGGATATGTTATTATTTTGGCTAAGCTCAATGATATTTTAACAATCTTTGAATTTCATTGAATCCTCCCTTAGAGTTCTTGCACACATTGTTTCCCAGTGCCACGATGAAGGATTGGAAAACTATTTAAGGTCTTACGTAAAGGTATTGTTTTGCAAAATATTTTTGTGTATCTTTAGAAATATACATTTTCCAGTTAAAATGCGGTTTTAGAAACTATTAAGGTCACAAGCAAAAGCATTAACTTATTAAAAACAGGGTTAGGAATGGAATTGAAGGACTTGATGGTTTAAGGTTGGTGGATTTTCTCTGACGGGTGAGGTCCCTTTGAATAGATTTGAACATTAGCAAACTGATTGGGGAGTATTTATGTGGAACCTTTCCCTGAGAGATAGGTGGGTAGAGTGGAATTTATCCTGAGGTTGACCCTTGTTCATTGACTCTGAAATGATTGAGCGTGATGGGCCAAATTACATTTTTACATGCATAAGATGCTAAAAATTGAACTAAGTGTCTTTTTGGACTACTTAAAATTTTATCTGCTGATGAAAAGATTGTAAAATGAACAGAATAGTTAACATTGAATTTGACCTCAGAGTAATTCTCATTTGAATTTTGTTTGACTATTTTGGACCTTAAAACGGAAGTGGTCCATTGCCAAGTTGAGATGCAAACAGGATATCGTCCAGCAATGAAAGCTCCTTTTATCCCTTCGTGAATAGTTTCATTGGTATGTTTAACTAGCCCTGACCTTGTGTTGATCTTTTAGTCATGGGCCAGATTGCTTTACCAGGTTTTTGAACACCTCTGTTCTTATTTCATTAACATTGCCCCTTTAAAATGGATCTTTTGTTCTTTAGACAGCTATTTGACAAACATCAATTACTATTTGGTGTAAATTGAATCACAGAGTAGAAGAAATGGAGCAAAGTCAGATTAATTATTGTTTTTTAAAAATTAACTTTGGAGATCATTGGTCCTTTCTGGTTCTGTACATACCTATATGCCTAGGTTTGGAAAATGTGACTAGTTCTTGGATATTACTATATGAGAAATATACACACTCAGTGCAGTTTTGTGAAAGGCCCTTAGAATAAACCTTTATCTGTTTGTGATTTTTGATAAAATCTTAGCATTTTCATTTCCTTGCATATACATTCTCATTTTTTTCTATTTTTTTTCTTTTGCAAATATTTTCAAACGTTTTCCATAGAGATTAGATGCAGATCTATATTTGACTATTTAATAAACTTATTTTTCTTCCCGATGCTTTCCTGCAGTTTGTTTTCAAGACTGAACCCTGTAATACCTCCAAGTGTAAGACTGTGCATGAAGAACTAACAAAGTCAATGACTGTGCTGCTGAAAACGACGGCTGACTTTCTGACCTGTAACAAGCTGCTCAAGGTACAGAGGTCTGAGACCTTCAGCTACTTTCAGATCTATAAAGAACTTCTGCAAGAATTAACAGTTTTAATTTTTTTTTGCTGGATAGATCTGTGTTGGGGCCTGAGTTAATTGCTTCAAAGGAGGGAAGTTTACTTCACTACATGTAGATTTTATGATTTGCTTTTCTAGCTTGCCTCTTATGGAAAATGGTTTATTTGTTTTCAGTATTCGTGGTTTTTCCTTGAGGTGCTGATAAAATCGATGGCCCAGCATCTTATTGAAAGCAACAAGCTAAAGGTTAGTGTTTACAGCATCGATTTGTCCTCTGAGCAATGTCTGGATAAACTGTTTGCATTGAAGTGAAGTTTACATGTCCAACTGTCCTGATAGTAAAACATTTTTCTTTCTTAGTTGGCATTTATTTTTTTCTTCTTGCATCCAGGTATTTCTATACTTTCAATGCATTGAGTCACTAGTCAGGTCTACATTTGGGCAAAATCCTCCAGTAGCCTCTGCTTTTGCATCTAAAGAAGCAACCTTTGTAGCAGAGAAAAGGGAAGTCGATTCCTTCTAGATTCTCAGTACAAAATAGTGCCAAAGATCGCCTTCATCAAAGTTACAGATGACATTCTGTCCATCGGTGACCAGGGCTCTCTCTGTCTCCTGGTCCTTGATCTCTCTGCTGCCTTCGGTTGACCACTCTATTCCTCTCCACCACCTTTCCTCTCAGCTCCACCTTCATGGTTCTGTCCTTACCTGGTTTCAATCTTGCCTTTCTCATTGTCTGCACTTTGTTTCCACCAATGGCTTCTCCTCCTGCCCTTATACTGTCACATGCTGCATTCCTCAGGGCTCTGTCCTTGGTCCTCTCCTCTTTAACATTTACATGGCTCGCTTGGTGACGCCACCCACAAGCATGGGGTTAATCTGGATGGGTGACACCCAAATCTTCTCTCTCTGCCTCCACTCTGGACTCCAGGACCACTGCTGTCCTGACAGATTGTCTTGTCAGACACCTAGTCCTGGATGGGAACCAAGTTTCTCCAGCTGAACGTTGACGAGACGGAGGCCCTTTTATTTGGCTCCCGCCAGCGCTTCCTCACCTCAGATGCTGACAGCATCACTGTTCATGGATGCAGACTCCACCTCAAAGAGCTAATACAAAACCGTGTCCTATTTGACCCTCAGCAATCCTTCAAACCCCACATCCTTGCCATGATCTGTTCTGCCTTCCCCCACCACCGCAACATTGCCTGCCACCACCTTTACCCCAGTCCACCGAGACGCTTAGTCATGCATTGAACACTTCCAGGCTCAACTACGCATACTCCCTGTTCGCCAGAGTCTACAACTCTTCCCTCCACACGCTGCAGATTTTCTAGAGCTCTGCAGCTCTTGACCTCTCCCATACCAAGCCCAATGAACCAATCACTTCCATCCTTGCGCGACTTCACTGGCTCCCCATCCCCCAGAGGATCAAGTTTAAAATCCTTGTCCTCACTTTTAAAACACTCTACAGTCTTGCTCCTTTCTACCTCTGCAACCTCTTAATACCATACCAACCTGTCTGCACCCTCCATTTGTGGACTCTGGCCTGCTCCATGACCCCTATCCGGCCTGCTCCACCATGGGTGGATGGGCCTTGAGCTTTTCTGGCCCCACCCACAAGAACTCCATTCCTGAATCCCTCCGACTTGCTTCCTTCAAGACCCATCTCAAGACCATTTTTTTTTTGACAGTGCCTTCAGTCATCTTCCCATCCCCTACCCTCTAACCTTCTTGATTCCATCCCCCAGTTTGGTGTAAACCCTTAACTGTCCAGAGCCTTGGGGTGTCTTTAAGATATGAAACGCTCTATATAAACATAATTTGTTGTTGTTTAAAAGACAAGGCCACCTTAAGGAACACCAGGCCAAAGGAAAGAAACATTATAGTGCATTTTGATCCAGCCTGTTTTGGTATGCATTATTTATTAACTGCAGACATCTCTTTAATTTGATAGTTCAGTACTGCAATCCACTTTGTGTTATTCTTGCTGATTTTTGTTGCAAGTTCAGGCCTTGATTTGTTCTATGTCCTGATATCTGAAAGAAATATTGTTTTTGTTCTTGGTTGGCAGCATAGCTGTCTGGCTGCTTTCTAGCATGGCAGCCTTCAGTGATGAGACCAACACTGTGTATAATTTGGTCTGTTATTTGCAATTGCTGCTGTGTTTATAGTGGCTCAGTGCTATCTATTGTGCAGAGAAGACACAACTTGAAACCTTTATCAAGAGGAATTGATAAATAGGTCTTTAAAAAATGCCTTTGTTCTAAGCAGATTTGATGTTATCACTTTCAATGTGTTAAGGGGAATCCCGGGAAGTCTGGTATCTGTTGAATATAAATTTGTTTTTTGTACTCGGGATACAAAAAACATATTTGGCAACGGAATGTTCGGAATTGAGCCTACTCTCTGTGGCGGTCTCGGTAGTCCAGTTCCTGAACCAGAGGAGTCCACAGTACTCAAGGGTACTGCTGATTATATAGCGTAGGCAGATTAGTTCATTGGCAGGATTTGAAAGTCACTGGAAGTCATCAGTCACTTGCTCTCAATTCTCATTAACCCTGCAAACCAAAGCTTTAACAGGTAGGGTGAGCCTAGCTGGACAAGCAGCAGGAAAGCTTGTCAGACAGTGCTCTCAATGGTAAGCTATGGGATTTTAGCTATGGCTCTTACCAATCTGCGCCTAATACTTTCTGGAATTAGGTAAGCAGGATGTGAATCCCCCCTGGGGACAGAGTATGTATTCCATCCCAATAAATATCTCTGATTTCCATGTGGGATGCATGCAACTCTGGTTGGCTTGGATAGTGATGAGTTTCTGCATGTGTCAGATATCCACCCAGCTAACCAAAGAAAAGGAACCAGTCTCTTACCAGCATGCTATGGAAACCACCATGAACTAATAATAATCCTTGCATTTGGTACATAGCACTTTTATGTTGACGAAACATCTCAAAATTCTTCACAGAATTTACTGTAAAATGATAGTGTATTTGTTGGCAAATATGCTCAGCAACATCTCGCGAATCTCCATTAAGTCAGCGACCAATTTTTTTATCGGAAGATTGCTAGCGAGAACACTGCGAGACACTCCCATTTGATTTTCAAATAGTTTCATGAGATCTTTAACGTTCACTTCACATCTTTAACGTCCTCCCGATGTGAAAGGCGCTACACAAATGTCAACAATAACAACAAAACTAGATTATTTTATGAGCTCCACATGGGGTTTGAACCCACAATTTATAATTCGGAGGTGAGAGTGCCTCTGAAAGAGACTGACACCAGTGATTGTGTTGATCTGTTTTCAGGGCTAATAATACCAGCAACATTAACTCCAGTTGGGAAGATGTGAACCTTCCTATAGGGATGTGAACTTTTTTAGAGGACTCTCGTATCATGTTTAGAATTGAACGATACTTAAGAATTGATTCAATTAGAACAGGTTCCCTGAGACAGCTGCTACTGGGCTCTTTCCCTTTCTACTCTGTTGGGCAGAATCCAAAATGTCAAAACTGCTACTTGTGTGTGAACTCATGCAAGAGCAGTCGTTTATGAGTTAAGACTCTTTACTCCACTGGCATTCAGTACTCTCAGACCCTATTCTTTTGCCCACAAAATATACATAGGAACAGGAGTAGGCCATTCAGCCCCTTGAACCTGTTTCGCCATTCTATAAGATCAGGGCTTTACAGTAATATCACTTTACAGTCTTTTCTGTGAAGAGCTTTGAGATGTCTCAACGACATTATAAGGTGCTATGTCAAATGCAAGGATTATTATTATTATCCTGAGTGAAGGGTGCTATGTAAATGCAAGTTATTTATTTACCTCCATACTAACTGTTCTATATGCTCCAGCAATTTTGGTACATGTGCTGAGAGCTCAGACCATCTTTGGGATTAAATTGCTTTGTTGACGCATTGCAGAATGTGATAATATTCCTCAGCAACAAAGGAGAACTGTTCCCAGATAGTTTTATGTAGCCATCTGAATATAGGCGTTTTGTGAATATAGATCATCCCTGTAATTGAGTAGCAGATTGTTAAGCAATGTTAATAATTTACAAAAATGTGACATCTGCTGCTGAAAGGTGGCACTGATCACTTGTTGTGGAGGAGAACAATGAATTACTGACAGTTTTTGGTTTTACTGTAATTTCATTGATCCTCACTTGTACTTCAAATCTGAGATGCCTGCAGCGTTTGGCTCCCAGCACTGTATCTGCCTTCAGTATTATAGGTGTGTGATAAAACAAATTATACATTTAGGAAGAGCAAAAGTATTGTGCAGCATTGCTTTTAACCTTAAATTGATGACAATGGAACATACGTTCAGCATAAGGTGTTGTGTACCAAGCCACATTTCACATTAGTCAATGTTTGGATTTTTCTGAAACTTTTTGAAGTGTTGGCTGTGTCCGTATTGTGGCAGGATGTTCGTACTGAGGACTGACATACTTCTATACTTTTGGCATTGATTAACCTCATAAAGCAGTCCTTGGTCAAGAATGTCATTTCAAAGTAGAACTTTTTTTCTCTGGCTCCGTCTCTCTCTCTCTCTGCTTCCCTTTCCCCCTCTTCCCCTCCTGCACCCAGCAAGGGTTGGCATTTCTAATGTTTCATTCTAAAAGGTACAGAGTATATTATAATAAAATGTCCCTCAAGAATAAAACTTCTATTGTAAATAGACTTTTTGTTCTACTCACTTCCTCGTCACCTTTCAGCACATACAGCATGCACTCATTTTCCTTTCGTTTAAAATACAAAAAACAGAAAAAGGATTTTGTGCAACACCAAATCTGAAACCAATTCCAAGCACTGAGTGCAATGAAAGTAAATCGATGTTTTTGGCCCAGACTGAATTACAATTGTTGCAGTGTGACTGGTGTCTTTCTACACTTCACCTTTGTTGCAACTTGGTATGTGGATGATGGGTATTGTGCACATTAGAATGAGTTGAATGCTTTAGTGAAGCCCCATAATAGAATGTAAAATATAATTTGAAAAAAGTTTAGAAGCAAGGGCTAGAGTCTTTACAATCGAAACTGCGCTACAACTGAACGTCTTGTATTGAGGTCTGCAATTACTTGCACTTTATCAAATGTTTTCTAAGTGCATTCAAAGTGATGGTGAGATATTCGCACTCTGGAAGTTGATGTATATCTCTGGTTCATTCAGTTATTCAGGAACCAGCGATTCCCTGCCTCTTACCAGCATACCGTGGAGACCCTCGTAAACATGTTGATGCCTCATATCACACAGAAATATAAAGACAAACCAGAGGAGGCACGAAACGCCAACCACAGCCTTGCTGTCTTCATTAAGGTAGGAAATATGGTGGTCAAATTTGGAACTGTATCTGTCAGTTCAGTATTTAATTTCTTGAGGATATAATAAAATGTGCAATTGCCATGACATTCAGAAAAACAAATTGATCTGATGTAGAATCAAGCAGTGAACTTGGATCACAGCAATCAGCCTGCTTCAAATTAGCTTTGGGATGGGTTCAAAATGGAATAGACTAAATCCTTGCCAGAATGTTTGTTTCATAGAAATTGTTTAGAACTTACAGAGTCAAAGGGATTTTGAATGAAGACTTTAGCAGAGCGTGTGCTGGATGACCGCTTGACTTTCGTTTGGCATCCTTTTCCACTCCATGAGGAGCATTGACTTTGTTCTTTCTCTGTGATATCCTTCTCCTCGTCCCCTGAGTGCTCCGCTCCACCCTCGGCGGCCGTGCCTTCAGCTACTATGCCCCGAGGCTCTGGAATTCCCTTCCTCACAGAATTTGGCTCTTTGCTTCTAGTATCTGCAGTTTAGTAACTGATGGGTTGTACGGTTCATTAATGATGTTGTGCAGAGACCTGAAACAGGCACTTGAGTGTTTTACAACACTGAGGTACTTGACAACAAGGTACTTACCAGGTCTGGTTGTGGCCAGGATGCTGAACTCAGCTGTAGATACAGCTTGTTGCTGTAATGGGAAGACAGTAGGGTTGGAACTCTGGATGCGTGAAATCAAATGGGCTGAAGAATCTTATTGTGAACCTCTTTTTGCCTTGTGAAGATCATGCAAACACTATTACCCAGCAATTATCCTTCATAGCATTTTCCTGGGATACTTAAACTGCGTGTTGGCTTTAGCATGTGTTGAAGAAAATGTTGCTATAGATTTCATTAGCATTTGTGAAAAGATGGATTTTTCACTCCATTTGCGGTAAAAAAATAAAAGCAAGCAATTTTGTGCTTTTAATAGAAGACTAAGGAGTAGAGAAGGTTAAGAGGAGACTTAAGAGAAGTTTTCAAAATTATGAGGGAATTTGATAGGGTGAACAGGGAGAAACTATTTCCATTGGCAAGTAAGTCAGTAACCTGAGGACACCAATTTAAAATTGTTGTTAAAAGAAACAGAGGGGAGGTAAGGAGAAATGTTTTCACACAGTGAGTTGTACAGATCTGGAATGCATTGCCTAAAAGGGTGGTGGAAGCCAATTCGATAATGCCCTTTAAAAGAAGTAGATAATTATTTGGGGGAAGACAGGTTTGCAGGGAGGAGTGGATTGAATTTGATAGCTCTTTTCAAAGAGCCGGCACAGATATGATGGGCTGAATGGCCCTCTGTGCTGTATAACTCTATGATGATTCTACGCTCTATTTTATTCATCCACAGATGTTTTGAGTTCATCCTGTGAGGGTGCATAAGTTGTGCCATTACTTCTCCCTTTAAATTCTTGATGTACTTCCTTCCACTTATTGTTTTTCCCCCTCAAGGCCTGCAAGCAATCGGCTTTGAACAAGAGTGGGCTATGGTCTGTTTCCTGGGCCTGCCAATTTTTGTCTGAATTGGCACTTCTTCCTCTTAGTGATTGGTTGATGAGGAACAAGTCCAAGCAGGAGCTTTAGGAAGGAAAAGTGGGGAAAGTTGCATTTCGGACCTAATTTGCAAACATCTGGATTAGAGTTAACTGCAAATTTTAAATCATGAGAATGCAATGAAGGAAAAGGTGTTCCAGCAAATGGTGGTTCCTCTAACCAGGTATTTTTTTCTGCTTTGTTACAGAGGTGTTTCACATTGATGGACCGGGGTTTTGTTTTCAAACAAATCAACAACTACATCAAGTGGTTCAGTCCTGGAAATCCAAAAGTAGGTGTTAAATCTGTGATATTTTTCTTGATTGCTAATAATAATGTGTTAGCTCAGTTTCTGCATCATTATTTCTGGTCCAGTCTTTACCTGCATAAGTATGGGGTCAAATTTTCCATTGCTGATTTTAGCTCGAGTATAAAACAATGCTCACTGTGTACGTTTGTAAATTGAAAACTACCTTATTGAGCGACTCTAATTGTTGTTCCGAATCACAAACTTCTTTGCTACAATTATAAAGTAAATCAATTTTAAGACTGGGGAAAGATGTCAATTTGCATGATTGTTATATTTTTGCTAGGTAACATTTCATTAAATTATTAATGCATTCATCACATCTAGGCTAGACCACGCCAACTCCCTACTTGTCGGCCTCCACAACTCCTCCCTCCACAGAACTCTGCAGCCCGTGTCCTCTCCCGCACTAGGCTCCGCGACCCTATCACCCCCATCCTCGCCCGACTACTGGCTTCCCATCACCCAGAGGATACAGTCCAAGATCCTGGTTCTCACCTTCAAAGCCCTCCACGGCCTGGCTCCCTCTTACCTCTGTGACCTTCTATCCCCCTACTAATCTGTCAGCTTCTTCTGCTGAGTGGGCTCTGGCCTGCTTAAATGTCCTTCGTCTTGCCCACCCCACATTGGCGGGTGGGCCTTCAGCCACTCTGCCCCCATCCTCTGGAACTCCATCCCACAATTCCTACGCCTCGCCGCCTCCCTTGCTTCCTTCAAAATCTGTCTTCTCTTGAACCATGACTTCGATCACCCCCTACCCTCCCGCCATCCACCTCTCTTGATGCCAACCACCAGCTTGGGTGAGAATCCCTGACTGTCCAGTGCCTTGGAATATCCTCCTGACGTGAAAGGTGCTATACAAATGTAATTTGTTGTTAGGCATATTGCAGTTCACAGCTGTTAATTGGAAGGAAAGTGTATAAGGTGCATACACATGTGAAACTCCGGGTTTTCACGTATGTCAGACACCTGGCTGATCAAAAAAAGGAGACAAATATTGCACTTTACCTGTGAAACAAATGGATTTTATAAAAGAAATTACAGGTTTCCCCTTGTGCAATTGAAATGCTTTATTTTAGATTCTCTTCGAGTTGAAGTTTGAGTTTCTGCGAGTTGTGTGCAACCATGAACACTTCATTCCCCTAAACCTGGCGATGCCATTTGGAAAAGGGAGGATTCAGAGATATCAAGGTACAGTCACTGACCAGTGCGACTCTTTGACCTGTTGCCTTCTGTTAGTTTACAATTTTGACTATAGATTGTTTGCATATACAGCTTTCTTTTGTATTTGACTATTTTAAAGAGAGATTTTATTGCAAAGGTTCCTTCATTACTCTGGTTTTTCTCTTTATTAATTAGCCTTTCTTTCACCAACTGTGGAGTCCTATGATGCTCCTGTAGGTAGGTTTGGTTACCGTGCCTGCTTATTACAGAGTCTGTACACTCAGCCAGGAAGAGCATTCTGATCACAAGCTTCTCACATTAAACTAAAAATGGAATAGAAATTATATTTTACAAAAAAAATCTCCAAGTGGTAATAAGGGAGAAAGTCAAATGATCTGAAAGTCATGGAGCTTCAATTCCAAATTATAAAGGGGGTTTCTGAAACTTTGGATATATATGTTTCAGTATTCAGCAAAACCTGAATTCTGCGTGCACTTTGTAGATTTTTTGAATATGTCACGGGCTTGATTTAGTTCAAAGCCAATGTTTGCTCAGTATAAGAGAGTCAGCATTTGCCTTCTCACAATAGTTCATATTATTGACTAAAAGTGTTGTCTACTGCTGTTATTCTGCTTTCACTGAAGGAAAATGTTGCCTCTGACTTTTTAAAGAAATTTCAGCATTGCCCACCCAATTACTTTGAAGAATGAACAACTTATCACATCAGTAAGTCCTGGATCATATTTCTACTTGTTGGCTTCTTGTTTTCTGCCTTTGGATTCATTTTTTAGCATTTTTTGTTGAGACCATTCATGGATCGTAACTTCTGCTCATAAATAGTGTTCCTAACTACAGTCTCATTAACATTCAAAGCTCTTTTGGAGACAGCGCAGTAGTTGATGCTTTTTCAAACAGATGGATGAGGATCAAATGTCCAGATCTTGAATTGCCCGGCTGCAGTTGGGATAAGTCATCTTTCTTCTGGAAGCTCTCCTAGCTTAGGAGATTTCAATAGTTAACTATTTTTGTGTGTTGTAAGGGAGAGGAGAAGAGGAGGAACTGATCTGGTACATTGTACTAAGAATACCACTAAAATAGAATCAACAATAACTACAATTTTCATTTATATAGCACCTTTCATGTTGTCAGGTTGTCTGAAATCTTACCACGCAGCTGAATGGGGCTTGAGCTTGGGGAGCAGGTGATAAAAGTTAGGTTGTGGCAGAGGGAGGGGTGGTTGGGTCCCTTTTGAAAGTGGGTGTGCAGTAGGCACGTCTTCATATGATGATAGAGGAGTTGTTGTCTTCGCTATTTCAAAAGAGTTGCCATATCAATTATTCCAGAAATATGGGGAGTGCCTTTTCCTCAACTTTTCCCCCACTTGAGCCACTGTTGAAACAATGGGAACGCTCTGCATAATTGCTCACCGTTAAAAAACATCCTTAAACTCTCCGGGATGCTACACAATGTGAAGGGCACTATATCAATGCAAATTGTTGTTGCCATCTTTGTAACTTAGCAGAAAAGCTTTTGAGTATAAAAAGCAATATGGTCAAAATACTCCTCATACCAAACTATTTGATTGGATTTTCATCCACTTAAATATTTAAAAGTGTGTGCTGCCCTGTCTTACTCAGCACTCTTTAGCTCTGGAGATAGTGCTGTGTGTGTTTCTAGTTACTTGTGTCTTGTTCGACCCTCAACTGTCTTCTTCCCCACATTCAAGCCATGACCCGCTCTGCCTTCCCTCACCTCTAACATCGCCCGACTCCACCACTACCTCACCCCTCAGGCCGCTGAAACTCTTGTTCATGCCTTTATCACTTTCAGGCTCGACTCTGCAAACGTCCTGCTTGTCAGCCCGTGTCCTCTCCCGCACCAAACTCTGTGATTCCATCTCCCCCACTCTCGCCCGACTCCATTGGCTCCCTATCCTTCAGAGGATCCAGTTCAAGATCCTGGTCGTCACATACAAAGCCCTCCATGGCCTCACCCCACCCTACGTCTGTGACCTCCTAACCCCCTACCAACCTGCTCGTTCCCTTCCGCTCAGCCGGCTCTGGCCTGCTCCACGTCCCCCAAACCACCTGCCCCACCATTGGCGGGAGAGCCTTTAGCCACTCTGCCCCCACCCTCTGGAATTCCATCCCCCAGTCACTCTGCCTCGCCCCCTCCTTAGCCTCCTTCAAGTCCCGCCTCAAGACCCTCCTCTTCGATCAGGCCATTGGTCACCCCCCTTCCCCTCCCCTCCCTTCTCCCCCCCAACCCCAGCTCGGGTCTGAAATGCTGTTCACTGTCCAGTGCCTTGGGACGTCCTCCCGACGTGAAAGGCACTATACAATGTAACCTTCTTGTTACACATTCAATGTTGCTGTGTAAGTAGAAGCTCTGTGTTGAGCGGGAACATTGTGGGAAGGCTAAACTGTTGTAAGAATCATTGTATAAATCAGATTTGCTTACTCGGTGTACACAGCTGCTCACAGAAGGTGAGTAGGAGCACTGCACCCAAGGAGAAGACCTTCCTGGCAAATGGGTGACTTAAACTGATCAATCATTTATTGATCTTGTAATAAGTACATAATGTGCTTTTACCACGTTTGCAGTGTTCTTTTGTGCATAACCTTTTAAGTACTGAAAGAAGATTTTAGCATCCTTTTTATTTGAAAGAGAGCTCTCAATTTGGTTTATTTCCCTAATTATACACTTATGATTATTAGTGGTCATGAATCCAAACACCTGAAATCTGAATGAAGAACCTGCAAAAAATAAGTAAATGTTTTTCAAGGCTGCTGTGGCTTGACTGGGAATGTTGCATTACCGGTGTTAACCACTGGAGGGATTTTCATCCCTCATCTTTTGAGAAATAAAATGAGTTTGGTGCTGATTTAGCTAAATCCAACTTCTATGTTTTCAACCATCTTTTGTGTAAACTCCAGATAGGAAACCATAGACCCCAGTTTGGAATTCTGGCCACGTGAACCCCACACCCAAATTATACCTTAAAGTTATAGGTTCCACTGTTCTGTCCAGCCTCTCTTCATTTCCTTGTCTCGTACATTTTTCTTTCTCTTTAACTCACTCTCTGACTATCAGCTTTTGAAACCCTTTAAAAAAAGGGGGTAAATTACTTTTGAATGCATATCATATCACGCAGGGTGTTTAAGGTGAAGACTGTTGGGTGGGGGCAGTTCTTGCGCCTTTCTTGCCTCCTGAAATGCCCCTCAGTCAACCGAGAGTGGATTCAAGAGACAAGACAGCAAGAGTAGAGACATAGAAATTGGGGGTTGGGGGAACATCATCCAGTGACAGACACTGTATTATAGCATAGAGTCAACTTCTGTCAAATGGCCAAAGAGCTGTGGGCTTTAACAATCATCAGAAACACCATGGGGGAAAATTGCTGAGCAATATAAATTTACAGACAGCAGGGTGTTTTTTTGAAGAGGATTATATTAATGAAACAAAAATCTTTATTATCAAGCATGCAAATGTTCAGTACTGAAAGGGTTGCTGTGTGGCAGAGTCCCGATAAACGCATTAATGATTTGCTGAGAAACCAATGTTCAGTTCACGATTGTGCATGGTATGCGTTTATCCACACTCTGTGAGTGTGTGCTCATCGTGTGGACTTTTTTGTGCGTGTGCGTGTGGTTCACAGCATGGTTTTTATTTTGCAGCTTTGTCTTTGCCGTGGGGTCTCAGGTGTGTCTGGGAATAGTGTGGTCTGTCATGATTCCCACCACTTTGTTTGTTTGTGTATGTGTGTGAAAGAGAGAGAGAGAGTACTAGTCTTGTAATACAGCATTAAATCTAATTTTATGTTTCATTTTCAACTAGTGCAAGCGACTTTGCGTTTTATACATTACATGTTTTGGAGCTTTTAGAAATAATAGAATTTTATATTTTTTGACCTAGTCTATGTGGCATTTACATTATCTCCAGTATGACACCGGAAACGTTATTGTGGAGCAACACATCAGGTTGAATGTAACACGTGCAGAATGAGCTATTTCTGATGAGTATCTCTGTATCTAATGTAATCAGCCATGGGAAATGGTGGCGTTTATAATTCATTTTTAATAAGATGCTGAAAAGTAGGACAGGAGCTGCTTCAGTTCAGCTTGTCAGCAGCAGCTGTGGGCTTCGTTTCCCTTAAGCAGAGCCAGAAATAGCGACTCTTCCATCCACGTAGACCAAAGCTGCTTCAAAATTGCACACTCTGCGTCACTACAGAAAGGAATGTGAACAATCTCGATATAACAAGACACCATTCTCTAGCAACAGGTTGGCAGGTTCACACACACAGGCTTTCAGGATGAGTGTGAGTGGAGTAAATTTTGTATCGCCATTGCCATATTGAATAGCAAAATCACAGTATGAAAAAATAATTCAACATGTGTCACTTACATTGTTGAGACATTTAACAAGCGCTTAAGACAAACACATTGTTGGGCCAGAGGGGAAGGGGTGCTGATGATCCCTCTCTCTCCTTGAAATGTAACTGAATAAAAAGATGCAGTAGTTATAGTTTTATAGGCCTTATTTCCTTCTCCCCCATCCCCCCCCCCCCCCCCCCCCCACGAAATAAACACTATTCTACCCTCTTCGGGATGAAATAGGTTTATATCTTCTTATGCATGTAGTAAAAACATCGAATGCTACCAGCTCAGATATAGCATTTGCCAGGTTCAGAACCCCTTCCCCTCTGGCCCAACGATGTGTCTGTCTCAAACGCTTGTTAAATATCTCAACAATGTAAGTGACGCATATTGAATTATTTTTTCGTGCTGTGATTTTGCTATTCAATATGGCAATGGCGATACAAAATTTACTCCACTATCACTCACACTCATCCTGAAAGCCTGTGTGTGTGAACCTGCCAACCTGTAGCTAGAGAATGGTGTCTTGTGCATGTGAGATCTATGGACTGTGCACTATAGCCTCAGAGTGTATTCTTGTCAAATCATTCTTGCTCTTTTGAAAAGATGGTCTTAGGCTGTCAGCCTGGGCATTCACCACCAAAATATTTATACCTTGGGAAAAACAGACTTTGATATATCACTGATTCAGTGTTTGGAATCTTTTATTTTTGTGTTCTGTTTGTGTCCATACACATACCACTGATCTCTGTGTGTTTGTCCTCAGATCTGCAACTAGACTTCACACTGACTGATGACTTCTGTAAGAACCACTTTCTAGTGGGGCTGCTTGTCCGGGAGGTTGGGAGTGCACTGCAGGAATTCAGAGATGTCCGACAGATAGCAATCAGTGTTCTCAAGAGCTTAATGATTAAGCACACGTTTGATGACAGATATGCAGCCAAAGTAAGATTTTGGAGAAGTTTAAGCACGAACCTGTGGAGTTATGTAAATGTTTCACTGCCTGCTTTAGATGAAACTAATGTGCAGTAGAAATTACGGAAGAAGAATGCAATATCATGTGAACAAAGTAGTTTCAGAAGATGTCATTAAGATATTTGCAAGCACAGCTGTGAAGAGGGGCACTACTGTCAGATGAGGCACCGGTATTAAGGCAGCAAGTCATTTATTGGGATCTAATATGCAAATTAAATGTAATTGTCGATTTAACTCAATTTACACCTCATCCGCACCTCCCCCAGCACTACACTGGAGTGAACACCTAAACCAGTTCAAAGTCTACACGTAAATCCACAACCTTCTGATCCAGAGGCTTGCCATACTATACAATAAGGGCTGTCTCTAAGATGTTTAATGGGATATGTGGAGTTTTATCGGGAAGTTTTAGTGACTACTGTGGATGATCTAGGAAGGTTTCACACTGATTCTGGTTACTCAGAATAACATCATCTGTCATCTTGATGAGCATAAACTTGAGCAGGTGACAGGCTAGCTCATTTGGTAGCACTCTCACTTGTGAGTCAGAAGGTGGTGAATTTGACCTTCATGTTTGGAATTGGAGACTCAGAGTCTAAGCTGACAGTCCAATGCAGTGCTGCATTGTTGGTTGTTGTCACTTGGATGAGACGTTAAACCAAGGGGAACTTGTCTGCCTGTTCAGGTGGATGTTAAAGAACCCATGGCACTATTTAAATAGAGAAGGGAGTTTCTCCCGATAAGCTGGCCAACAATCCCCCAAATAAAAATTGGTCACTCACTTCATGGCTGTTTGTGGGACATTGTTGCACCAGAGCCCATCCCGTTTAAGAAAGTGATGCTGAGAAACATGACTTTAATAGCTCTGCATTGCCATTCAGTGGCCTAATGTAGAACTGCAGTAGTTCACAAAGCAGAATAAGGGTTGCAAGTCCATTTTAATATTGAAGTTTAGAAAGCAGCAATAAAGAGGGCAATGATGTTAGTTTGATAATCAAAGGAATCATCTGAAATGAGTCTCCCAGTTTTACAACAAATGTACCTCTGAACTATTTTAGAAGTCTTGGTCTATATGAAAACAGTTATTCTAAAAACTTCTTAAAACTATAGAGACAGCAGCCCACATCTCCACTGCCATCTTAATACCTTACCTGGAAAGCACTTGTCACAGTGAATTACCCTGAAAGTGCAGTGATGGTTATGTAGACTAACACAGTACTTAAACAGCACCAGAAATGCCCCTTAAACACCATTGAAGTTAATTACAACATTTAATATATAATTTATAAATTTGTGTGAGGCAGGAATATTGGATTGGACATCGGCATCCTGGCTTGAATTCTCAAATAACAGAATTTTCTCAACTTGCTGGTATTTTATTGTGAAATTTCTGACATTCTGGCCCAATATTCAGGGTGACCCTCTCTTAAAGTTTATACCAATGATACAGGAATCTTTGGAAATTGGCTGACTTGATTAGACTGTAACCTGGCTTCAAACTGCTACTATCTGTCCCATTTTAAACATGAGGAACAAGAGTGAAGGTGTTTACCGTGTGTGAAGTCTGAACATTGGGATATAATGTGCAAGATTTGCAAAGGGATTTGTAAACACTGTAAACAATTAACCACCTAAAAGTCTGCTTGGTCGCTGATCTTATTTTAGACTTTTGCAAAGTCGGTGTGTGAGAGGAGTCGCATAGACTTGGCCACCACACATCAGGGATTCACTACATCAGGGATACACCAAGTCTTGTGACTCTCGTCCCATTGTCATTCTAATCTTATTGTGGAATTGTTCATTTCTTACAGAGCCAGCAGGCCAGAATAGCCACCTTGTACCTGCCCCTTTTTGGACTGTTGACTGAAAATGTGCAGCGCATTAACGTGAAGGATTTCTCTCCTTTTCCAATGAATCAGTCTGGCAATGTGAGTGTGATTTGCTGCCTTCTGCTAGTTATTCGACTTCCTTATTTCTTTGTAACTGTTCCTCGTGCTCCCCCCAGTGGCAGAGTGTTGAGTTGCAGTGTGTGTTTTCTGTTTATTTTATTGTGTGTGAGCTTTGTCTGATTAACTGATCGCTGACACTAACAATCCATCATATTAATCTTAAACTCTTTATCTTAAAGAATTACACTGGGATTTTAAGTGATGTTATTAGGAAGTTAAGGAAAGAAGGTGGTGTTGTCACAATGGTAAAGGTGGAAGGCATAGCAGGGTTTGGGTAATGAATATCACCCATTATTGCAATGTGTTCTCCCGTAAAACACACAATCATTCCACTTTACAGTTTATCCTGTGAAGCGCTTTGAGCCGTCCTGTTGGTGTGAAAGGCGCTACAGCAAATATAAGGATTATTTTATTATTTAATATTTTTAAAATATTTTTAAAATGTTATTTAATATTTAATAATTGCCTTGCAAGCGAGATACCTGGGTTCAATTCTCAGCAGGGCGAAACCTTGTGCAAGTTTCCTTACTCCACACACCTAATAATAATCCCTCCAAAACAAAAAACAATAATAAATTGGTCATTTTCAATCCACGACTGTTTGTGGGACACTGCTGTGCGCAATTGGCTGCCACATTTCGCCCACAAATATACGGTCAATTCACTTCACAGTATATTCTGTGAAGCGCTTTGAGATGTCGAGAAGATGTGAAAAGCACAATATCAAATGCAAGGATTATTATTATAATATTACTTAAATTGACCGTATGTTTAGAAAACTTACAAAGAAGCTAAATCTAAGGTTAAAATAACCATCACTGAATTCAAGTTTTAGTTGTCTAAAATGTTACAGAAACTTTTAAATAACTATCATTTTCATTCATGTTTCCTGCACATACCAATGGGTAGGCACTTTGAGAGAGATTTTCTGTTGTGGAATATGGACAGTGATAAGTCTTTAAGTATTTTTTTAAAAAATTCTAGTTAACTGCAAAATGTGTGACATGGCTTTGAAAATCCTGATTTTAACAAGTAGTTTAAAACTTGGCATTTCTCCTTACTCAGGTGTGTCCATGTAGAGAAATTGCTGAGCAGTGTTCCTCCAGAAATGGATGTGTTTTTAAGGTGCAAATTCTTTGCTTAGTATCAGACTGTGTAAAAGTCACCGGCAAACCCACCCTCTAGAGAGCATTTTATATACTCTTATAAAACACACAACAGATGTCCGGTGTTGCGGTTGGATGTTTACAGCTTTTGATGTATCAGTGGAATCTTTGCATTGCTTCAGTCAGAGATGGTTTGAACAAGGGGGCATAATCTTAAAATTAGAGCTAGGCCATTTAGGAGTGAAATTGGGAGGCAGTTTTTCACCCAAAGGGTAGTGGAAATCTGGAACTCTCTCCCCAAGAGGCTGTGGATGTTGGATCCATTCATATATTCAAGACTGAGATAGGTAGATAATTGGTAGGTCAGGATATTAAGGGATACGGGGTAAGGGTGAGTAACTGGACTTAAGGTATAGATCAGCCATGATCTCATAGAATTGCAGAACAGGCACAAAGGGCTGATGGCCTTCTCCTGTTTCTATGTTTCTAAAGGGTAGTTAATTCTGCCATATGCACTAATGCCACTCTTCAGAAATGTGTTACACTTCAAAGGTGAACTGTCCTGTCATAGAAAGTTCAATAAAGGAATATTGATTAGAAAAATCAGGGTTTTTTTCAAAGCAGAGTAAAACATATTAATTTTATTATAAAGTACATATAAGCTTCTACAGAAGCTCTTAAATGTGGAATATTGTGGAGTAGTTATTAATTTTGTTAACTTTAAGAGAATTGAGGATGTTGTATAAATGCAAGTTGTTTTTAACTAACTTTTTGTTCTGTGCATTTATGGTAACTACATGCTTCTTAAGTGGGTATCGGTGCATAAGCTTCTCGTAGTGTAATGTGATAGGAAGGTGGAACCCAGCAACAAGTGTCAGCTTTCTATCAGAAAGTGAAGAAGGAGCTGAAGGATGAATTATTGATTCTGCAGTAAGATAAATATTTTCACAAGCAAGCTGCTGAAATAAGTACCAAGTGTCCAAGTGAAACTGAATTAAAGTTGTTGGCTTGAATTGAGAGTGCCAAGGAAATTGGTCATTGACTGCAGCTAATTCTAAGTACATGTATGTGTGTAGTCGGCTGCTTGAAGAATCTTTATAAGATTTAAATTTCTTAACTTGGCGCCTGAGTGTTTATGGGTCGCATATGTTATTTTTTTCCCATGTTTCTCTTGATGTGGAATTTCTTTTTTTGCAGAGTGGGAGAGACGAGTTGCCTTTTAGCGTACAGATGGGGAGCACCATGGTAACACCTCAGAAACCAGGAAGCACTCTGGATAACAGCATTCACAAGGATGTGTTTGGTGTTATTTCGGGTACAGGTGAGACTTTCAGAAATGCCTGTCACAGTGAAATTTATCCATTAACTTTGAGCTGCTGCAATAACCTTGTAGGTGGTGATGTGATGCTGTGTGGTAGTTTGGTGTTCACCCTGCAAGTGAATGTATAGTTTATGATGGCCACCTTTTTAGATGCTGTTCTTGGCTGGACTGAAATACTGTCTTTTGCATTTGGAAAAATGTATTTACATCCAGTCTAAAGATTAACTGTCTTTGTACTAACATTTGTATATGATGCTGTAAGAAAGATTTCAGTGATGTTTTTGACATGTGGTGTGATTAGGTTGTGGTTTAGTAGCTCAGTAGCTTAAAACTTTGTTCTTGATGATAAGTACTTATGTTAACATTTGTTTTGTTAACATTTGTTTTGTGCAGCTTCTCCACACGGTTCATCCACTCCAAACATCAGCGCAGTGAGGCATGCCGACTCCAGAGGTTCTCTGATAAGCACAGACTCTGCCACTAGTCTGCCAGAGAAAAATGCAGACAAGAGCAATTCCCTGGACAAGGTATCAATACTATGGTTCCTTATGTAACTGTTGACTTTGTGCTCTGATTCATACACTTTGTGAAATTACCTGATTTAAACTTGTGACTTTGCCTACCCTGACGTGTCTTCATGCTAACAGAGGGAAAGGCTTATCAGGAGACACTCTACTTACACCATGATCAACAATGAGGATAATCAGAAGAGTTCAAAATCTGCACAGAGAAATCGTTTCACCATGGATTTTTCTATTTTGACTATCCCAGTCTTGCCAGAGAGAATTTTGCATACAGCTCTTTCTCTTCAGTTTCAAGAAGTATTTATCTTGCGTGTCTTTTATAGCTGTGCCACTAAGTTAATGTGTGTTTGTGTGTCTGGGGGTGGGGAAAGGGAACTAAATTATTAATAGCAACTCTAACCTTAGTTTACAGATGAGTTAAACATACCCTTGTTCTGTCTTGTAAACACTCCTCCTCTTTTAATTCCTAATATGAAATGACTCCATAACAATGCCCGTTATTTGTAAGAAACGTGTGGAATTGGGATTTCATGGGAGGCGGTCAAAATGTAGTTTTGGTCATGTTAAAACAACAACAGATTGCATTTATATAGCACCTTTCATATCAGGAGGATGTCCCAAGGCACTAAAAATGTATTTAAATGGTTTTAAGAGCATTCCTTGTGCAATCTTTGTGATTCACACTCTTCTGTTTAGTTGGATTCTCCCATCTATTTTTGGGTAAGCCTGTAACAAATATTAGTGTGGAGTTGATGGACAGCTCAAAATGGGATATTAAGTAGGATGCCTCAGGGAACATGCTCGGACTTCAGTTCCTGGTACGCTTAATAGATTTATATTTGTAGTCTTATTGCATGGTAGTCATGTTTTCTAATAACATTGGGACTTTGAGCTCCTAGTTTCTCTATCTGTGGCCAGGGCTTCTTCAACAACAACAACAACATGCATTTACATAGTGCCATCTACGCCGGGCGGCGTCTTAGAGCACTTAACAATGGCGGAGCCCAAGGCCGAGCCAGAAGGAGGGGGAAGGTGACTGTAGGCGAGGTTGAAAAGGAGCCTCCCCATCCTCCCGGATCTCTCTGTCGCGTTCAACACAGTTGACCACGCCATCCTCCTCTATCGGCTCTCCTCCCTCATCCACCTTAGTGGAACCGCACTCGCGTGGTTCGAGTTTTACTTAACCAACCGCCTCCATTTCATCTCAGCAAATAGTTTCTCCTCCTGCCCACCTGGTCACCTGCGGGATACACGAGGGCTCCATCTTTGGCCCTCTACTTTTCCTTATCTGTTTGCTCCCTCTGGGCGATGTCATCTGCCGACACGGGGTAAACTTCCACATGTTTGCGGATGACAAAAAAAATCTACTTTGCCTCCTTCAGTACCAACTCCAGGTCCGCCGATATTCTATCAGCTTGTCTGGCAGACATCAGGGCCTGGATGAGTGTAACTTCCTGCAACTGAATATGGACAATACGGAAGCCATACTCCTTGGCTCCCATCAACGTCTACACTCCTGTGGATCTAAACTCCTCAACCTCCCTGAGTTCTCCCTCAGACTCACCGAACCAGTGCACAACCTAGGCGGCTGGTTTGACCCCCAGCTGTCCTCTCTCCCCCACATCTGGTCCCTGACCAGGACCGTCTTCTTCCACCTCCGCCACATTGCCTGCTTCCAACCGTACCTTACTCCAAATGTAGCCGAATCTCTCGTGCATGAGTTTGTCACCTCCCGCCTGGATTAGTCAAACGCACATCTCACCGGGTCTCCCCTGCTCCACCATTCACGAGATCCAACTCATTCAAAACTCTGCCGCCCGCATACTGACCCAGACCAAACTTCGTACCCACATCTCTCCAGTTCTGGCCAGGCTCCACTGGCTCCCCATCACCGAACGGATCGACTTCAAGATTCTCACTCTTGTGTTCAAATCCATTCACTCTCTGGCACCTCCCTATCTCTCCAACCTCCTCATTCTCCAATCAACCACCGCCGCCTCCATTCAACTGGCACTGGCCTCCTGCCCGCCCCTCACACCCTCCGCCCCACCGTCCTAGGTCGCGCATTCAGCCACTACACCCCAAAACTTTGTAACACTCCCTCAATTCCTCCACCTTGCCCCCTCTCTCCCCTCTTTCAATTCCCGCCTGAATACCTTTTTCTTCGACCGTCTCTCCCTCTCGTACGGCACCCCCCCTCCCCTCAGCTCAGAGTCAGGCTCCGCAACTGTTAAGCACTCTGAGACTGTGTGGAGGATGCTATATAATTGCAGGTTGTTGTTGTGGTTGTAGCTGCAGCGCTGAGGGATCTGCATTGTTAAAGCTGCCATGCTGGAGCTGCTATTAACCGTTTTATCACTAGAGGTTATTTTGCTGTTTGTTGTAGTTCTCCCGGTTTGTGTGAAAAACAATCATGTAAAACATGTAACCAGTCTGTCAGTTCATTTGGATGTTGAAGATCCCGTGGTACTATTCGAAAAGGAAGGGGATTACTTTCCTGGCGTCATAGCAACCAATCCTCCAGATAAAAAAAAATATTTTATTCATGGCTGTTTGTGGGACATTGCTGTGCGCAAATTGACTACCACATTCCTCTACAAATACAGTCACTGCATTTGATAGCAAATGCTTATGAAGCTCTTCAAGACATTTCAACATGATGAGGCACTGCGTGAAATGTAAGGGTTATTTTTATTGTTGTATCAAACTGGAGTGGGTCAACTATAGAATCTGATCAAACAGACCCAAGAGAGAACTCAACAAACCTAACAGAACACCTAGACGTATCACTGACAAATATCGCCAGTGCAGATTAGTGCAAGATACTAATATAGAAGATAAAGCAAGGAAATACTTGTACTCCATGGTAAAACTTGACAAGGCACCAATACCAAGACTTTTAGTTTTTATTTTCTTTGGTTTATATTTTTAAATGCCACAAAATGTTATGACTAGTTATGTATCATGAAACTAACCCCAGACTATTGGGTGGTAGCTGTTAAGGTGGGGTTGCTATTAACAGTTTTATCACTAGAGGTTGTTTTGCTGTTTGCTGTGATTATCCCAGTTTGTGTGTGAGAAACAGTCTTGTAAAATGAGTGTTTGGTAGTTCCTTACAGATCATATCAGTAATTAATATCAGTGATTAAATTAACACATGCATCATTTTCAGAATAATAATTTTGATTTAAATATTTCGAAAGCCGTAATCCAGAAATTCAAAGTTTTAATCCATAATGATGAAGTGGGTTTAGTTTGTGATCCTCTTGTTCCTTCAGATACGATTGACTGAGCTGCTATTTTGAATGTTAATATTCAATTTAATGGTCCCTCTCTGCCCATTAGAATACTATGATGTACATACAAATGTATTAGCATTGAGCAACAATCATAAAAATTATATTTTAGGAGGAGGCTATTGGGCCCATTGAACCTACCATGGTGCATCGTTCATCCACCGGATCTAATTACTGTGTTCCTAGCAGAGGAACATTCTGATAGGAACCCAGTAAATTGAATAAAGATTTGAAAACACTTTTCAAATGTTTATTCAATTTATTTTTAAATATCTCCATGGATTTTGCATCAAGAGCTGCCTATGGCAAGGAATGTCAGATTCTAGAAACCCTCAATGTGAATTTCTTCAAATCTCCTCTCTTCCATTAACAATTCTGAGCTTTTGCTCCCATGAACAAAATTATCACCAGCAGGCACAAGCTCTCACCAGCCATTCTCTCAAACCATATCAGAGTTTTGCTGACCTCTATTAAATGTCTCTTAACCTTTTCTCTTCCAGTGGAAACTGATCTAAATTTTGATCTTATTGTTACCACCCCACTCCCACTATCATCTGTGTAAACCTAGACAGGATCCCTTTTCTATCAGATGCACTAAACCACGTGCAGTAAATCCCAGTGACCTAACCATAACGTATTGTATAAATTTAACATTGATTTCTTTGGTGATTGGATGGTCTGGTGGATTACCCAAGGGGCTGTACAACCTGGGTTTGAATCACTGTCAGGGTTGAATTTTCTCTGCTGGCTGTAAGGATCGTATGTGAAACTATTATGGGTTATTTAATCCTTACTGTAGAGATTGTATGGCTGCAACATGCAATTTCCCAGTATTGAGCACCAATTGGTATGAAAATTACCAATATCCAGATACAATAAGAGTAACTGATGATTAATTAATGATTAAATGAGTAAGTGATTAATTTCTTAACTGTTGAGGTGTTGGTCAGAGAGCTGGCAAAGCACAGAGCTGACCAGATAGATGGTTCGCGATGTAGGCAGTGACTGACAAATATCCAATCTTTCATTTCTCAACACTGACAGGATTTATTTTGAAGAGCTCAAATTTCTCCCCCAAATATTTAAAAAGTACTTTTTTTTATTTACTCTCAGGTTGCGAATGCAAAAATGCTTTAATCAAGTTAATATTTTACATCAACCTTTGTACTCTTGACTACATACTATACTATATTTGCTGTATTCTTAGACTATATTTGCATATTATCTCGTCCTTATGGGCACATCACTATTCTGGTCACTTTTTTCATAGTCTTGTTTTTTTATTTGAAATTGACTGTGACCAAACCTCCCAAAATCATTAAGAAAGCAAATACCCTCAATAGCAAGTTTGAATAGTACTTTGATTTGAAGGCATACATTTTGGACAAAGGTAACGAATTATGCTATTCATTAGCATGGCCCATCTTTTAATTTCATTATTGATTATAAAGTTACTGATTAAATAAGGAATTCCAAAACGTGTGGATCTGGGTGTATGTATGTTGGTGGAGTGTTGCCCACCAGCAGGCATTAGTAATCTGTATTTAAAGGCTGTTAATACTGAATATTTAAAAGCTCTGGCCTAATCTACCAGTCTTTAGGGAAAGTGCATAATGTTTGCAATGGACTGAAACAGACCAGGTTATTTCCAATAAGGATGACATCAGCCAGACTGCAGACACACCCCTGGGAATGTTCAGAAACTGCCGATGTATAGTGGCTCATCTCTATTCATCTTTGTAACTTCTGAATGAGAAAATCAACAATATCCGGGCCTTTAAGTCATTGAATTAAATACCATGAGGTATTTAAATTAAAGAAGCATTGTCTGCTTTAATAATCAGAATACATTTTACAGCTAATATGCAATGCAGTGTTTAGGTGTACTTTTCTAGCTGTGTGGTTTTGATTTGCATTGCACGGTCTATGAGAAGGTAATCTTAGATAATTATTTTAGAATTCAGCCAGTTTCATTTGTGTTGAAATGATCGGGCTTGCTCTCCGAGATGCAGTGAAGTTGCTAAAATGATCCATTCTTTTCTGATGTTGTCCCCTTCTAACTTGATTCTCACCAATGTGTGTCTCAGAATCATCAAAATAGTGGCTGTATCGGAGGCTCTGTGGTGCGATGTGACAAACTGGACCAGTCTGAGATCAGGAATCTCCTCATGTCTTTCCTTCACGTACTGAAGAGCATGTCTGATGGTGGGTGGATTTGTTCCCATTAGTTCCTTCACCACATTTCGTTCTAAATGTGGAAGCTGCTTGTTCAGACAGTTCCTAAAAGTTGAAATTTCCATTAGAAATTGAAATTATTTCAGATTCACTTTGGTCTCCAGAGCATTCATGGTTAGCGGCTTGATGAGTTAGAAGCTTAGAAGATACAGTACCAAAGTAGGCTGTTCAGCCCACCTATGCTATTGCCAACTCCTCTGCTTAAACTATGCAGTGAAAAATTGTGGTGTAAACTCTTAGTTGGGCTAACAACCCATATACATACATGCTTTGAATTATAAAATTAACCACCAACAAAAAGGTGATTTTTTTAATCCTTTTCACTGGTTATTTATATAATGAAGAGAATCTGGTTAACCTGTGGCCTATTAGCCCAACCCACATGTTAGACCCCAGTATTTGACATTTACTTAGATTGGGCACCTATGTTAAAACATAATCAGTTGTGGCGTATCTTCTTATGCATTGTGTAATGAACTCAGATTAAAGGATTATAATTTTTTCATCCGAATCAATGGACAATATATCTATTTCACCTTAAAGAAGCAAGGCAAGTAGAAGTAGGAAATGGGATTGAACATTGTTTTATTCCTTAGACGTTGTATTTTTCCGTTATGATAATTATAGCACTGCGATTTGTTTGTATTTTTAGATGCACTGTTCACTTACTGGCACAAGGCCTCTACTCCTGAACTGATGGATTTTTTCACAATATTAGAGTGAGTGCACTTCAACCTAAGCACTGAAATCTTATCAGTGTGTCTTATTAGAGTAAACCTCTTTTAAAATATAACTGGATTGTTTGTTCATTATGTTGACGTGTGTGTAAGGACAGTGGTGTGTCTATCTTGTTGTAATGGTTTCTTGTCTGTGAGCGCTCTTTACTTGAAACAATTTCAGATTGAATAGAATGAAAGGAGCTGTTTATCTATTTAGTAATAAATTTCATTAACTTTCCTTTTCCACAGAGTCTGCCTTCATCAGTTCAGATATATGGGTAAACGATACATAGCAAGGTAATATTGTTTACTGTGTTAACCATTCAGTAATCTTAATAAAAGCATATATCTTCCCTAAATTCAGTGAATTTGTTTTTGAATTTTATACATTCTAATCGAGGATATCACATAGCAATTAAATAATGCTTTCAAGCATGCTGATAGATTTGTACAGTTGTTATATGCAGCAATAAATACAAGAAATTTGATTTTCTTGTTACAAAGCAAGTTTGACTAGAAAAAGGATTTTGTTCCTTTAAAATCATTTATTTCTTTGGTTTGAGCTGGGAGGACAGAAATGCAGTTAATTAATCATACAGTTGAACAGAGCAGCTTTATGTTTATGATCCATAAGTACCAAAAGCTTATTTGTTCTGCCCGCCCTTAAAACAATTTTAAAGCTACTGCCTGGAATGCAAAAGCTTTGATAGCACATGGAAGTAGTGCATGTCTGTTGCCACCTGTCTGCAGGCGTCCTGTGGCTAAAGCCTCAGGAACTGAAACATAGTGGTAGGCTACATTCAAGTCAGACACATCACTGATCATCATTAGGTCTCTAGTTGTGGTAGGAATATCAGCCCACAGATTGTATGGGAAGCTCTACTATTAGTTCACTAGGTTTATCAATCTTCTATAATGTGTATATAACCTGTAATCGCATAGCGACAAACTACTATATTCTGTGGAATGCTTTCTCTGTTGCTTAAACTGACTTTCTTTTCAACCAGCTGTATAATTATAAAATGTGAAGCTTTCTTTTTTGGTGGACTAATAGGAAATTGTGGTTCTGCAACTATTTTAATTGACCCCTATTGTAGGTTGTGTGTTTTGTAGTAATAATACTTTACAACAACTAACCTGTTCTTGTTTGATTTTTGTACATGGGCTCTGGTGGTGGTATGAAGCAGGGAACTCACTATTTACCCCTGCTAACATGAATGACCTTTTCTTTTTCTATTTTGCACGTGTATGCTGACAAGTTAAAAATAAATATGTATGGCTCCTCGCCTCTTGCTGGGTAAGCTTTCAGGGTGTGTGTGCTTAGCTTGAAAGATGGGTGTTGATTCCCCCGCATTCCCCCTCCTTTACTGAGTTTTGTATGCACTTCTGCCATTGCTCTTCATGCCATCATTTCCATTGCTTGTGTGCATAGCTTTCTGTCTAAATATAATCCAAGTAAATAGCATGTAACTTGGGTGTCATTTTACTGTTCATTCGCTGATACCTGTTTGCAGGAAAGCATGCTTTGCTTTGTGCTGGCCAGCGTTGACTATTGTGGCTTCAGATTTCTCTGCGTTTGATACAATTGCGTGTACAAAGTTTATGTACCTTTATCGTGAATGGAAGTACTTTAAATTGTTCCATTTGCTAAATGATATAAATGCTCTTTTGGAGAGTTTTTGCTTTTTTAAAAAAGGAAGCTCTGATAATTGGCGTCTGCAACTTTCCTTTTTAATAATTACCAGGTTCCTTGTCACCTAAAATAGTTTGCGGTAAATTAAAGGGAAAAAAATTAACAAGTTTAGCCCATGAACGAAAGAACTTGCAATAAAGCAAAAACTGCTGTTTTAAGCTTTACTAACACTAAGCTTTGCTGCATTGTGCCGACTTTAACCATTGCTCTGTCCCATTTCCCCATCTTGCAGGAACCAGGAGGGGTTGGGACCCATCAGTATTGCACATGAAAGGAAAGCTCAAACTTTACCTGTTCTTCGTAACAGAGCAGGAGTGATGCATGCCAGATTGCAGCAGCTCAGCAGCCTGGATAACTCTTACACTTTTAACCACAGTAAGTCTAGTAGTACTAAGGGTGCCTTTTATCAGTGACCTTTGGCTCACTGATAAAAAAATAAACTCCTTTCTACAGACCAGACAGACCACCCCCAGAGCACAGTTGTGGACTTTGCATTCCTTATTGACTGGAAAACACGTACTTTAGAGAAGGTGGAAAAGGATTGGCTTGAGAATGCCTCAAAGCAAAGCAAATGTATGCAGGGGAACTTATTTGCTGACAACATTGTATGGATTCAACTTGTGACCCTTGGCAGGGCCATGCCTATAAAACATAATCAGCAGATATGATACTGATAGATATGTTGCACAATTTATCCCATCCATAGAACATATGGTACATGCAATACTATTTGGTAACTCTTGGACTGCTAGCAAATAGGGCTATAGAGACTTTCAACTGGAGCACTGTGGTGCTGGCAAATACTACTATAGTAAAAAATGACTGCCATCAGGAATAGCTGTAATATTTCTCCTAGCTTACTAAAATACAAAGAGGGACCAGCAGAGCATGTAAGGAGCTAAATGGAATTGAGAAAGTAAACCTACAAAAATAAATAGGGGATGTGTTCAGCCACCTCTGCCCCGTCCACCGCTACCCCCACATCACCTCTCTCTCATGACCCATCCCCCCTATACTCCTTCAACTCTATCTCTCCCTCCTCCCTCACCACGATTGTTCGCAACCTCAAACCCACCACCTGCTCCCTCGATCCCATCCCCACCTCTCTCCTTATCTCCCAACTTCACCTTCTGACCCTCTCCTGTCCGACGTCATCAAACTCTCCTTGTCCATCGGTTCAGTTCCCACTCCTTAAAAACAGCCGTCATCACTAACATCCCGAAAAAACCTTCCCTGGAACCATCCCTACTCTTCAGCTACCGCCCCATCTCTAACCTCCCGTTCCTCTCCAAGAGAACGAGTCGTTGCGTCCCAGCTCCGCTCCTTTTTTTCTCGCCATTCCCTCTTTGAACCCCTCCGATCCAGCTTCTGCACTGCCCATAGCACGGAAACAGCCCCGGTCAAAATCGCTAATGACATTCTAATCATCTGTGATCAGGGCTCCCTCTGTCTCCTTGTCCCCCTTGACTTCTCTGCGCCTTTGACACTGTCGACCACTCCATCCTCATACACCGCTTTACTCAATCTGCCCTTGTCTGGTTCGATTCCTATCTCTCTCACCGTCTCCACTTCGTTGCCTCGAACGGTTTCTCCTCCAGCCCCTGCACTGTCACATCTGGCGTCCCTCAGGGCTCTGTCCTTGGCCCTCTCCGCTTTAATATCTATATGCTCCCCCTTGGTGACATCATCCTCAGACATGGGGTCAACTTCCATATGCCTGCGGATGACACCCAACTCTATCTTTCTGCCTCCATCCTCAACTCCAGGACCACTGCTGACCTGACAAACTGCCTGTTGGACATCAAGTCCTGGATGAGGGCAAATTTCCTGCAGTTGAGTGTGAACAAGACTGAGGCCCTCCTGATTGGCTCACGCCAGCGCCTCAGCACCTCAGGCTCTGGCAGCATCAATCTCCATGGTTTCACACTACAACTCACCAATCAACTCACCACACCAGTCAGGATCCTAGTTGTCTTGTTCGACCCTCAACTGTCTTTTCTTCCCCACATCCGAGTCATGACCCGCTCTGCCTTCCCTCACCTCCGTAACATCACCCGACTCCGCCACTACCTCACCCTTAGGCCCCTGAAACTCTTGTTCATGCCTTCATCACGTCCAGGCTTGACCATGCAAATGCCCTGCTTGTCGGCCTTCCCAACGCCTCCCTCCACAGGCTGCAGATAATCCAGAACTCTGCAGCCCGTGTCCTCTCCCGCACCAAACTCTGTGACCCCATTTCCCTCATTCTCGCCCGACTCCATTGGCTCCCTGTCCTTCAGAGGATCCAGTTCAAGATCCTGGTCCTCACCTTCAAAGCCCTCCATGGCCTCGCCCCACCCTACCTCTGCGACCTCCTAACCCCCTACCAACCCGCCCGCTCCCTCCGCTCAGCCTGCTCCGGCCTGCTCCACGTCCCCCGACCCACCCGCCCCACCATTGGCAGGAGAGCCGTCAGCCACTCTGCCCCCAGCCTTTGGAATTCCATCCCCCAATCACTCCGCCTCACCGCCTCCTTAGCCTCCTTCAAGTCCCACCTGAAGACCCTCCTCTTCGACCATGCCATCGGTCACCCCCCTTTCCCTCCCCTCCTTTCTCCCTCCCTGACCCCAGTTCGGGTCTGAAATGCTGTACACTGTCCAGCACCTTGGAACATCCGCCCGACGTGAAAGGTGCTCTACAAATGTAATCTTGTTGTTTATTTACATAAGGGACAATCAACAACTGGGATGAGTTACTAAGAAGGGGAGTGCAAGTGAGGAATCTGGACTGTTTGATGCTGGAATGTGAAGAAAGTGGTCCAAAAGATCATCTTCAGTCATCCGTATCTTGTGAAATCTAATACTCCATTTTGTATATATACTGGTGAATAGCTTCAATTGGGGCAGCAGATACATGCACTAAAGGTTTCTAGTAGCACAAGTCTGGCTGGAGGCACTTGACTGCACCTTGAGAAGCTAATTTCAGAACCTTTGCAGGAAATGGGGTGTGAATCTCACTGGGATTGTTCCCAATTCCTTCAAAGTTCAAGGTGTCCAGGAACATTGAAAGGAGCATTTTTAACTTTGTTAGCTTTGCACTCTTTAACAATATCAAAAAGAGAAATGCCTGGGATTGGTGTTTTCCACATTGGCAGAAGCAGCAGAATGAACCAGATTCCTTGTTCCAAATCATTATACTGCCAGGAATGAGCCACCTATTTCCTGTCTCCCTTGTGTCTGATTTTAGCCTGTGAGCTTTATTTGTGGTAAAATGGAAGAGCTTCAGGGAGGGAGGCAGCGTTGTGGCCCACAGCATGTTCTATAAAAGTCTTTTCCATTGGCAAATAATTATGCACAAAACGTTCATCCAGAATGTAGATGGGATTCAGATCAGACTTCCTTCGATACAGGGAACTCTACTCTAGAAGAAGAGCAAGTTGGAACATTGTTCCAGTTGGGTCAGTATAATTATCTAGTTACCTGAAACATTCTCCATTTGAGTTGCTTGATCTATTAAAGGATCCCATTAAGACATACATTAAAACAAAAAAAAGCTTTGATAAAGACGTACACTTCACAAAGCCAAAGCTGTAACTAATAGTTGTGAGATTTTTTTTCTGGGTCCTTTCTTTCTATAAAAAAATTTGCAGTGAAAGTTTCCACTGGATTGCGTTATTTAACATTCTTAAAACGGTTCCATATGGTGTATTGAATCCTTTTATGTAGCTGAGACTAAATTTAAACACTACAATCAGGATTAATATTTTGAACCTTTTTATCTTCAGACATTTTGCAGTGCCTTATTTGTGGAACTGAGAAAAAGCTTGTGCATTACCTTGAAATGTTGTCATTCAAATAAACCCACTCTTCTTTAAAGCAGGACAGTCCTTTAAAGACTGACCAAGTTAACCATTGGCAAAAATAATAACATTTGCAATTTTATAATCACATTCGTGAGATTAGGGGAAGAATACGTGTCCTCCGTGCACTGCGTTGTTTTCTGATCAAGCTCCGTTGAACCACAAGGAATGTAAAGTCCATGTAAAGTTTGTGTGCTGGTGATCAACTCACAAATAAATGACCTTATCTCTGTTCCAGTGTACGAAAGCTATCCAGTATACTTGGAATTTCTGTAGACAATGGTAAGATTTGATCTGCTACACAACTAGTTTGCCTGTTCTTATGATTTTAGTGTGCTTTGAAGTATTTCACCCAAACATCAGCCTCATGATTAATTACACCAGCATGCAAAGTTTGAGGTTAGGGAAGTAGTTGGAAGTATTGAAGTGTGTTTGGGGGGGGGAGGGGAGGGGTGTAGGTGAAGAGAGAGACTAAATTGTTTAAATTGGAATTAAATTGTTTAAGATTCAAATTAGTTCAATAGATAATTTGTTTACTCAGCAGCCCTTTTCTAGTAACATCAATTGTTCTATAATTATATTGGCCTAGGGGACGTGGTGTCCCAGTTATGTCTATTTATTTCCTGAAGCCTGTGATTCGTGCTGGAGTTTCATGGTTTCTGTCAGTCTTCACCAAATTGCCAATTGTTTATGTGTGAGCCAGGAGAATGAGTGTTTGTGGGATATTTGACCTCAGAGAGCGTTGACGCCAAGCTTCATCCTGTTCTTCCACCTGACCACGTACTCATTGTCATCCTGACTCGATGGGCAGTTAATGATCAGGAGTGGAGATCCTGACTGCTGTTCTCTCCCCACCATTCCTCGTCTCCCACCACATCCCAAACTGAATGCTCTGGGCTGTGTTATGCCCCCTCCTCGCCCCCTCCCTTCCCCCCCCCCCAAAGTAGGTTAGAGGTAAGGGTATAAAATAGATTAGAGATGAGGGCAGATAACAGGGTAGGAGTAGGACTCACTCTGAATTTTTTTTCAAAGGATGGGATCCCACCAAAATATTGAGCATCAGTGGACCTGTCCACATCCCATCAACAACTTTTATATAGCGGCCTTCACATAGGATAACGGCTCAGCACTTAACAAGGATGGCGTTGACCCTGAGCAAGGGAGAACAGGGGGGGAGAAGTAACCATAAGCACAGTAGAAGAGATGGGTCTTTAGGTGGATTTAAAGGCAGATCAAGAGGTGGCAAGATAGAAAAGTATCAAGGAAAGAAACCAAGTTGCCTTTTTAACATCCTATATCAAAACATCTCAGAACGCTTTACTATTAATCTCAAGCATAGCGCCTGTTTTTAATAGGTCAATGTCGCATTCATTTTATTCACAGCAAGATCCCAAGAACAGCCATAATTAATTTATCTGGAGAAGTGTTGCCCAGGACAGTGCAGTAATAACACTGCTCTTTCAGTGTACCCTTACGGTTCTCACACAAACTAACACTTAAATTTGTACCAGGAACAAAAATGTCCATTGCAGAAATTTCCTGTTTTCCTAAGCAAACCTCAGCTCGATTCAGTGGTTGTTCCAAAATAAAAGCTGCCCTTAAGCCGCCTGTTGCCAGTTATAGAAAAGCATAAGGAAACAACACAAATCAGTGGAATGGACAAGTTATAACAACAATATAATAATCCTTGCATTTGATATAGCGCCTTGTCACATCTTCGACGTTTCAAAGTATTTCACAGAATATACTGTAAAGTGAATTGATTGTATATTTTGTGGACAAAGCGCGGCAGTCAATTGCGCTTAGCAGTGTCCCACAAACAGTCGTGGATTGAAGTGACCAAATTATTATTACTGTTTTTGAAGGAAGTTGTATAAGATGGAGGGGTTCACCTGATGCACACGGTTTTCAGTGTTTTTCAGTTGCATTTTTAACATCTTATATCAAATCATCTCAGAACGCTTTAGTATTAATCCCAAGCGTAGTGCCTGTTTTTAATAGGTCAATGTCGCATTCATTTTATTCACAGCAAGATCCCAAGAACAGCCATGATTAATTTATCTGGAGAAGTCTCGTCCAGGACAGTGCAGTAATAACACTGCTCCGCTCCCCGATTACCCCAGTCAGACTGCATTGGCTGCCTGTCCCAGGGAGGATCAACTTCATGATCCTCACCCTTGTCTTCAAATCCCTCCACTCCTCTGCCCCCCTACCTCTCTGACCTCTCTCCTCACAACAGTGCCCGTTGCCTTCGCTCCACCGGGTCTGGCCTCCTCCTTGTCCCCCGAATCCTTCGCTCCACCATCAGCGGCCGTGCCTTCAGCCACTCAGCCCCATACTCTGGAACTCCCTTCCTCACTCCCTTTGCCTCACCCCCTCTCTTCCTATTTTCAGGTCTCGGCTGAAGACCTTTCTTTTCGACCGCGTCTTTGGTCACCTTCCTCCCCCTTCCACTGGCTCAGCCCCAGGATCCGTTACTGTGAAGCGCTCTGAGATGCCGTCCGACGTGGAGGGCGCTATATAAATATATATATAAATCCAAATTGTTGCTGTTTTAAAGTGATCTTTTTGTTCCCTATTTATAGAATTAATTCTGAAGCATACAGTGAATAACATAATTCAGAGTAAGAAAAATCTTTGTAAGATGTCTCTAATTGTTGTTACTTACAGATCACATCAGCAATAAAATTAGCAAATATCTGTCCACATTGCATCTTTCTCCACAGTTACACCCAGAACTGCATGCACAACCTAATATAACATACTACAGCTCACTAGGAATTAATGGCTTAATACTTTTGTTTAAAGGTGCAGAGTGTTTTGATCTATCAGTAAGTTGAAATTAAACAGGATCAGTGGTATTGAACATTGTATGTAACAGTGGTTGATTTTATTCTTCTTCAGGCTATGGTCATTCTGATGCTGATGTTCTTCACCAGTCCTTGCTGGAAGCAAACATTGCGACAGAAGTGTGCCTAACTGTTCTGGACATAATGGCTTTATTCACACAGGTTTTTAAGGTATGGTGGTGATAATAATCCTTATATTTGATACGGCACCTTTCATGTCAGGAGGTTGTCTTGCAGAATGTACTATAAAATGCAGTAACTTTGTTTTGTGGATGAACATGATTGTTTAGTATATATGACTGACTTAGTGTGTTTATGTAAAATGATCTTTTTTCACCCTCAAATTCTTTGCACAATATGTTCCTGTTTTAGGAAGTTCCATTCCATATCTGTCTGTCTCACTTATTTCTTAAATCAAGTTAAATAACTCCTTGTTTGAAATGATTAATGGATTGAGCCCCTGTGATGTCAGTTCTTATAGCAGTCTAATCGTAATCCTTACACTTGCTATAAGTGCCTTTCATATCGGAAGGACGTCTCAAAGTGCTTCACAGAATATGCTGTATGGTGGAATGACTGTGTTTCATGGGCAAATTTGATCCTTGATAAATTTAGCATGTCTTTCAATGGCAACTTACGTATCAAAAACTGCTTCATTCTGCCGAAATATGAAAAACAAGAAAAGTCTGCACTCTTCTAATGCAATGGGTTTTCAATGCATGCAGCTGGCTATTTTAATCCTAACAAAAAAAAACTTTACGGAGGTTTTTTGAATCAACCCAAAATACCCTGATGCTGAGGAACATTGTGCTTATGTAAAAAATAGGTGGCATTTGGCCAGTTCATCAGTGGAGTTTCACCTTGAATCTCATAACTGGCTGAAAGAATGAGAGAGTCTATTGGTCATATCACCTTAGACATTGAGAAATGCTTCATGGATTTTGCAATGTTTCAAATTGCAATCAGATTTGCCAGCAATGTTAAATCGTTTTAGGTTGCGTTATCCATCCATATAAAGATAACACTTCATTCCAAGGTATCCTTTACTGGAATTGAAATATAAGTACAGAAATCCTGACAGACCATAACATGAACAGTAAATGCTCCTTCAGAAATATCATGCAATACAATGTTTTTTTTGCAATAATCACCATGAATCGGGTGGTGTTGGAAATATCAAAGAACAAAGTCTTAAGAAAGAAAACAGAGAGTTTAAATCTAAATGCTTCCAAACATTTTGCTTTTAAAAATTGAAACTGCCAGAAGTTGTGGCCAAAATGAATAGCATCTATGTATTTAAGAGAACTTATAATAATAATAATCCTTGCATTTGATATAGCGCTTTTCACGTCTTCTAGACATCCCAAAGCGCTTCACAGAATATACTGTAAAGTGAATTGACTGTATATTTGGGGGTGAACGCAGCAGCCAAGGTTTCGCCCTCTGCCTGGAATTGAACTCAGGTCTCTCACTTGCAAAGCGAGTGCTCTAACCACTGAGCTACAGGACTCCACGCATACAGGACTTGATGCATACATGAGAGAGAAGGAAATAGAGGGGAATAGGATGGGTGGGGGAGAATGTGGAGTACAGATATGGACTAGGTAGCCTGTAATCTCATGCAATTGTTTCCCAAAAATGTATTTACAAGGATGCAAGGCTGAAATACTTCATTACATTTACAGTAAAATTGCTCTGGTGTAGTCATTGGGGGAGGGGGCATGTTAAATGGCTTGAACCACCTCGGGGATTTTTATGTAATTGAAGAGATAAAAGTACATTTAGTTGAGGTGTTGTTATTACCAGCCTTCCTGGGACTTTAATACAAATGTAGTGGAACAGATTTTATATGCAGCAGAGTCACATTTGCTATCCTTTAACTGTTTTCTAATGCAGTAAAGGAAGAATGTAACCAATGTGGATGGGCAAAAAAAAACACATAGCAATTTTTTAAACAAGTTTTGCATAACTTTACCAGCAGGATACATGAAGGATTGCATTTCACACCAACAGACATTTTTACTAGACAAGTTAATGTCGCAGAGAAAATATGACCTGTTTTGTTACTGTATTCCTCTTTTCCCCCTCCACAATGGAGAATAACAATCAGATTGCCTGACTCCAAACTGCTTGGAAATGGTTAGGGACTAACAAACAACTAAGAGTTTTGTATCTATAGCCCAGAATCTCCACACTTAATGAAAACTATGAAGCTTTGGCATGAAAGGGAGCCCAAAGGAGTATAAAAGCAAGAGTAAATGGCATATAATACAATGCTAATTTTTGCACAGGAAATTTTAGTATCCATTTGTTCTGGATAGATGAGCTAGGAATTAGAGGTAATGTGTGTGAGAGGACATTAAAAGGGAATCTTGTTTGGATGTAGCAGCTGTCAAAGGGCTACCGAGTACAAAGGTGGAGCAACAGATCCATCAACTCCAGAAACCTTTGCTTTGCACTGGTGACACACAGCCAGGGTTGTATGTGTGAAATGAGTAGAGAATTGGGTTTATTTAGAGCATAAAACTCCACCGGAAGAATTAGTACTAACATTGCTTTGAATTGGCCAAATGGTCACTTTATCCGCTGTAAATTCTATGATTCTAATTTTCCTTAATTCTCACTTTTCTTTCCATCAAAGTATCTTTGTGTAAAATAATTTCCTTTCTCTAAATATTTTTTGAACGTCATGTTGCCTGTTTGGCAGCTGGCAAGTCTGTTGCACATAAGGTGGAGGTAATGATTTTTATTGCAAACCTATGTCCACCAAGAACATAAGCAATAAAACTTAAGTGGGAAAATGCCAAGTCTTGGTGTATTTTTTAATTAACAATAAAATGCTACGTGATATGCACATAGTAATTATTCTAATAATTTTTTCAAAGTATTCATACATGATTCTAGCAAGTTATTATGTTCTTTGGGATTATACTGTGTTTGTTAGAAGTTCAATGATCTATCTTTCACTCGGAATTTGATCTCTTGACTTCCTAGGGCCAGCTCCTTGCTGATCACGGACACAATCCACTGATGAAAAAAGTTTTTGATGTCCTTCTTTGCTTCCTCCAAATCAACCAATCAGAAATGGCATTAAAGTACGTGTTTGCTGCTTTGAGGAACCTAGTGTACAAGGTAAGTGAGTTCTTAAAAGCTTATTATCCTGGCTCAGTGGTAGCATTCTTATCTTTAAGTCAGATAGTTGCTGGTTCAAACCCCACATGAGCACTTTGAACTCACTGTCTTGGCTGATACTCCAATGCAGTGCCAGGGATGTACTGCATTGTCATCTTTCAGGATGAGACATTAAACTGATGTCCCATCTGCCTGTTCAGGTGGACATTAAAGATCAATATGGCACTATTTGAAAAGAGAAGGGAGTTTATATTGGTTTCCTGGCCAATAATTTCCCTGTTAACAAAACACAAAATACTGCAGATGCTGGAAATCTGAAACAAAAACAGTAGCTGGGAATACTCAGCAGGTCAAGCAGTATCTATTGAGAAAAGAAAGTGTTTTGATTTATTAACACCTCTTGTCCACTGTTTTGTTGCAATCCCCCTTTTGTTTTGGATCATTAACACCTCTTTAACTCATCATCCCCTGTCCTCTACCCCATTTTCTCCATTGTCTTCCTTGCCCTGCCTCCCGCCTCTCTGTTAGTACTTAAAAACCTCTCCCTTCCAACATGGCTCAGTTCTGTCAAAGGGTCGTGAACCCGAAACGTTGACTCACTTTCCTTTCTCCATAAATGCTGCCTGACCTACAATTTTCCTGTTAAAATTGGTCATTCACTTAGAACCACAACATTTTTATAGCACAGAAGAAGGCCATTCGACCCATTGTTACTGTGCTGGCTCTTTTAAGGGCAGTTCTTTTGGTCCCATTTTCCTGTGCTTTCCCTATATCCCTGTACTCATTTTGGATATTTAATATATAATAATAATAATAATCCTTGCATTTGATGTAGCGCTTTTCACATTGGGAGGACGTCCCAAAGCGCTTCACAGAACACACCGTAAAGTGAATTGACTGTATATTTGTGGGCGAATGCGGCAGCCAATTGCGCACAGCAATGTCCCACAAACAGTCGTAGATTGAAAATGACCAATTTATTATTGTTTTTGGTTTTGGAGGGATTATTTATATTTATCTAGTTTTGTAAGTTAATATGGATTCTCCTTCAAGCACCGCATGGCAGTTTGTGAGGCATTGCTGTGCACAAATTGGATGCCGGGTTCTCCAGCAATATACAGTCACTACATATTACAGTAAATCAGGTGAAGCGGTTTGAGATATCCTCCCGACTTGAAAAGCTATACACTTAAATTCTGGCTAGCCAGATTAGTGTGTGTGTGTGTGGTTGGGGGTGGGGGTAAGATGTGGTGACAAGCTGGAATTTCTCGCTAAGTGTAATTACAATGCCAGTATGAGCATTTACCAACATTTTTCGGTGCCGCAAAATGCCAGCAAATGTTGGTATGGTACAGGCATTGTCATTGCTTGAATCCCATGGGCAGAAGATAGCGAATAAGCTGTCTTCTGCTCACAGGACTCAAACTGAGACAAAGTTGATATCCCTGGCCACAGTGAAGGTCAGCAAGGGGGGTGTTCAGCTTGGTGTGGGCAAGAGCTAGGAGAGTGGGCTGGCGGGAGTCTACATTCAAGCCCGCAGAATATTTTTTTAAAAAAACTGGAGTTGGACCCACTCTGGCTAGGTTGGAATTCTGGATACCCGATGTCTGGTAAGGCGGGGGTTACTGTATGTCAAATGTAAAGATTAAGTTGCAGTGAGCTTGCTGCCATCTTTAAATTTGCAGTTTTTCCACGTAGCACCAGCTCAGCTTCATAAACCTTCTGTTCTCTCAGTTTCCATCCACGTTCTTTGAAGGCAGAGCTGATACGTGTGCTGCACTCTGCTATGAGATTTTGAAGTGCTGCAACTCCAAACTGAGCACAATCAGAAGTGAAGCTTCCACACTTCTTTATTTTTTAATGAGGAACAACTTTGAGTACACAAGAAGACGATCGTTTGTGAGGACTCACTTGCAGGTCAGTGAGTGATATGGTCTGAATCTTAAGAGATGCTGAACTTTGGATGCATTGTCTTTTTAAGGAAATTATAGTTTCATTATGTTAAAGTGTGTGGAACCAGGTGCAGGATCCAAGAATGTGTCAGCATTTTTATTTCCTCTTGCACATCGCAATCGTACTGTTGCTAGTTTAGGAATGCTGCAATTATTAAAGCAATAGATTATATTATTATTGCAATGTTCATTGTCACACTGTGATACTTGAATATGAGATGTGGATGATATGTTCAGCTGCAATGATTTGAAAGTTACCTACTGTTTGCGCACAGCGTTTCTGCTATTTACCTGAAACCCCATGTTGTTTTCCGCTCCCCCAACCTCAACCCAGTATCTCAGTTTGTTTAGTCACATCCAAGATGTATTTTTTTCAAATTGGCCATTTGTATTATCTCCCACTGCAAGTAAAATACAATTAAATCAGGGAAGACAACAGGAACATTCAAATAAAACATGTACAGATAATAAAACAGGTTGAAAAGTATATGAAAATGGTTGTTCTGGATAATAATGGGTCTGAAAATTTCCATTTTTAAACCCTGAATGATACGATTTCTGCAAGTTTGACATAATTGAATCGAATTGAACGAAAATAAGTTTGAGAGATTTCAGTGCACCCAACCCATGGAAAAATGGCCAATTTTGTTTTGAGATATTAATCGCCGCATTGGTTTCTGTAGGTGATCATCGCGGTAAGTCAGCTGATAGCAGATGTGGTTGGGATTGGAGGAACCAGATTCCAGCAGTCACTTGCCATTATAAACAATTGTGCCAACAGTGATAAAGCTGTTAAGGTGAGCTGCTATTTTTGGTATTTTGTTGCTAGATCTAACATTTTCCCATTACTTTCAATATTGGATTAGCCAATCTGATGATCATTTAAGGTAGTTGGAGCTCTAGGCGTCCTCCCAACGTAAAAGGCGCTATACAAATGTAATTTTGTTGTTGTAGAAAACCTTATTGCAAACGTTTGTAAAAACAAATGACTTAGTCTGGCAGTATTTCACTCCATTGGATATAGTTGTGTTCAATGTATGGTTAGAGTGAGGCTTAGTATTTGTGGTCTTACTGTATTGGTGTAATTACAAATAGGTACCTTTATAAGTGTACTGTTTGCCCAACAAAGCTTGAGATGATAGTTATGTATATTTTGCTTTATTACAGTCTACTGGATTTCCTTCTGAGGTTAAAGACTTGACAAAGCGTATTCGCACAGTACTAATGGCTACTGCTCAAATGAAAGAGCATGAAAATGATCCCGAAATGCTGGTGGATCTGCAGTACAGTCTGGCGAAGTCGTATGCTAGTACTCCAGAGCTGAGGAAAACTTGGCTGGACAGTATGGCAAAAATCCATGTCAAAAATGGAGATCTGTCGGAGGTAATTGTGAACACAAGGCGGCCTGAGCAGTGTGGCCTGGGAGCAGCTTTTCAACAGTTTGCATTTCAACAGTTTTTAAAAAGTTTATTGCATGTGCATTTTAAGCAGTTTAGTTCTTAAAAGCCTATTCTGTACTTCTGAACCCAGAAGATTGCAGTCAGTTAGCTAGTTGTTTGATAACAACATAATACAATTGGTTATTGATTTCTTAACCAAGGGCTGCCTTGCTTCAGGTGGTTTTATTTGCCTTTCAAAGTGTCTTCCTATATTCAAAGACTCAGCAGGTTCTAAGTTGGGGATATTGTAGCCCCAAACAGTTGTGAGGGAAATGATGAAAGTGATTTTTCTCCCAAATCTATGCAGTATAGAATCCAGTGTTCTGCTTCAGTAATTGTGCTTCCAGTTCAATATAAAACCAATTTATAAAGTAATAGGACCAAGAGTCAGTCAGCCAGTCTGTTTCACCATTTTATTAAATCACACGTGATCTATTAAGGGCACTTTAGGGATCTTTTCTCCATTTCCCTTGAAACCTTTACTTTTGAAATACATATTTCCCTTTTCAAGTATCTATAGAGCTCTAGTGTTGTCGTCTTGGTGAGCTAGGTTTTGCCTACTCCTCCCCCTCACCCCCCACCCTCTAAACAGAATCACTTTCCGCACCCAAATCTGAGAGCCTACTCATCAAAGGCCGAAATAGACCCGATTCCTCGCTTCATGCCCACTCAAGTCAGGTGTCCGGATCACCTTTGTGACCACAAGCCTGGTGCCAAAGTGTTCAAGATTGATCCACTTTCTTCACTCCTCTTTGTGAGGACCAGTCAAACTCCTGAAATCACTGCCCTCTGCTATTCCTATCCCAGCCAACAGAGGGCTGAAGGCACGGCTTTCCAGGCAATAGCTCCATCCTGCTGAATAAATCATGGGGAACTACATGATCTGACCCTTGAAGGGAGAGCACTGCCAGGTGTTAATTATTATTAACAATAATAATCCTTGCATTTGACATAGTGCCTTATCACGTCTTTGGGAAGGGAAGTGCACAGAATATACCATAAAGTGAATTGACTAATTATTTTGTGGGCAAAACTCGATAAGAACAGATACTAAACTTAATCTTAGCCAGATGGTCAAGAAATGATAATCCTCATGATAGGACTTGGAACATTGTACCGTGGGAGTGGACTGTGGCTTCCTTTGCCCTATCTTAACATTCCTTTTCTTGTCAAAGTCCATGAAAATGTTGTTGCCACCCACTTACGTAGTTGCGTGCTACCATTCCATGTTCAAGCTGCTTCACTCTGAATTCCTGCCCATTGCATTAAGACTATCCAGGTTCTATCCTTCACAAACTTGTTTAAGAACTCAGAGGCCTAAGTCCTGCTCCATGTTTCCCCACTACATCCTTCTTTTCCAAGCCTCACTAACTCCTTATCCTTTAAATCGCTCCATTCCCAGCTTCAACCCAACATCCCAGACCCTTCATCCATTTTCATTGACTCAGACTTGCTGTTATCCCAACATCAGTGACTAAGTGTTTAGCCATCGCACTCCTTATTCCCTGGAACTCTTCACAATCCACTTCAACTTCATACCCCTCTTTGCTTTTAAAAAAACCTGTTTAACAAAATTGAATTTATTGTGCCATTAGATGTATCCCATTTCTTGCTCCAATTGCTCACATTTTGTGATGTTCTTTTATGTGGCTGGCATTATATAAATACAAATTGTTGCCATACAGATTGATGTTTTTCATCGACATTCTGAACTGGCTTGTTTCTTCTGTTAATTAAACAGTGACAGCTCATCCATCAGATGTATTCTGCACTTCCCTTCTGGCTTATTTTGTGGTTTATTAATATGCAAAGGGGGGATCAACATTATAGAGTTTGTATATAATAGATACAGAAACTTGTATTGCTATTCATTTAGTTAATTAATGAAATCTTGGGATCAGCTCTTGTTTAATTGTGCAGCGCACAATTGGGAGCTGCCTGTCTGTTGCTGTCTGATATTTTTCAAAAGTAAAGTAGAAGGTGGGAAATCATGAGAGTAATTTAACTAATGTTCTGCCCTCTGCTCTTCTCCCAATGGAGAAGAAAAACTTGCTTTTTCTTGTACAGGGTTGCTGTTCCAATGAAACCATGTGCCCTGTGATACCGTGCCAAAATAGTCATTTTTATATGATTCTTGACACTGAGCATTGTCATATTCAGCCTTGTGTAGGCAATGCAGCTGAACCAGAACAAGACCTCATTTGACATCTACACACATATTTTTTTGCAGAGGTCTCTGGATAACTAGCAATTGAGAGGGAGGATTCAAACTGATTTGTCTCTTTATTAATAAACCAAGGGCTGTTAAGGTCATTAGAGGTACCCAAGCTGTTCCTGGCTGAAATCAGTTAACTCAGCATAGACCACAATTCCCACTTCCAACATTTGCTTCTCTAAAGCCCACTGTTATCTTTACCAACGGGACCATTAGAAGAGCTATTCACAGATGCTCAGGACAGTATACTGGTAATGCTGTGTTCTGTTTGTTTTCAGGCAGCAATGTGCTATGTTCATGTAGCAGCGCTAGTGGCTGAATATCTCAAAAGAAAAGGTAAGGACCAAATTGGAAGTAATAAAATATCAGAATTGTTTTGTTGAGGATGTCAAAAATCACTCAGCACAGACCAGAATTATTGTGTTAAAACTACATGTTGGCACTGGAATATGTCCAGAGTTCACTATTTTTCAACTCAATCACATATTACAACAACAACTTGCACTTACATAGCACCCTCCACGCAGGGTAGCATCTCAGAGCGTTTAACAGTGGAGGAGCCGGAATCCGAGCCGGTGGGAGTGGGGAGGTGGCTATAAGCATGGTCGAAGAGGAAGGTTTTCAGGCAGGACTTGAAGAAGGGGACAGTGGGGGCAAGGCGGAGGGATTGAGGGAGGGTGTTCCAGAGTTTCAGGGCATAGTGGCTGAAAGCGTGACCTCTGATGGTGGGGCGGAGGGTGTGAGGGACGAGCAGGAGGCCGGTTCCAGTCGAGCAGAGGCGCCGGCCTCAGCTTAAAATAATCATCACATAAAAAGCACATTAAAAAGTTGTACTTGTACCAGGGAAAGTGTCATCTATGGAGCTGAATGAATAAAGGAAACAATGGGATTGAAAAAGCGGTTGGAATAATAGCAGTAGAAATGGTGCCTCACAAAGGAAATAAATGTCTCTGGGTATAAAGTGAGTCCCTCCAAAGAATCCCATTTACATCATGCCAGTCTGTGAGAACTTGTCTCTGAGTCAATCTTGTGTCAGAGTTAAGTTCTCAGAAAATGTCTAACCACCTCATACAATGTTATAGGCTTTAAACTACCAAACTACATTGTGACTTATCTGCAATAATTTTACATTTATATAGCCCCTTTCACATCGGAAGGATGTCTCAATGTTTCACAGAGCTGACTGTTCCTAGAAAAATGGTTTCTGATTTCCTTTCCTACTGTTTTTAAACTTGCTGGTGGTATGCTTCTCAGCACTCTTTGGTTGCTCAATAAAACAAAAACTCAGGTGTGCACAATACTTAGATAGCCAACTGAAACATGAGCCAATGCTAGGAGCTGACCATTTTATATGGGTAACAGCAGCACCAAAGTATGAGTGCAGTAATGGGTGGTCAATGTGATTAATTTGAGTAGATAATGCTGATGTTTTGGAAGAAGCACTGAGGTGTGTTGAGTATGTGGACTATTTGGTAATTTTGCAAATAAATTGTAGAGCTCTATCTTTAAAATTCCATATCTTAGAACATAGCACTAATTAATCATAAACTAGTAAAACATATGAACCTTTCTAATTTCATCTACTGTTGCATAATTTTGTCCATTTGGCCTTTGCACTGCTTTTTCTGACCCTACAATTAGGGTTAGGTCATTTTACTGATAGTGTTTAATGAGTACAAAGGACATTCATGTAGTAAAATTTGCATCATAGAACAAGTCGTGTTGGTGCATTAAACTGGTGCCTAAGTACTAAAAACTGCTAAAGTACAAGAAAGCCATGTGTTATGGATCTGGAATCTTGGACAGCACAGTTTGCACTTTGTTTAGGTTTTGTTCATTAGGTACCTCTGGGTACCCAAGTTGGTAATTCTTTCTCAAATAGCAATGGTCACGTAGATGTAGGAAAAAGTTGAGCAACTTTCAACTAATATTACTTCCTTGGAGAATGGGAATATGCTGTAAATTGCCGAAATTATCTTGGTGACTAATAGTTTTGATGAGGGGAATGGTTGCATTATTATTTGTTGAAAATAAAACCCCTTATTTTGTCAGCTAAAAATATGCTCACTTCTATACTAACAGCCTGATGCTGGACAAGCAGCACAGTACATCAAGCTAATGCACTTGCTTTTACCTCCTCTGAACTCGTTTAATTTTAAACAGGAAGGCTATTTTCTTTCTGTCATCAGCCCAGATCTGAATATTGGACACAATCTGCTCAAAAATGAATAAACCTTATTCCTGTTCATAAGTCTATGTATTTGTCCCTTTGGGGTCCCATACCTGTTTGCATTCACAGAATTTAATAAGCTTCTTTATACATCTTAAGATTATACACATGGTGGACCAAGAAAACAGTTGATAAACTCAAGCATTCTATGGTTCTAAGCTTCTGCAAGATTAGAACCATAGAAATTTACAGCACAGGAAAAGGGCGTTTGGTCAATCATGTCTGTGCTGGCTCTTTGAAAGAGCAATTAATTCAGTTTGTTCACCTGCCTAACAAGGTTCAAATGTGTATCAGCTTGGGTCAGTGGTAGCACTCAAGTCAGAAAGTTGTGGACTGAAGTCCCACTTCGGCACTTGGAATCATATTGTCTAAGGTGACACTCCAATGCATTGCCAGCGGGAGGGGTGGGGAGGTGCATTGTTCGTGGTGCCGTCCTTTGGATAAGACGTTAAATTGTCTGTCTGTTTAGGGATAATATTCAAAAAGAGAAGGGTGTTTACTGGCCAACAATCCCCCAAATAAAATTGACGCCGTGGCTGTTCGTAGGACATTGCTTTCACAAACTAGCTGCTGTGTTTCACCCACAAAATGCAGTAAATCCATTTTACACTTTGAAGTACTTTGAGACTTTTCAACGATGTGCTGAGACTGCAATATCAAATGCAAGTATTGTTATTAAATTATTCAAATCTCTGTCTAGTGTCCTTACCCAAAGCAGGCTCTGTACTCCCATCAAGCCAGTTCTTGCCAGGCTCCACTGTCTCTCCTTTGCAGAATTGCAGAATGGATTGATTTTATTTAGAGATTCTCACTTTCAAATCTTTTCAAGTCATGACACCTCCCTACCTCACCGATCTGCTCATACCTCACTCCTCTACCCAGTGTCTTATGCTCAGCTGGCACAGGTCTAGTACACATCCATCGTCACTCCGCTCCACAAGTGGCAGCCGTGCTTTCAGCCACTATGTCCCGAATCTCTGGAACTCCTTAACTCAATCCCTCCATGTTGCCCCCTCTTTGGCCATCTTCAAATCATGCCTCAACCATGCCTTTGGTCATCCCCTCCCCCACTTTCCAGCTCGTCATCAGTCCATGTCGCTGTTAAGTGCTCAGTGACTACCCACGTAAAGGGAGTTGTATAAATACAAGTTGCTGTTATTGCCTTTCTCTGCTGGAAATTACTCCTTTTTAGATATTTAATTAATTCCTCTTGAAAGTTAATTGGACAGATTGTAACGGAACAATAAAGTGATTCATGGTCTATGTACTAAGAATTCAAATAGTTTCAATCAGCTGTACAAGGCACTTGGCTTGCACCATTATTATTATCTATTATCTTTCACCAAGCAATGTCACATCACATGACTTAGAAATACACATGTTAATTTGGTGCAGTTGACTCTTCAGCTTAGGGCAAGGATGGAATCATATCAGTATCATATAATATGTGAATCTAAATACAGCATCTGACTCATGCCATAACTGACCTGAGGTTCTACTTCAAATCATCAGTCTCTTCCCTATCTTTGAGAATGTGCGAGTTACAGACTTGTGAAACATAATCAGTTGGATAAAGTCCATATTGTCTTTCCAAATACCTGTTTTTTTTTTCTCTTCCTACTTCACATGACCTGCCCTCTAATATAAAGCCGTTAAAGGCTATGAGACACTACTTGCATCAAAGCACTATATAAATACTTTTTTGTTTGTGGAACACTTGCTATTGCAAATTGATGCCACTTTTGCCTACAAAATACACAATCATTACACTTTATAAGTAAATCCAATACATCACTTTGAAATGTCCTCCCAACATAAAAAGTCCTATGTCAACTGCACAAATTGTTATCAGGATTTTAGAAATGGAAAGAAGAGAAAAGGAGATTGTGGAAATCTCTGCCAAACCATTGTTGAAGCAGAGTCCATAAATTTATTAAAAATAAATTTGAAAGTGGAATATCAAAGAGTATGGGCTGGGAACAGATTAGAAAGCTCATATGGAGAAAAACATCAGCAGAGAGATTGAGAATATATTAGACAAAGTATAGGTGGCCTGTCTCGATGCTGTATCAGTATATGATTCTGTGATTGAGAGGAAAAGATGACGTTAAGTATTTAGAATAAGTCCAGTGCTTCAGCAAGAGGAAAATAAATATTTTTTACCAAGCCTTTCTCCTAACTGTGCAGTTAACTGATTTCAGCTGCCTGCTCCAAGTCCCCCACCCTGCCAGTGGTCGAGCCTTTAACCCTTCTTCACCCACCCTGTGGATAGTAAGAACCTCCACCTTGCCCCTTTCTTGTCTCCTTCCCAGGCCCATCTCAAGACCTTCCTCTTCAACCACGCCTTTGATCATCTTCCACCCCTCTTGAACCCAACCTGCAGCTCGGGTGCAAAGACTGTCCAGCATCTTGGGACTTCCTCCCGATATGAAAGGCGTTATATAAATTTAATTTTGTTGTTGTTGATGTGCATTATTATCTGATTTTTTTTCATTGGCCAATTGATCAATTAAAATAATCTAGAAAATGCTGAGGTATGGGTATCGTGTGCAAACACACGCTTCTGTTATTTTTTCCAGCCATATTTAAACAAGGTTGCACAGCTTTTAAGGTGATCACACCTAATATAGACGAAGAAGCTGCCATGATGGAAGATGTAGGAATGCAAGATGTTCACTACAATGAGGTGAGTTGATACACTCATTAGATTAACACCTGATGTCAATGATGTGTATTTTCTTCCTGCATTCGGATTTGTCTTTAGCCACTTGTTTTGTTTCACAAACACCCTGAGTGTTTGCCTATCACACACTAATACAAGATCTGTTTGCTGTTTTGATGGCATGTTTATTGCTTAGTTAATCAGTCACCATCATGTTATAAATATCAATGTCCCAAGATACATGAGGTCACATTGATGTAAGAATGGACATTATTATCTGTGGTTCTCCTCTTTGTAAGAATCTCTCAATATATCCTAAATTTCTGGAGTTCAGAAAAAACAAAAGTTTTGCGGTACCTTGTGTTCTTCCATTGTAGTTTCAATAGTTTAGGTGCGTAACAATCTTTATAAAAGCTGCTGTTGATCATTAACAAGTAAAAAAAAATGCAGACTATGCATAAGGTAAATACTCTGTTGAAATGACTTCCTTAAACAACAGCAACATTTGTATAACGCCTTTCATTGTGCGCAAACCAAATTTGCATTATCTGTTTCATATACTTTTTACTTAAATGTTCTATGACTTCAAAGAAAAATCAAGACAGATAGCATTTTTCAACTTAGTTATTCAGAAGTAGACAAAGAAGAGGGAAGCAAAAATTGCACAATGTACTTCATAAGCAGTTCCAAGAGTGATCAGCATAAGCTTACGCTGCAAGTTTATTTATCAATAGTTCCAAAAATGCAATAGCCTCTAATGTGATTGTTTTAACAATCATTTCAAATGAACTGGTTAATTATTAACACGATCAAAGTCCAAACACTTAATAAAGATTCTGCTGCTTATACAGGGGTTTGAAGGACTGAGGTTCTGATGCACACTTCTTTGTGGTTCTGTCCATGATCAGCACTGAGCTGATTTTGGGTGGAGCAGGAGTGCATATTGGGGTTGACACCTCTGACAATGCATTGGAGGGTTAGCATTTACTGAGCTCAGAGCTTCAATGTGGTCTCTGAGGCAGATTGCTACCAACTGAGCCAGGCGGGACACCCTACATTGAAGCTTGTTGTTCAGAAAACTCCCACTCTGTTTCTCTGAAGTTTGGGAAAGGGTTGATTCATGTTTATGTAGTAATATGTAGCTGCTGGCAGATTTGCAAAATTTGCAAGAAACTGTTAAAGGTTATAAGTTTTAAAAAATATTGAGCATCTCCATTCATGTGTTGTGTACTTTCCAGATGTAATGTACTTCTAAATATAACTGTAAAGAACATAAGATTTTGCTGGGCGAAAGAAGATCAAGGTCCAGTTCATCTTCCACCATCCTGGCAGTCTCATACACATGTTGTGTCCCAAACAATATATTGTATCCCAAGATATTATATCCTAACAGAAATCTATCTAATCTGTTCTTGAAAGATTCAACACTTTCTGCTTCCACCATTTCCTTAGGGAGCCTGTTCAATATGTTTACTACTCGCTCATGAAGCAGTGTTTCCGCAGATTTTTTCTGAATTTACCTCCCATCAATCGATTTGCCCCCGCCTTCAATCACAGGCCGTGTCCTCTGGTTCAATTGTTTACTACAAGATAAAACAGGTTATCATGGTCTACATTATCTAGTGTTTAGAGTTCATGTTGTGCAGTAATTGTTGAACAAAAAGCCCTTGTGTCTGGGCCCCTCTAATGCCAGTGTTTAATGAACTTGTAGGATGTGCTGATGGAGCTGTTGGAGCAGTGTGCTGATGGACTCTGGAAGGCTGAACGCTACGAGCCTATTTCTGACGTCTACAAACTGATCATTCCTGTTTATGAGAAAAGACGTGAATTTGAGGTAAATAACTTGAATTCTTTGGGGATCTAGAGTTTCTTGTCCAATAGGATAATCATCCAGGAATTGACATGCATTATTTCAGCTCTAAAACTTCAGCAATCTTCTTACAAGTCACTCCAGCAAAGACGGTCATTTCTGTCCAATGTATTTTTGAGATGCTGAATTACAAGTGGAAACTGAACATCTTTTCTTTTGCAGAAACTCGCCCACCTTTACGAAACACTTCATCAAGCTTATAAAAAAATTGCCGAAGTGATTCTCACAGGAAAGAGGCTTTTAGGCACATACTTTCGAGTCGCATTTTTTGGCCAAGTGAGTTTTCTCTCTTCAAGCTTTATAATACATCAGGCATAACTTTCTACCTTTACGACTAAAATAAATCATCCAGACTGATTCAATTTATTTAAAAGTTAGCACTTAGTATCTGAATCAACATTATTCTACAAAATACACAGTGATTACACTTTATACTAAATGTGGGAAGCACTTTGAGATGTCCCCTCAACACGAAACACTATATTAAGTGCAATAATAATAATGATAATACAATTATATCTAATAAAATCTGATGATGCTGTATTGCTATAGTAAAAAAAATTCTGAAATTTTCTATCAGGTCAACCCAAATATGAACCCAAATAGCTGAAAAATACACCTTGTTATAAAACTTGTGTTTTTCAATCAACAAATGCGTATTTTTTTAAAAGGAAAAACTTATTCATTGACCAAAATGGACAATGAGAGATGAAAGGAAGAAAACAAAGAAGTTGAATGTCTTGGAGACGGGGCGAAAAAGATAGGAAAGATAAATTAAATTATTTGGCAAAGAAAGTGAAACTGGCGTTTTTCTTAAAAAAAAGTACAACAGAAGGTTTAACTTAAACGGTATACCAAGACTCTCAGCTGAGATCTTAACCAAGGTCCTGTCTGCCTATTCTAGTGCATGACAAACTTCCCATGATATATTTCAAATAAAACAGGAAATTTAATCCAAGATCATTTATAGTGACTTAAAAACTTAATAATCATTTGTTTCATTGTTTGTGGAATGATGTTGGTGCAGAATAACAGCTTTATTTACCTGGATAACAGCAGTTGGTAATTTCAGAGTAACTAATTATATAAAGCCTTTGCAGTGTTTTGACATGATATTTCAAAAGATTATTATTGAAAGCAGTTGTGAAAGGCTTCGATTTTTGATATGTAAATTGGCTAATATTTAGAGGTAACCTGATTAATCAATAAATATCGTAATGTTTACATTTTTAGTATCAATGTTTCAATTGAAATTATGTTTTAAACAATTCAAATGCATACTAGTTGGCTCCAAGAGACGGGAGCTTTCCTGGAGCCGCTGGCAATCTATGTTCAACAAGTCTCAAAAGATGGATTAGTTCTGTAAACTCTTGTACCTTGAGTTACAAATTCCATTGTGTTCCAAATTCCATTGCGTTCCTCGCTATCTTATGTAATTTATTACTATTTCATGTTTTTTGAAGAAAATATGCTGGAAATAATTTTCTGTGGACTTCAAACACATTGTGGTTTGAATTAAATAGTATTAGTAGAATCTAATAGGATCCACAGAAAGTTTTACAATTATTTGTATCTTTGCAGACATTTATACCCTGAGATTCACAAGAGTATTGTATTATTTGTTTGCTATGCATTTCTTTCTCTACTGTTCAGTTCTATTTTCTTTCCATGGGTGTATCTCAAACTATCACATGTTAAAATATCACAAGTGTTTGAGCGAGTGACAAAATAATATTTCAGTTAAATAAAAATGCCATGTTTGTTATTGGAAGGCTGAATGAACATGACATTGATGTGAGCTGCTCTGGTGTTTGGGAGTTCACTGTTCATTGTACAACTGCGCTGCAAGTACCTGAAAGGTCCTTTCATTCCTGCTCTTTGCAGAGATAGTAATTCAAGGTACTAGAAGGGTTTGTCAGCCCCTGTGGAACTATTTCTCATTGGCAGCATTAGTCAAAGCCTCCTGTATAAGTGGGGCAATGAACATAATGATCTATGTATTTGAAAAAAATATTTTATCACTGATTTAATATAAACCAATAAAAGTAACTCTAATTATATTTTATATATTAAATTCCCTACTGTATATAGCATTTAAATCAAATTGTGGCTTTTCTGAACTTCATTAATGGATTCTTTCCACTCTTTTCCCCTCTTAAAGGCAGCGGTAAGTTCTGCAGTATACCCTTCCATGTAAGCTTTAAGCAGTTAATGTGCCTTGGTGTGATGTGCCAGTTTGCTTTGCAGTCATAATAGTAAAGCTGACTAGAGGATGAAGGTGCTGTTAAGAATATAATACACTGCCTTGCTTCACATAGATATGCATGTTGTGGAGTGAAACCATTTGGCTCTTTGTAATCCACCCACTACTGTAAAATATGGTATTATCACCATCTCATTTAAGATTCTGCTGTAGTATTCATTCACCCAAGTGTTGAGAAGTTGGATTTGATTGTCTTTCAATAGATGTCTTGTTACCAGTGCTTTACCATGTCAATTCTCTAGTTTTAGGTAATTACTACGAGTAGTATAACTGCTAGGATCAAACATAATGTTTTTTTTTTATAATCTTATAGCAATACCAGTTTACAGACAATGAAAGAGATGTGGAGGTAATTCAATGATAGTATCACAAATGCAGCAAACGTAACTGCATTAAGACGCTTTGGTTTGATGTGGGTAATTTTGTCAGTCTATCAAAAGTACACATCATCAGTACTTCATGGAATCCGTTACATTGCCTATTATTGAATGAAGTCTCCTGCTTAAATTGTAATTTTATTTGCATTAGGTTTGATTTTGTATCTTTCCATCTCCTGCAACTGTTTCACACAATAATTACTGGTTCAGATGGTGCCTGTCCTCAATGCTTAAATGTTTTACAAATCATGTCCTGAGGACAATCTGAAGCTATGCTGAATCTAGAAACACTTGCTATGCAACAGGGACTGCTTTTAAGGGCAATGCTATCCAATATTTGAGTTTTTAAATCAGAGGCATTGTGTGTGGGTTCAGTATCTGCACATGATTGGGATATGGATTATTTCATATCCCAGTGTTGGTCTTGTAGGCTTGTTGTTGGATTCTAAATCAAACCAATGATTTCAGATTACTCAGACATCCTCTAACATCTGCAATTTTTCCAGATTTCCAACCATTCCTTCACTTACCAAAACTGAAAGAAATGGGAAGCAATAATCCCAAACATCCATACATTATCAAAAACCTGCACTATTTTGATTCTGTGGTAGCATTTCTTTCACAATCACAGATAATTGGTTTGAACTATACAAAAGATTTTACAAGTTTCAATATTCGGATGACGCACCTTCTCATTTTATTAACAAAAATTGTGTTTTGACTGCAAAGTAACATCCATGTATCAGGGTGTGTCGTCGCCATGCTGACCAAGCTTTGTGAGTCTGATATTCTGGTCTACACTAACCTGAAAAGCAGTACCTTATCTTACTGTGTATAACAAGCTCTGAGGTCTCATCTTATTTTCACTCAAAAATAAGAATGAGACCCAGATTCTTCTCCCCAAGTCGTGTCTTTGTTGCATTGCACCAATTTATGGGAAATTATTTAACTTTGAGGAATTAGCTTGTTATAATCCTTGTAATGTTCTCTTAGAGTTGTATTCACGATAGATCTACATTTAGTATCACCTTACCAAACCTTTTGCTACTTTGTCCCCCTCAAATTATTTGGATCAAGCAAATGGAAACAATACAGTACCGTGCCAATACTTGGGGAACTCGCACAGAATCTTTGTTTGCTTTTGTTTTGTCTTCTCAAACATGTATGCTTTGTTCTTTTAATACTGTGTAATCTGCTTTTTCCTAATGCGTTTGAATGCCAAATGGCCCTTTTGATGTTATTTAATAGGGGTTCTTTGAGGACGAAGATGGGAAGGAATACATTTATAAAGAACCAAAGCTCACTCAGCTCTCTGAAATCTCCCAGAGACTACTGAAGCTCTACTCTGACAAGTTTGGCCCTGAGAATGTCCGAATGATTCATGATGATGGAAAGGTGAGAAATAGTTGGGTTCCTAAATCATTCCAACTCCCTCGGCATTTTGCAAGAAGTACTGAGTTCATACCATTTCTAGTTGAGCTGTGCTCTGTTGTTTTGCTTAAAGGGTAGGAGGTGATTAGGGGAAGTGCAGGACAACTTTATTTGAATTTGCCTCATTACCGCACAATTTTATGTATAATATGGTTGTCCATTGAATCCTTGTGTGGTTGTAACTTTAGCATGCAGAATATAGTGTTAACTGCGTGCTGCACAAGTGGTGGTCATTTTCTAAGGCAAGGGCGCCAAATACCCTTGCACGCTGTGTGTGTTGTCAATGCACTGGATGTGACGTCGACAGTGGCTTTTTTGTCAGCAAATGGCATCACCCACACTTACTATATGCTTAGTGCACAGGAGGTGACATCACGGCAGTCATTGAGGCTTTGTGCCCCATCACATATGGGTTTATGAGCCACAGCGGCACTTTGACTCGGCGGCTACCAGATGTAACTGCGGCTAAAAACTGAAAATAACTCATGAATGATAGGAGATACCTGAAAACAAATATGCCCATTTCACTCCCAGGTGCAAGACCTTTTCGATGAGGTATAAATAATGTCTATGTCAGTCAATTATTGAGATCTGTCTTGAAGCACAGATAGACATTGTCATTTTTTTAGCATAGAAGAAGATTATTAATAGAGAAGATAGAATAAAATAGATGGATGTTGTAATGAATTAGTTTGGTCAGAATTCTGTGCACTGGAAAGTACACTCACACTGATTTTAACCATGAATCTGGCTTTTCAAGCCTTTCATTATTTGATACATATCATCGCCCTAGGAGCAAAGTACATCTCTTCTTCCAGATATGGTGTAAAATCACAGATGTAATTCTATTCCACTATAACATGAAGTGATGCATAACCTGAAAGCACTGCAACATTGCTCTCTGTGGTAAACTCTAGAGCCGACAAAAGAGCAAGAAAGGTCAAAAACTGGCCCCATTAACTCCAGTGCCATGTATTATAAAGAATATATTAGAATATTCAGCACATAAACAGGCTGTTTGGCCCAACTGGTCTATGCCGGTGTTTATGCTCCTCATGAGCCTCCTCCTGCCCTTCCCCATCTATGCTTTCTAGCATAACTTCTATTCCTTTCTCCCTCATGTACCTATCTAGCTTTCCCTTAAATACAGCTATGCTATTTGCCTCAACAACTCCTTGTGGTAGCATGTTCCACATTCCCACTACTCTCTGTATGAAGAAATTTCTTCTAATTTCCCTATTTGATCTATTCGTGACTATTTTATATTGCTGGCCCCTGGTTTTGGTCTCCCCCACAAGTGAAGCATCTTCCCTATGTCTACCCTATCAAAACCTTGAGTTGTGTTTAAAAGACATGAGTTATGTTTTAACACATCTTGGAAATTAACTGGCGATTATTAATGATCGTACAACACCACAGTTTAATAAATATCTGAAAGGGAAAGATTTGTTTTTCAGTGTCATTATACCTGACTGAACTCCAAATTCAGTCAGTGATATCAACTGGTCTCAGCTGTGTTGCCGTAGATGGACTGAAGGTGCTTAGTAGGGTTAAAGCTAGGTTTCACAACCTTAGTGATTGCTATAATGACTATACATCTTAACAGAAATATCTAAGTACGTTTGGGCCAATGAGTACATTTTAAATTCAGGAGCAATCTTTGTCAGATATGTAACACATTTTTTCTATAACTAGTCTGTTGCACTGCCTGTAATGCAATGCACAGAACTTGGAGAATCAAACTGGAGAACTGGAGACTAATCAAAAGTGAGGAATTGAATTAATTGCATTAACAGAAATGTTGTATTCTCATCACCCAAATGTCTTTCTGAAATTGTGACTCTCTAAAAAAGGTCAATCCCAAAGATTTGGACGCGAAATATGCATATATTCAAGTCACCTACGTCACTCCCTATCTTGATGAGAAGGAATCGCAGGACAGGAAAACAGACTTTGAGAAGAGTCACAATATTCGGCGTTTTGTATTTGAGATGCCATTCACAGTATCTGGGAAAAAGCAAGGAGGTGTTGAGCAACAATGTAAACGGAGAACTATTCTAACAAGTAAGCAGAGTTTCTTTTTAATCAATCTATATGAATAAGTTTCATTGAACATTTTTTATTTTTACAAGAGGTGAGAAAAATTGCTGATTACCCTTATCTTACTTTTCTCTTAGACCTTTAATCTGCTTTGCTTTTTTGCTGGACAGCCTTTAGCCTTTTAGAGGCGATCATCTTAACTAAATTGAGGTCACTGGAGAAATAAGACTGTAAATCAGCTAACTATCTGAACAGAATGTTTTTTACAAGATCTGGTTTAGGTCTGAATTCATCAGAAATGCAAAGTACCTGTCATCTGAAGAGCACTTAATAAGTTAACTCATCAGGCCAGTGAATCAGTTACAGTGAATGAAAGATTAATTGAGTCGTAACATTGAGCGACAGGCTTTATTTCTGCAGCAATGTGCACAGCACTGTGACCATCGGTGAAATACATAGTCCCACAGCATGCATTTGAAGTGTCCTTTGAGAGGTGTCTCGCTGTCGAGGCAGAGTGAAACAATTAACACTTAAATGTACCGTAAGAACAAAAGAATCCCAATTATGTACAATCAGCATTTAAAATCATGCCTTTTCGATGAACTTGTAAAGCTTCATTTATTTTAAATTGTCTCTTGTGAAAATACTTTCAATCTTCCTTAGCCACACACTCCTTTCCATATGTGAAGAAGCGCATTCCCGTGATGTACCAACAACACATTGACCTGAATCCTATTGAGGTGGCGATCGATGAAATGAGCAACAAAGTGGCAGAACTGAGGCACCTTTGTGCGTCTTCTGACGTTGACATGATCAGGTTACAGCTCAAACTCCAGGGCAGTGTGATTGTTCAGGTATGGTGATTTTTTTACATTTCTAAACCCACCATGAGGTGCGTCTGCTCCCCATACGGAATTGTTTTCTTGGTTTGGTGAGAAACATGATTTATATTTGGGTCTAGAATTTAAAAATAATGTCAGATCAGGACCCGGAGATAGACAAAATCAGAATATGGAAACAGAGGAGACCAGTGGGTAGAGCAATATTCTTACATTTCTCAGCTACTAAGGTAGAAACTAATTGTTTCTACCAAATCCTAACTAACGGTCCATCAGCAGATTTGACACACAAGATCTACCGCTGCGCTCTTGCCTCTGCCAAATCCTCCTTGTACTCCAGGGTTATCTTGGAGGCAAAGGACAACCCCCGGCTTCTCTTTTCCACCACTAACCATCTCCTCCGTCCACCTTCCCATACCTCGCCCATCCTCTCCTCAAACTCCAACTGTGAGGAGATGCTGGACTTCCTCGAATCTAAAATCGAGGGAATATGTTCAACCACCTCAGCCCTGTCCACAGCCACCCCTACATTACCTCTCCCTCATGATCCATCCCCCACCCATCACCCCCTATCCTCCTTCGACCCTATCTCTCCCTTCTCCCTCAACACGACTGTACGCAAACTCAAACCCACCACCTGCTCCCTCGATTCCATCGCCACCTCTCTCCTCGTCTTCCAGCTTCACCTTCTGGCCCCCCTCCTGTCTGATGTCATCAACCTCTCTCTGTCCACCAGTTCAGTTCCCACCCCCCTAAAAACAGCCGTCATCACCCCCAACCTGAAAAAACCTTCCCTGGATCCATCCGCCTCTCCAGCTACCACCCCATTTCTAACCTCCCATTCCTTTCCAAGGTCCTGGAACAAGTCGCCGCGTCCCAGCTCCGCTCCTTTCTTTCTCGCCATTCCCTCTTTGAACCCCTCCAATACGTCTTCCGCGCTGCCCACAGCATGGAAACAGTCCTTGACCCTCTCTTCTTTAATATCTACATGCTCCCCCTTGATGACATCTTCCACAGACATGGGGTCAACTTGCACGTGAATGCAGATGACACCCAACTCTATCTTTCTGCCTCCACCCTCAACTCCAGGACCACTGCTGTCCTGATAGACAGTGAATTGCTGTGAACACCCTATGAATGGAATATTTTTGATACTGTTAAAGAGCCGATTGCATGACCAGCTCAGCAAATGGAGAAGTAAAAATAACAATTTGAAATACGATTTACTGGTAGTGAATCATGAGTTAATAATAATAATCCTTGATTTGATTTAGGGCCTTATTTAGACTGCCTGTCAGACATTAAGTCCTGGATGAGGGCAAATTTCCTACAGTTGAATGTGAACAAGACTGAGGTCCTCCTGATTGGCTCACGCCAGCGCCTCAGCACCTCAGGTTCCGGCAACATCAACCTCCATGGTTGCACACTTCAACTCACCAAGTCAGTCAGGAACTTAGGTGTCTTGTTCAACCCTCAACTGTCTTTTCTCCCCCACATTCAAGCCATTACTCGCTCTGCCTTCCCTCACCTCCGTAACATCGCCCGACTCCGCCACTACCTCACCCCTCAGGCCACTGAAACTCTTTTTCATGTCTTCATCACCTCCAGGCTCGACTCTGCAAACACCCTGCTTGTTGGCCTTCCCAACTCCACCCTCCACAGGCTGCAGATAATCCAGAACTCTGCAGCCCATGTCCTCTCCCGCACCAAATTCCGTGACCTCATCTTCCCCACTCTGGCCGGACTCCACTGGCTCCCTGTCCTTCAGAGGATCCAGTTCAAGATCCTAGTCCTCACCTACAAAGCCCTCCATGGCCTCGCCCCACTCTGCCTCTGCGACCTCCTAATCCCCTACCAACCCGCCCGTTCCCTCCGCTCAGCTGGCTGTGACCTGCCCCACGTTCCCCGCCTCACCATTGGCGGGAGAGCCTTCAGCCACTCTGCCCCCAATCTCTGGAATTCCATCCCCCAGTCACTCCGCCTCGCCGCCTCCTTCAAGTCCCACCTCAAGACCCTCCTCTTCGACCATGCCATCAGCCACCCCCCTTTTCCTCCCCTCCCTTACCTCCCCAACCCAAGCTCGGGTCTGAAATGCTGTACTCTTGGGACGTCCTCCCAACGTGAAAGGCGCTATACAAATGTAATCTTGTTGTTTATATGATCAGTGAAATTATGAGCAAAAGGATGGAATAATAATCTATTCATGAGTGATGCTTGACAACATATCTACAAAGCCCATAGTTATCAGAATGAAATTGAAGTAGTAATAAACCATTGCTGGAGCACATCCATGAACTGTACAGAATTGACTTGACAAGACTGGGAATGTGCTTATTAACAAAAGACAAAATTGAATAGCTCTGCTCCATAAGTGCAATAAATTGCCCTCATTCCTGTCAAGTATTTAACTAATGCATCAACAGTTGTGAATTATCGTGTGTCTAATATTATACTAGAGTTTGTTGTTTTGATGCAGTATTGATGTTTCATTGTGTATGTTTTCATGTCAAAGAGTGATTGAGTACTGATTGTGGGTAATCTGGGCAGTGGGGGAGGTGGTGTCTTCTGGTTCTAACTGTCTTCCACTTCTCATCTTGTGATTAAAGGAATGCTGTAGATTTTGGGTTGATGAAAACCATTTAAAATTATGCGAATGTCAATATGCATCAGTTTTATATCTATACTGAAGCATTGTAATTCTATACTAGTGATCTATGTCATACTTTTTTCAATGCCTTTTCCCACTAGGTAAATGCTGGTCCATTAGCATATGCAAGGGCGTTCCTTGATGATGCCAATGTGAAGCGGTTTGCCGATAACAAAGTGAAACAGTTGAAAGAAGTCTTCAGGTGGGCAGCACTTTTAGCTCACTATTATTAGAACCGTCCATGATGTGTTTTAAGTTTTTGATGCGGGTTTCTGTTTGAGCAGCTAAACTGCTGATGGAAATGGATAAAGTGACAAAAATAAATGCCTCGGGACGTAAGGGGAACTTAGTGCAGGCATCCCCCACGTCAACCAAGCTAACCCACAAGAACGCTGCTCTGAGGCAATCTCGGGTCAGAACAGAGTTTTCAAAATTGCGAGTGTTTTTCCCAACCACAACATAAAATGATAGGATTCGTTCAGATCATGTCGCCTTTCACTCCACTTCTTTCCTGCATTCTCGGTGTATTACAATCATTAAATCGTCACTTTTTTCCCCCCCACAAACTGACACTCCATCCCCCTCAGTCTTCACTTGAACCTACAATCCATCACACAGCCTATTAAAATTCATATTCACAGTCATCTGACCATTTAACTCCTCTCATTTTCTGGTCTGCTCTTTTATAATCTTGGTGGTGGACTGCCCTATGGCCTTGGCTCTTCACCAAGACTCTCAATGCAAAAAAAAATGTGCTAACCCTAGTTGCTTGCTACATTCACAGGCAGTTTGTTGAGGCTTGTGGTCAAGCCCTGGGTGTAAATGAGCGTTTGATCAAAGAAGATCAGCTGGAGTATCAAGAAGAAATGAAGGCAAACTACAAAGAAATGGTTCGAGAGCTCTCAGACATCATGCATGAGCAGGTGGGTTTGATGCCTCGTAAGATTTATTTTGTTACAATATTTTTTCGTCTAACCTGGAGTCGTTCACTTCCACCGCCACATTCAAAACTCTTGAGCTTGGACTCACAATGACTATCATACTTTCCTTCTCCATGACCCATGCCACCAGGCAGACCATGCTACCTGACAACCCCCCCACCAACCTGAGCTGCTTCTCCAAAAAAACATGCTCCCAACCATGTCCCCTATCCTCCACTACTCCCACTCAACCCTTCTTGACCCTCCCTATCAATCCTCCGCCTCCCCCCCACATTCCGCCACCAATTGTCCCCTCGGCATCATCCTACAAAATGTTTGCTCCCTCTCCAATAAAATGCTTGTCATCCAAGGCCTCATTGCTCATTGTCGATGAAAACATCGACATCCTCGCCCTCACTGAAACCTGGGTCACCCCAGGTGACACCTTCCCCCTGACAGAGGCCACACCACCCTGCTACACCTTCCATCGTGCCCCACGACCTAACTGCCATGGTGGTGGTGAGGCTCTCATCTCCCCAGTCCCCTCTCAGCTGATCCCCTTACTCCTCCGGAATCTTTACCCTCTACTATCCCTCCAACCTTGCCCTCAAAATCCACCTTGTTTATTTTCCCCCAAAACCCTCCCCCAACTTCCTCTCTGACATCTCCACATTCCTATCTTCCCTCTCCCTCTATTCCGAACACCTCCTCATGCTAGGTGACTTCAACCTGCACTTCACCCCATCCTGCTCCATCTCCGCAGACTTCTCTCCTCTCACAACCTCTCCCTTCACATCCACTCCGCCACCCACGTCCATGACCACCTGGTTGACCTGGTGTTCACCCAGGGCCTCGGCGTCTCTGACTTCACCATCACCAACAAAGCCATCTCCGACCATTACTTAATTTCCCTTAACTCCTCAATTCCTCTCCCCACTGCCACCCAACCCACCTCCATCTCCTACCGCCCCTGGAAAAAAATCTCCCAGCTGCTCAGCTGCCTTCCGAACATTACCGCTATCCATCCCTCCCTCCACACCTTCGACCTGTCTCCCGCTCCTCTCTCACCACCACCATAACCTACATGAAACCGACCACCTGCTCCGTCAACCCCATCCGTACCCCTCTCCTTACTTCCCAGCTCCACCTCCTTGCCCCCTACTCACAGGCATTATAAATCTCTCCCTGTCCACTGGCACTATTCCCACCACTTTTAAAAACAGCTGTAATCACTCCTATCTTTAAAAACCTCTCTCTGGACCATCCCTCCTCTCAAACTACCACCCCATTTCCAACTTCCCTTTCCTTTCCAAGGTCCTGGAACGAGTCGTTGCTTCCCAGCTTTGCTCCTTCCTCTTCCGCCACTCCCTTCACGAACCCCTCCAATCGGGTTTCCGTGCTGCCCACAGCACAGACACAGGTTTGGTCAAAGTTCAAAACTCTGGTCCTCACCTTCAAAACCCTCCATGGCTTTGCTCCCCACTACCTCTGTGACCTCATACCCCTCCTACCAACCTGCCCGCTCCCTCCGCTCAGCATGCTTTGGCCTGCTTCACGTCCCCCACCTCGCCTGCCCCAACATTGGTAGGAGGGCCTTCTGGCACTCTGCCCCCACCCTCTGGAACTCCATCCCCCCTTGCTCCCTCCCTTGCCTCCTTCAAGACCTGTCTTTGACCGTGCCTTCAATCACCCTTCTTCCCCCACTGCCCTTCACACTCCCTGATCCCGACCCCCATTTTGGGTCCAAAACATTGATTGTCCAGCGCCTTGGGACGTCTTCCTGACGTGAAAGGCGATATACAAATATAATTTTGTTGTTGTTATTTGCACTTTGTTTTCATCAAATGCCATTATTCTGAAGCATTAGTTAAAACATTTGAAGTCAGAAGTTGCTGAATTGCTTTGTTGCATCTTAATAGATAATATGTTTATCGCCATATCAAGATCAAAAACAAGAAATGTTCCTTTTTCATTCCATTGAATCTTACCATTGCTCCATAGTGGGAACAATGCCAGGAGGACTGTTCCTTTAGTAAAACAAAATCATGATATAGAAGTAGCAGAGATGAGCGTATATTACCTAGGGCAATATTCTAGATTGTTCTCATATTATATTTCAACGCATCACTTCCTCTTTCATTTAAGGCCTCCCATGTTAATCTAGAGGTCCTTCTCCCCCCTACATCAGTAGCAGATCTCTTATCTGGACAAACGTTTGCAATTGCTGTTCATTTTATGGTCAAAGGAGCTTCATATCTTCAACCGCTCTAGAACAACAACACAAAATTACATTTATATAGCGCCTTTCACGTCAGGAGGACGTCCCAAGGTGCTGGACAGACAGGGTTTCGGACCCGAGCTGGGGGTTGGGGTCGGGGAGGACAGGGGGGAAGCAGGGAGATCGAAAGCAGGGTTGAAGAAGATGGTCTTGAGATAGGTCTTGAAGGAGGCAGGGGAGGGGGCGAGGCGGAGGGACTGCAGGATGGAGTTTCAGAGGGAGGACAGAGTGGCAGAAGGCCCCCCGCCAATAGTGAGGCGAGCGAGGCACGGGACATGAAGCTGAGTTTATTTCCACCTTTTACTGGGTTTCATGCTTTTTTCTGTTTCTTGGGGATTCAATTTTGCAAAGATCTCGTCCTGCTTTAAATGATGTTGTGCTTTCTGTGTCCTTCCCCTTTATCACCTGATTACAGTCAACCTCGGCCGCAAGCCCATCCATGTTGAAGTAGAATCCCCTGGAAGTTCTTATGCAATAGATCAGCAAGGAGATGAAAAAATGGGTCTGCTTATGTTCAGAAGTTATCAAATGTATTGCTGCTTTATGAGTACTTTTTTTTATCAGATCGGATAATCTGTGGGTTGGTTAAATTGTTTACATAAAGAATTATACGATCCTACTAGCTTCTTGTAGGAGGTGCTCTGGATCAGTATTGTGCTGATAAGATTAGGATCACCAAGGAGATTCAAATGCAATGTCTATGCCATGGCCTTGCAGCTTTACCCCAAGGTATACAGGTTCCAATCTTGCAAATCGTAACGTACTGAAGTAAGAAAAGCATCTCAAGCCTTGTTGCTGGTTGATGTGGGATTTACTCTTGCACATGGTTGAGGACTGTTGGAAAATTGGAATGTTTATTTAGACATTGCAGGTTTACACCTTCATTTACATCCTTAAGCACGCCTCTCACTAGTGTTAGATTCTGGGCACAAAATTGACGTATGAACAATCTCATCTGGTGACCTAGTTTTGTTTTCTGCTTATTGATGAAGCATAACTGAGGAGAAAAATCGAGTGCATCAGGGCATTTCATTGCTGGTGGTTCTAGATGCTCCTTTGTATAGCAATATCCAAAAATCTACAATCTAGAAAATCCTAGGGAAAGAGTGAAATGTCATTGCATTTTCAAAGGGAGAGACTTTGATCTTAGCTTGAAAGTACAATGGAAACTTGGAGCCATGACGTCTTCTTTTCGCTTTTTTAAAATTCAGCTTTTTCTCTCTTGACATTCTTTCCTTTTTTGGAAGGCTAGTCTTTTTCTTGACAGGTCTTCGTTGTGTCTACATTTATCTGTTGTTGCTTTCTACTATATCAATACTATATCATTTATGAGTTATTTAATTGATTTGTCCTCTGTTGGCTGTATTAGCCCACACAATATAAATTTACTACACCTGATAGTATATCCTGTGATGCACTTTGAGAAATTCTCCTTGTATGAAATATCGAATGTAAAGATCATTATTATAATTTCTAAGCAGCATTGCTTTAGAAAGCTGCATATGCAAATTTCTTTTAGCCATTAGACTTTTGACCAGAAAGTTATTGATTTGTCAGTTTTGGAAGATCAACTCTAATGCTTCCCTTTCTTTATAGCAAGTTTCCTTACTCCACATGTCTCTGTTTACCTAGCAGCAAGCAGGAACCCGGTTGTTAGTCGACTGGCTGATCACTTTCTGAGGGTATAATCCCTCAAAAAAAACATTTGGTCACTCAATCCACAACTGTTTGTGGGATACTGCTGTGTGCAATTGGCTGCTGTATTTCGCCCACAAGATACACAGTCAATCCACTTTATAATATATTCTGTGAGGCGCTTTTGAGATTTGTCAGCGACGGGATATGGCGCTTTCAAATCCTAGGATTATTAATTATTTAGAACTGAAGTGGATACATTGAAGGATTCCAGCAAATAATGTATCGGTATTTAACCTTTCCTGTAAAATGTCCTTGTTCAGATATTTAATTACATCACTAAGGTCAAAAATAACATTAGAAATTAAGCTTGAACCAGAAAATGTAATTTTCCATACACACATTAACCATCAAAATAAGGATTTAAGCTTTTCCTGCACTTCCAACAAAAAAAACCCACATGTATTTCAGCAATTGAAGCATGATGTTTTGTGTGCAATTGAAAAACTAACCAGTATGTATTTTCTTATTTTTCCTTTATATGCTTCCATCATTCAATGTGAGCAGATTGGATGGTAATGTCACTGTTGTGAAATCTGGAAATGCATGACATCTTTGTGTGCAACATGCTCGGAGTAATCTTAACCAGCTTCAGTTAGAGTTGCAGTCTTTTTTTAAAAAAAGTTACGCAAGCACATTTTACTGCCGGAGTACGATTTACTTTTTAGTGTGTTATTTTTTCTCTTTATATTTAATGATGCATTTTCCTTTTTAAGATTTCACCAGTGGATGATGGAATGAAGATCAATCTCATGCCAAACTCGCTTCACATCTTCAATGCAATCAGTGGGACGCCAACAAGTACGGCTGTCCATGGAATACCCAACTCCTCCTCTGTTGTGTAATAAAGAGAGAAAGCGGAGAACTCATTGACATCCCAAGTCATTCTTGCATTTATTTGCTCAGGACACTTTTCAAGGCTCTTACATGTCAGGTGCAGAGAAATGACCCTTGTGATGTACTGGCTGGGAGCGTACCAAAGGAATGATCTTTGCACATTTGAGCCCTGTTACAGGAAATGCATTTTAAAGATTGTTTTGAGGGAGCTTGCTCATCTGCATTTTATTGTACAATTGCAGAATTTTGTGGCAGAAATGGGTCCATTTATTGATTTACTAAAGATCTATCTTAAAGTACAGACTTCATATGTTGAATAATATATTGGAAAAACAGGGAAATAATGTTAAGCATCAATATTTTTGCTGTTGTTTACACATATATAGACCTGTATATAATTATTGTTGATGACAGTATGAGGTTACTTTCGGAGGGTATATTTAAGATAGGATATAGGTGGTAAGTACATTAGAGCAGAAGCGGTTCAGAAGCGGTGTTTACAGCATGTAGTAGCTGATCAAAATGGACTTTGTGTCAAGAACATAGGGATACCAGCTCAAGAAAGCAGGACCGAATTGTGCTCTTTCTTTTAGATGCAATTCAAGCAATTGTCTTGCTGTTCCTGTGGGAACACTTACACATTTAGCTTAGTCATTGTCTATAGCTGGGTCTAGTTCATTGAACGGCAGTGATTTTCCACTTCTCACACAGTACGCTCGTGAGCTTGAATGTAAAAACACATTTGTAATTATTCAAATGTACAGAAATGACTTTTGCTGGTACTGTCTGATCAACATGTACAAGTGAGTCTTACAGGCACAATTGTAGCAGTCTCTACATATTCAAGAGTTTGTAGTACATTATTCCACATTTATGAATTTATGGAGCAATTTAGAAAATTCATCAGAGACCAACTTAGTTTTGTTCTTTTTTAAAAAAAATGTCATTGGGGAGAAGAGGATGAGAGAATGAAAGAAAGCTTGCCTATACTGGAACACAAACAATATATTTTACAAATGTGCTTTGTTTTTACCTTGTATATACCCTTGAGTGCAATATTTGTCATTCAGCATTGTCCTAGGTGTATACAGTCTTTGCTATATTTGGATTTATGAACTGTTACATAACAAACGTCCTTTTTGCCAAAATGATATATAATCAGCAATCGTATTTACTGTGCAGCTTTGTGGCTTTAATTTAAATATAGTTTCCCATTTGATCTGTTTTAGAACTGTAATAACATTTTATATTTGGGGAAAGTTGAGGTTTGTAATTTTATTTAACTGGAACCATTGTCCTGCTGTATTTAAATTAAATTTGTTCTGTACTACAACTGAATTAATAAAGCCAGAACACTCATTTTTTTCTTTTATACATCTGTGTGATATCATGCCTGTCCAATAAAAGTAGAATTTGAAGCTTTTCTAACTTTCTTGTTCCCAAGTCTGGGTACTTCCACATCAAAGAGCTAGATTACACTTAAACCTATCTTCAAAATATATATTGAACAGAGCTTATGCTCATCAAGATAAGGTTGGTGCTGGAATTGGAACACATTTGTACCCCAAGTTATAATTTGATTCCATCAATCAGCATCTCATCTTAATGGATCGGATTGCAACCTTCATGTCTTTACAGTTACTCTTCTATAATCAACCATAGAACTAAGAGGTTGAACATTTCTTCAGAACTCTGGAGCTTGGTGGATTCAGTGCGCCATTCAAAACCTGCTGATACATGGAACATTATTCCTGGAAAGTACATCCATGAACTATTCAATGCAGTGGAGAAACTTGCCGTTTTGTCAAACAAGCTCAACAAAGAATAACGATTGGCTTTTCGAATGCAAACTTATGATGTTGGTTAAGGTGGGTTGGCAGTGATCAGGTGGAAATGCATTTATTTGCCTCTGTTGAAGAAGTTCTACCGGTAACATGAAAACTTGCTAGAGCATACTGCAACTTAGTTTTCTGTTCAGTTGCAAACAGATTATTTCCTTTCAGCAAACCAACAAATGCTTAAGAATGATCGTTGCATTTTTTTTACTGACATCCTGGAAAACTCGAGAGAGATGATCAGTTTCAAGTGGAATGAAATAAATCACTTCGACAGAGAAGTTATTTTTGAAATGGCTGATGACTAACAAAATAAAGTAACTGATTCCCAAGTTAAAACTGAAACCTGGTAATGAACACGATCAAGGTGAGAATGTAAGAGAAAGGCACCAAGTGTGTTGCACACAGAGTACTGAATTGTAAGACTACAGAGGAAGAGCTGACACAATTTCAATAGTCAAAAATAGAAAGCTTTTGTTAGTACTACAGTGAAGAGTGCTATTCTAGTTTATTTATAAGCACCTCAGCATAAGTTATGAAGTCATACTCAAGTTGTCCAGTTCTCTGAATTCTGCGTATAGTTCTAATCACTGTGACGTAAGGTCCAGGCCCCAGAGGCAGAGGAGAACAGAGAATGATTTCCACTGTTAGAGGAATGAGCTATGATTCATGCGCAATGATTAAACCAGCTGGGACTCTTCAGTCTTGAAAATATGCCACAAAGGGGAATTTCAAGAGGTGTATAAGATTTTAAATAAAATTGATTTCAAATGAGATTATAGAACAAAAGAACACGGATTTAGAATTGCAAGAGGCAATTTCAGGATAGACAGCTGGAGGTATTTCTGTACCTAGAGGGTAATTAATGACTGGAATAGGTTACCAGGAAAGGTGGCTTGAGGCCAAAACATTGAACTATTTAAAAACCAATGCTATATTGAAAGGATCAGCCAGGACCACCCACTACCTCCTCCGTGGCCCCTCTCAGGCCTCCTCAATCTTCATATCAAACGCCAAGGGCAAGGAGGTCATGGACCTCTTCTAAAATATTTAACATCCGCCAGGCAGGCTCATCTACCTGCCTCTTGTCACCCACCACCATGTCCTCTCTGTCCCCCTTACCTTCCTCATCATCTGCTCCTACCACCATCCCCATTCTACATTTCTTCTTCCCCATCTCTCCCTCCTCCATCTCACCCACCATCACCTGCATGAAACCCACCACCTGCTGCCTCGACCCTCTCACCAATTTACCCGTGATCCAGCTCCCCCTCCACTGCCCACTACTGGCTGACATCATCAACCAATCCCTCTCCTCTGGATCAGTTCCTGCCCCACTCAAAACTGCTGTCATCACCCCCCTCCTCAAAAAAAACCCTCCCTGGATCCCTCAAACCCCAGCCACTACCACCTTATTTCTAACCTGCCCTTCCTCGCCAAAGTCCTAGAACACGTTGCCAATCAACTCCGCGCACACCTCTTCTCCCACTCCCTCTTCGAACCCCTCCAGTCCGGTTTCCGCCCTGCCCACAGTACAGAGACTGCGTTTGTGAAAATCACAGACGACATCCTCTCTACAACAACAACAACAACAACAAGATTCCATTTATAAAGCGCCTTTCATGTCAGGAGGACGTCCCAAGGCGCTGCACAGTTGGGTCATGACCCGAGCAGGGGGGAAATGGTCAGGGTGAGGGGAGGGAAGGGAGGGAGCGAGGAGGGGGGAAATGGTCAGGGTGAGGGGAGGGAAGGGAGGGAGCGAGGAGGGGGAAGAGAGTCGAGAGGGGAGCTGAAGGCACGGTCAAAGAGAAAGGTCTTGAGACCGGCCTTGAAGGAGGAAAGGGAGGAAGCGGCGAAGGCACTGGGGGATGGAGTTCCAGAGCCTGGGGCTGAGAGGCTGAAGGCCCGACCACCGATGGTAGGGCGATTGGGGCGGGGGATGTGGAGCAGACCGGAGCCAGAGGAACGGAGGGTACGGGCAGGTAGGTAGGGGGATAGTAGGTTGGAGAGGTAGGAGGGAGCAAGGCCGTGAATGGCCTTGTAGGTGAGGATGAGGATCTTGAAATCAATCCTCTGGGGGATGGGGAGCCAGTGGAGGCGAGCGAGGGTGGGAGTGATGTGGTCCCCAGGGTTCCCTCTGCCTCCTTGTCCTCCTGGACCTTTCCACCGCGTTGGACACAGTCGATCATGCCATCCTCCTCCACCTCCTTTCCTCCGTCATCCACCTCAGTGGGACCGCACTCACCTGGTTCTCGTCCTACCTCACGAATCGCCAGCAGTACATCTGCACAAACGGCTTTTCCTCCCGCTCTCACCTGGTCACCCGCGGGGTACCCCAAGGATCCATCCTTGGCCCCCTCCTCTTCCTAATCTATATGTTCCCTCTTGGGGATGTCATCCGCAGACATGGGGCACACTTCCACATGTACGCGGATGACACCCAACTCTATTTTTCCACCTCACTTTGCGACCCCCAGTCCCCTGATGTTCTGTCAGCCTGCCTGTCAGACATCAGGGGCTGGATGAGCACGAATGTCCTTTAGCTGAATGTTGACGACAGAAGCCATACTCTTTGGCTCTCGTCAATATCTAAAAATCGCATGGTTCTCACCTCCTCCACTTACCTGACCTCCCCCTAAAACTCTCCGAACCCATACGCAACCTAGGCATCAGGTTCGATCCTTCCTCCCCCACATCTGGTCCCGCTTTCTTCCACCTCCGACGCATCGCTCATCTCTGCCAAAACCTCATTCCAAAAGCCGCTGAAACCCTAGTCCATGCCTTTGTCACCTCTCGGCTGGACTATTCAAATGCCCACCTCACCAGTCTCCCCTCCACTACCATCCATAAAATCCAGGTCATACAAAACTCTGCCGCCTGCATTCTTACCTGCACCAAACTCCGCTTCCCGATTACTCCAGTGCTTTCCAGACTGTACTGGCTGCCTGTCCCAGAGAGGATCGATTTCAAGATCCTCACTCTTGTCTTCAAATCCTTCCACTCCTCTGCACCCCCCTACCTCTCTGACCTCTCTCCTCACAACAGTGCCCGTTGCCTTCACTCCACTGGGTCTGGCCTCTGCCTTGTCCCCCGAGTCCTCTGCTCCACTATCAGAGGCCGTGCCTTCAGCCACTATGCCCCGAGGCTCTGGAACTCCATTCCTGACTCCCTTCACCTTACCCCCTCTCTTCCTATGTTCAGGTCATGTGCAATGCTTTGAGATGTCCTCCTGATTTAAAGGCATCATATCAAATGCAAGGATTATTATATCTTATAAAAAAATCCGACTGCTTTTGTAAGCAACTTGATGTAACAGTGGTCACGGCCTATATGCTGCTGTGACAAATGCATTTAGATCAATTTGTTTCAGATGTAAAGGTTTACTATTTGTATTGTGAGTTATGTTCAGCAGGTCTGTTGAATCCATTTAAACAGTAAAGGTCTAAAATCCTGAATGAACTTATTGTGTAGCTACTTATCTAGATCCACAGTGATTTTAGCTTCAAGGCTTTCCATGAGCTCTGCTGATCATTTTCTCTCTTCCCTCAGTTTATTGTATGAAGGCTGGCACAGTCTGGGGCTGAAAATGTGCAATATTTAGTCGCATGTCTATTAAAAATAATAATCCTTACAAGTACAAGTATTGCACAAATGTATGCAAAAAAAAGTGCTCATCATTTGTTGGTGCTCTATTCCTCAGGAGGTCTCATCCTTTTTTCAATTTAGGCATTCTTGGGATTAAATTATTTTAGCAGAACAATCGTTAAGCACAATTACATGTCAGGGTTTGTGCTATAAATCATGTCCAAGAAGTGCAACTAAAATACCAATTTTTGTTGTCTCAAATTGCAGTCAGCATGCAACAATTTGATTTGCAAAGAGCTTTAAACCACTGAACAAAATGTCCCAGTAAGCACTGTAGTGGAACAATGGCTGTGCTTCTCTTGCCCAACCCCCAACACCATGGTACATGGTGTCATAGAAACAGACTAGTGTGCAAAGATCACTCCAAATCTCCTGGTTGTTGTGTAAACAAGGTGAGTACAGCTAATGTAGTCCCACTTACCAAGTAAGCATGATTGGAATTGAATTTGCTGCAGCAGTGTAAATGGATCATCTGTTCACAAAAGGGATAAAGGAGTCCGGAAGGAATAAACAAATGGATATTATGCCACAACGCAGACTGTCTCTCTACTACATGCAACCTGTTGTGCTGATTGTGATAAAAGTGTTTACAGTGTTCTGCTTAATAGGCTGTTCTGGTTTATTGCATCCTGGAGTCTGATCTCGCCAACAGATAAAGGGCTGTAAACTGTGTGAGATCCACTTCAAAATAATTTTGTTTAAAACTCCAGTGCTCTTTTTAAAGTATTATTCAATGTCAAGTCTTTATAATGTATTCAAAAATCGTAATCATAATCCTTGCATTTGATACAATGCTTTCACATTAGGAACATGGCTCCACGTTCTTCACAGGATTCACTGCAAGTTTCAGTGAATGCATGAGAGCAATCTCTAGACATGCCCAAATTGAATATCTTTCAAATGGTTGCGGCAAATCATTACAAAGTTATTTAGAAGCATAACAT